CCGGGTTTGCCGTCATCCAAACCCGCCTTTGCAAAAAAACGAACGGTGCATTATTTGACTCGTTCGTGTTATTTTCGATATTTTTCAAACCAGAATTTTCATTGTTTTTATAAGAAGGGTTCCTCGTAATTAACTCTTAACTATGGATATGTTGACTTAACTACAACAGACTTTTAACGAGATGTTTTGCGCATAGGGTTATAATGTGTCTTGTATGATGCGCCCTCAAAACCCGGGTTTGCCGTCATCCAAATCCGCCTTTGCAAAAATGTGAACGGTTCATAATTAGAGTCATTCGTGTTATTTTCGGGAGTTTTCAAACCTGGATTTAATTGCTTTTATTTGAAGATCCTTGTTATCAATTGTAATATTGTAAGATTTTGGCACAGACTGACACAACAGAAATTGTCAACACTGGAGGATGGTAATAGCTCGTAATTGTATTTAAATCAAATATTATCCATATTTATGAATAAAAATAGTATGTCAAGTTCCTCATCTCTACTGGTCAATTTTCCTTGCTTTAGTAGCCGTTGACCTGATACATTATCTTAGTCAAAATAGAGAACGAACGAATATAAGGGGTCTTCTCGCTTTGCACATTTTAGACCAATCATAATACATAACTTTTTCTAATATGTTTAACGTCTTGGTAGATTAAAAATAACACGTATAAAATCACGAACTGTTATATTTCGTGGCTTCATTAAACACTTATTTCGTTTGGAATGGCCTTAAACCCTGGTCCGCGAAACACACATTTAAATAAGGGATTGGCGCACCCGGGTCTAACTGTAAACCTCCTGTTCACTGTCGTATGAATTATGAATGTAGTTTCGCACAGTTGTCAACGGAAACAAACAGTGAACTCTGCTTTCCCGAACCCGGGTTTCCAGGATTCGCCTCGCATGCCTTCGACTCTTTCTCCAATACTGGGGATTAAGTCTCATCCAAGATGGTGGATAAAATTCATTTGATATATCGATAAACGCGTGATTTAAGCTGAATCAAGTAAAATCAGTTTTCCAAATATATCCCATTACAATCTGATAAGGACATGCAACAATGAATAATACAATGAATTATACATCAATAGATAAGCTACAGTCAAATTAATTATCATTGTTCACACTTTTTTATTAATTATTTTTCAAGATGAACTGACTAATGAAGAGCTCCTTGACATTAGCAATGAATTGGGATTTGATTTTGAAGATGTTGCCATTCGACTTAAAATCTCCAAAGCTGAGGTGGAAACCATGAAGCTGGGCAATCCCCAAAATGCCAAAACCTGGGGATTCAACATTCTCACAATGTGGTGGAACAGACAGAGTAGAAATGTGAACAAAAGAAAAGTACTAGCTGCTGCCCTAAAAAAGGCAGGGAAAGTTACACTGGCTGAGAGAGTTGAAACGAAACAGTAAGGCAAAACATTGATAATCAATACAATACCAAATGACTCCTAAAATCTGTGAACTATAGATAAATTGAGATATAAAAAATTTCAATAAAAAACTAAAACACAGTAATTCCAAGAGTAGCAAAGCCCACTGAACAAAACATATTTAATTAAAATACTTATCAATTTGTACATCTTCACTTGGACACGTTTAACTTGGCAATTGACCTTTTTCCATATAAATGGAAAAATAGATGACATCATGGGTGTTGGTAGGGGTAAAATACATGGCAGCATATAGCAAGAGTCACGTAATTTCTTGATTTAACAAGCAATTCCATTTGGATCAACTTAAAACACCATATAACTATATGATCTTATTGACATGTGGATTGTGATTTCACATTAAAATTGTGATCCCTTGAAGAGTAAATGAACTTTTAAAGGTTTTTCAACATTGTGTCAATGGGGATTTAGCCCAACCTTTTTTAGAAAACTTGAAACTCTTTAGAATTTGAACAAAGGTAAATAACTGTACAAATCAAAGCTGTTCTAATAGAAAATTACATATAGAATTCAAATATGCCATCAAATAGAAGAAAATGTTAGTCTTTAATGGTTAACAAGATACATGATGTGAACGAGATCACATCATCAAAAAACTTTCAAAATGGCCCCCAGAAAAATATGGTTGCGTAGAAGTTTATCAGCTCTAGAACTTGATATCCTCTATCATGTGTGCAAATTTGGAGAAAATCTGATGAGCGGTTCTCCTGAAATGGCGATGACAAAAAAGTGGGACGATCACGATCACGACCATGACGACTATCTCCCACCGATGGTGTGATAAAAATGCAGATCTCCTAAAATCTCATTAAAACTAGACTTAAACGAGATTTCAAAGCTTTAGGGAAAAGACTCTATTGAGACAGTTATGGAGTGATCAAGAAGAGTCAAATCTATGAAGGCTGTGATGAGAGTAGAAACAATCTTGATTTACGTCATTAAATATTCAAAATTTAGTTAAAATGATATCATATTTGAATTCTACATGTAAAATTGCATCTAAAATTGTGGTATTTAAAAAAGTAATTTACCAACTTTGAAAATGTGACTTCTACATCGGGGAGATTCCCCATAGACCCCATGTTATAAAATCACAAAAGGTGAAATATCTTTACTTGTGTTGAGCAGATAATATTTTCTTTTACTGGACATATTTTCATTTGTATAAATATCAGACACATGAGGATTATATGAAAATTGATCCACTTAAACTGATAATATTTAAGTTTAAGGGAACTTTCTTAACTGCCATGTTAATTGACTCGAATTAACCACCTGGTGGTGAAACTGGCAACTATCTACTCGTATCTGGGTAATTGCATGGTTCAATTTATGCTGTAATAAGAATGTCCATAAGTCTGAATGCTTACCTGAACTTGTAATTTGTTTTTCAGGGTATCAGTCTAATGAAGCAAGAAAATGTAAAATGATCAGAAACAGATTCAAGGAGAAATGAAAACTTTACCTCAAAAAATGGTGAAAGGGAGATTCTGAGGCAGCTTCAACATCTAATCATGTAATCAAGACGTGTACGATCATATTATGCTCAGCTTCAGAGGAACCCTCTGCATTTGTTCAACTTTGCTTCTACAAGAGAGCTGCGTCTTCGCTCTTTCAGTTTACAATAAATCTCTGAACTCACTGAGCCATTCAGATTTTGTTGTCGACAAACAGACGACTTTCTATATGGTCATTTCTTCTGACGTAATTGCATAGTTAATGAGCACACAGTTAGTATGTGTTCTTTTCAGCTCGCTGATTGCTTGAGAAAAGATTAGTGTGGTAGGTTTGCAATGATCTAGGACCCCGGCTGTCATGGGCATAGTTCATGGGGGCCGGACTGCTAAAATGTAATATAGTCTATACTAGGCAGAGGGTAGTTTTTATAACTAGACTCTGTACCCTCTGCACGCAGGCTACTTCAGAAACAAGCTTGGTTGAAATTCAAAATCCCTTTACTTTCTGACAATTTTGGTTGTGCACTTCTGTCCTCATTTCAGACTGTCTGAAAAATATTACCTTTATTGTTACTTACTAGATAAGTGATGCACGGAAAATTTCAGTATATCCACATACTGTAGTATTAGATGAGTAGGAATGTACATATATGAATTGTAATATATTGTACATGTTTAGTGTAAGTATCAGGCCTGTCAACTTGGGAACACCTAACATGAGTGACTTGGAAATGTTGAACACCTCCTCTCAAAATGTGGACACCTTGGTCCAACAAATTTTTCGCACTCGCTACGCTCGCGTTTCAAACATCCATCAACGGGGGGGGGGGGGGGTAGGTACGAAAAATTTCGAACGGAATGTGTGACATATACGTAATTCCGTGAAAAGTCCGAACGAAATGCGTACGTTTTTTTTCGGCGTTCGTATTTTTGCTGTGTAGACGATCTTTTTTAGAAATTTTTCTACAGAAATATTTTTGCTTGACAATTACCAGGTATAATGCGTATTTGCGTGACATTTCTTGTCACGCAAAAATAACTGGCGTGACTTCAAATTCTTCAGCAAATGCGTGACAAATACGCAAATTGCGGGACAGTTGACAGGCCTGAAGTATTGTATACAGTATAATTGTTGGTTTTATAATAAAATACAGCAATAAATCTTATTTTGATGTAAAAATTTTAAAAATACATGAACATGGTCTTTTAACCTCTTGACTACCAAGAGTAAAGTGATTTGTAAAGTGATGAAATAATCTCACACAATTGTTCTCTAAAATTGCTCTTTTTGAACAATTTTCATCCAATTTACACAATAAAAAGTTTTTAAAATATGTAGAAATGACACTGACACTAATTTCACTAAATAGACTAGATGTTAGTAGATATAATCTTGATTTATGTCATTAAATACTCAAAATTCAGTCAAAGTGATGTCATAAAAATCTACTATACACGCATTGCTATCAGACCCGAACGAGCCACCTGGTGGTGAAATTAGTAACTACCTACTCGCATCTGAGTCATTGAGTATCACCTTTTGTATATATGCATGCAGAAGTTGTGTATGACCTGCCATGTTGAGTTATGAAAGACTAAAAGGAGGATTGCAGGGCTCCCAGAATGCAATCTCGATATTCTTTCTTTTCTTCGTATCTTCAGTACATACTTACATGTAGCCCGGAGTATGAACCCTTGAATAAGCCCAGATGTCGTGATTACAAAATTTGAAATCAAACAGTCACCATCTTTGCACTTCAGATTTTGAATTATGAGTCTTGGTATATTACAGCAAAAAATTCAAAACACACATGAAGTAATCAAGATATTAGCTCAAATCTTTTGTATTGCTGCATGATTATGATTTTATCAGACAATTAACGACTCATTACTGGTTGGAAAATATCGAGATTGCATTCTGGGAGCCAATCCTCCTTGGACAGACTTCAACTGGAGAAGGTGAAAACCAAAGAGATAAGTTTGATTTTCACCATATCTGAACCCATTGACTTATTCTGAAATCTGCTATGGGTACCTGGACCCCTAGATTCCACCTACCCCTGTACAAAAGTTCTTACCTTCATATGAACCTCCTTTCGATACACCAGAGCACACAGCCACTTGTCCCGTCCTATCAACGGTAAAATGTGCGTATGAGAAATATTTTTCTTTACCCTCTTTTAAATATGCACTTATTGTGACGTGCTGCCCAAATTGTAGTCCTTTAGCTGTTATTTCTATGACATCATCGAGCATAGCTGATGTGGCAGAAGTGGATATTGTTGCTTGAGAAGTCATGTCTGGGTAATTGTTTGTGGAGCCACACTGGCGCACACAAATTGCTCTAATTTTCCATGAATCTGGAATTAAATTTATGTTACATTATTCAAATATGATGATGGGATCGCTGGTCAGTATCAGATCATGAGAAGTTATCTTCTCTTTCAAAATGGATGGAGGAGTTATTTATGACACTTTTGATTTTCATCATCATATTGACTACCTTGCCACAGGGATTCGGCTTTAAACCATATCAAAATTGTATGACATAGTTACCTAATGTCTTGATAGTAATGAGTGAGCGAAATTGGATTTAAGCATCATCTGGTACTATTCATACATTATACTTAGATCCTGTATCTTGTACATATATGAAGAGTACATAACTTCATGTTTAAAGTCGCTATCTAAATCTCTAGTACCCCTCACATCAGTTTTAAATGCCTTCATCTTTTTCTCTTGTACCTCCCATCTCACTCTAGTACCTCCCATCTCACTCTAGTACCTCTCATCAATCATCCAACTATACACAAGCAAATCAAATAAATAATATGCTGACCCCCCCCCCCTTTCCCCACCAAAGAGCATTAGGTAATTTCTGGAAATTTTGAGCTGTTGGCCAAGATTTATCAAGAGATACAGCCTTTGATCGCATCCCAATAGACCGCTAGAGAATTGTGATGGGTGAAAGTGAAATACTGAAATCAGCTGCTTACTTTACATTGCCAAATGTTCCCTACATCAATATCATCCATTTTCAAAAGTCTGGCTGTTATCAACTGCTTCTGTGTCAATCAGGACTTGCCTTTATCTCCTAGTGGACATTTTTGACGTAACACTATTTCTTGAATTTCCATCAAAAGTAGTTCAGTTTCAGCCATCACGATTCTCTTTTGACCTTTAGAGGGTGAACAAAGGCTGTTCAGTCAGGCGAGTGAGGTAGACTCTCAACGCTACGAGACTCTTGAGACTCGTAGCTAAGTGCTTACCATACAAATAAATGACACCTGGATTTGATGAAGTGAGAATTTTCAAATAAGAGGCCATACTGTACATCAGTGGATGAGAGTATATACAAAATGTAAAAAATACAAAACTAAGGGATGTGTATCTAGACATTATTGGAAAGCATGTACAGGTAGTCTCAGATAACCATGGTCTGGAAATGATAGCAAATCCAGTCATTTATGGCTGAGACTAACATATGTTAGAATTTTTTTCATGGCCTGAGTTCGTCGCTAACATGCTAAATATAAGAGTTAGCTGACGTTTGGGAGTCTGACTTACCTTCTAAAGGTTAGAACCCGAATCTGAATGAAACCATATCACCTTTGTTGCGTCGATGATGATGCATAAACACAGTATTTGATAGAAATTAGTGTAAATGCTTTTCCGACTTTTTCATTTTTCATCAATGTTCACGGACATCTAATACGTTCTTCGAATGGGAATGATATCAATAACAGGACTGGCATCCAGATCCAAGTATTTTTCAAGACCGCCGACTCTCGTTGGGCTATTTATCCCTATTGACTCAGTTGTTCATATAAATTTACGTACCTTAGATGCTTTGTAATCGACGTAGATAGAAAATATTGTTTCCTAAATTGTTCTGAAAAGCGATAATTATTACTAAATGTACTTTGAACAGGTCGACTGACAAAAAAGTCGGACTTCTGGCACAAGGTCATGTGACCTATTCGGGCGGTCACGGGAGGTTACGAGAACTAAATTCAAATTTCCCAAACAATCATCATTTAACCAATCAACGTCGAGATAAAATTGATGACGTCACCGCCATCGGTCAAGGTCAGGTCAAAAGTCATCCATCTTGCCATTTGCCCAGCGCATTGTTACCAGTCGACAAAAAACTATGAAATCACGTTAAAAATAAAATATGCACTTTAAAATTGAGGCTGATTGAATATGACAAGACTCCATTGAATACAGCTGTGCAATTTACAGTCACCAAGATGAGCTTGGGAGAGAGATTCAGGAATTAAAAAAGGTAACACATTCTGGATTCCCAACTTCCCAAATTTGAAATCCCAGAATCTCCTTTCGCCAGAACATTCTCTCTGACTGTGTCAATGTTGACTTCCGGGAAGGCGTTGTAGTTATCACGAAATAACGCATTGACCCTTGAACTTTACTTTGTTGACGTGTCAACCAAGCATGTCTGGTGTGAAAATTAAAAGAATATTAAGCAATATATGTTCTACATCCGCCAAGCTAAGTGAAGTAGCCAATATTTAAAATTAGCAATTTCAAGTGAAGTAAGCAACGAACGAAACCGGCGTGATCTACACTCCCACTATTGGTCTGAACAAAATGCTACGAAGAAATATGAGCCGTCTGCTGTATTAGTCGATTAACAGAGTAAGACCTGTTGGTGATGCTTTATAATTTTGACCAAAACATTGAAGAACAAACGAACCTGTAAATCGTGAAAACAACGAACAAATATTTGGTTTTCACATATGTTCGGTAATTTTTCATATTGAAACTTCCGGAACTTACAGGAAATCATTCATTTTCACGGTCCATGATTTACCTGTTGGCTGTTGTGGCAAATGCTCCATGGTTGACGGAACAAAGGTGATATGGTTTCATTACGATTTGGGTTCTAACCTTTAGAAGGTAAGTCAGACTCCCAAACGTCAGCTAACTCTTATATTTAGCTTGTTAGCGACGAACTCAGGTCATGAAAACAATTCTAGTCTCAGTTTATGGTGAGCACTTTACGAGTGAGGGCCAAATAGGGTCACCCATAATTCAAATGTTTCTTTGAAGTTTTCTGTTCAAATCTTTAAAATGATTCCCCTAACACATGTTAAGATCTTACAAGAATATTATACATACCAAAGGGAACAAACGCACCGCTCTCGCCCATTATTATTCATGTTTAGAACTTTAAAAAAGTTTTCAAACTTTGACACTTGGAAAGTAGGTCATTACAAACACATAGCCTGCTATTTATTTAAATTAAATCATCTTTTTGAAGTAGTTTACATGAAGGGAATCAAAACTAATATCCAATTATTACTTGAATTTTGAATAATTTGATTAAATTAATTGTTTAAGTTGAGATTTTATGAATAAACATCGTATTGTATTACTTTGGGAAAATCTTGTCATGACCCAAATAATTTTCTAAAAGTTGAAATAATTTATAAAAGTTCAATAAAGTTATTAAATCTCAAGGAAGACACTGACTACTGTTGCATTTGCACTTGACAATATGCAGTTAACACATGAGAACTTGAATTATGTAAATTAGGTGAGTTTATAATTTGTATACTTATGTATAAAAAAAGGTTAGACTAAAGTGCTGGTATATACAGAGCTGTCAAGTGTCCCGCGAATGGCGGGATTATCCCGCGAATTTGATCAAAATTAGGCTAATTCGCGTGTCCCGCGATGTCCCGCGAAGTCCCGCAAATGTGGCTTTTAACCTCCGCGAATTTCCGAAATTGTTGCAATCCCCTATATTGTGATTATCTTATCTTATATAAGAACACAGTCAGAGAGAATGTTTCTGGCGAAAGGAGATTCTGGGATTTCAAATACAATAAGTTGGGAATCCAGAATGAAAAAAATGAAGTTACCTTTTTTAATTCCCGAATCTCTCCGAAATTAGCTCATCTTGGTGACTGTAAATTGCACAGCTGTATTCAATGGAGTCTTGTCATATTCGATCAGCCTCAATTTTAAAGTGTATATTTTATTTTTAACGTGATTTCATCGTTTTTTGTCGACTGGTAACAATCCGCGGGGCTAATGGCAAGATGGATGACTTTTGACCTGACCTTGACCGATGGTGATCACGTCATCAATATTACCAAGATGGCGGTTTCAAAATTTTCTAAAATCGCTTCAAATAATATTATGTTAATTCCTAGCGAGTAAAGATATCTCTTAGTTTGCTATTTCACAATAAGATAACAAAATGTGTAAGGAATTCGTATTTATCAATTAAAACATCACATCGACATTTGGTATTCGTAAACTAGACGATGAAGATAACGACCTCGAAAAAAACAAAAGAGCGAGTACGGGATTCGAACCCGGGCCTCCAGCGTGCTAAGCGAGGATTCTCCCCCTAGACCACCGATATGTTACATGTGGTATTGGGATTTAAACGCTACTTATTTTGAATGCTACGATTCGGAAGTGACGTCACGTTCTTCACGTTTTGTTTGAGAGCAAGGAGGATTGGCTCCCAGGATCGAAACTCGATATTTTCCAACAATGAAAACGTCGAAATGTCGTTATTTTCTGAAATTAAAACCGACTATAAATTCAAAATAAACAGTTCAAAAGATTCGAACCAATATCTCGATCGTTTCTTGTGAGTTTTGGAATTTTTCGTTTGGAAATAAGACCAAAATTCACGATTTAAATGTTGAAGTGAACAAAATGGCGGCTGTTTGAATTCGAATTTTGTATTACGACATACCCATATATGGGACAGAATATCGGTGGTGCACTCTGGGAGCCAATCCTCCTTGGTTTGAGAGCGAGAACGAGACGTGTCAGAAGCCCGGCTTTTTTGTCAGTCGACCTGTTCAAAGTACATTTAGTTATAATTATCGCTTTCCAGAACAATTTAGGAAACAATATTTTCTATCTACGTCGATTACAAAGCATCTAAGGTACGTAAATTTATATGAACAACTGAGTCAATAGGGATAAATAGCCCAACGAGAGTCGGCGGTCTTAAAAAATACTTGGATCTGGATGCCAGTCCTGGTATAAATATAGTTCCAGGGCAATTCGAAGAACGTATTAGATGTCCGTGTATAAGAAGCTAAGTTTTTGCACTTTTGAGGAGTAAAGTTTACCTTGTTGTAGGTACCTAGCATGCTGTTGTTTGGTATCAAAATAAAGAGGAAGGGTTCAACTTTCATTTTAATTACGAAAATAGGGATGTAGGTCACAAACAGTTCCAACGTTGGCCTTTTTACTACCCGTGTGGCCTTCATCTCAGAACTGAGCAAATGTTAGCAAACGCGAGTTACAATAAATGGACGCTGATATGTAGAAAGGGTTTGTAGAAAAAACCGGGTACCGGGTTGTAAATCCTCCATGCTGGGTTCGAACTTGGTACCCGGTCAAAAAAACGGGTACCCAAAAAACGAAAAATACGAATATATAACATAATTAGATTATGAGAAAACGTGTAAGATTTGTTTTGAATTCACAAAAATGTATGTAACATCCTTCAAATTGAGCTAGAAGCTTCAAATAAAAAGCATAGTTTAAGGCTCTTTTCTTCCTCTATCGTCATGGCCATATTTTCATTGGTTATGATGATAAAGGAAGAAAAGAGCCTTAAAATGCTTTTCATTTGAAGCTTCTAGCGCAATTTTGAAGGAAGTTACATACATTTTTGTAAATTCAAAACAAATCTTACACGTTTTCTAATGATCTAATTATGTTGTATATTCGTATATTTCGTTTTTTGGGTACCCGGTCGAAAAGTTTGAACCCAGCATGGAGGATTTACTATCCGGTACCCGGTTTTTTATACAAACCCTATCTAGAAAAGTAACCTCATTCCCTATAATTTGATGTAGATTAATCGAACCCCTATATCATGGGCTTTCAATTGAAAGCCCATGCCTAACAGTATATGAATAGGTACATTTTAACATATAACATTATGGGGGTAAGCGTTTCATAGTTGGTCACGACGCCAGAAGTGCAAAGTATTGTTCCGAATTTTAGAATTTCGTGTTAGATTACGGTACTCACACCTGAAGCATGGTTTTTGTTTTTGATAAATTACAATAAAGTTTAATAATATTCCTATGCGTATTTTGTGAAATTGTGTTGACGTTTATTTAAGTTATAATGCAACGGTGCATTATTTGATTAATCAGTATCTGGAAGTTTGATTTAAGTACTTTAACATGCTTTTACATTAGTCCCAATCACGCAAATCCCTTGAATGTCCCGGGACATCCTGCAAATTTAGGTGGATGTCCCGCGAAATCCCGCAAATTTAGGGCACGTTGTCTAAAACATCTGTCCCTCTATGAAGTTTTTGGTGGTAAACCTGTTAACTGTCCCGCAATTAGAGTGTTTGTCCCTCGAATGGTCCCGCGAAATCCCGCGAATTTGATAAAAAAATTTGGCCTATTAGCGCAATCACGCAAATGCCTAAATGTCCCGCGAAATCCCGCGAATTTAGTACATGTCCCGCAAAATCCCGCGAATTTTGGGCACTGGGTCTAAAAAATCTGTCCCGCGAGAAAATCTTTAGGGGTTGACAGTACTGTATATATTAATTGATTAGTCGTTTTATTGCCATATTTTCTTGAATTTTAACAATTAATGTCCCAAACTCACACAAACTGCAGAAAAGTATACACCATAAATCATATATACCAAAATGAGTGTCTCCAAGGCTTCACACCAGCGTATGCATAGTTCATTTGTCACGAGTTTGAGCTGAAATTTCGCCAAAATGAAGTAGGCTCAGGGTAGTCTCTGCCAGGTTTGTTTATTGTGGTAAGCTTGTAAGTGCTCAGAAGCAAATAATTCATGTGCGCAAAATAATCAAATAATCTGATTGGTTAAAACTTTGCTGCACATGCGCACAATGTATGCCATGTTTTTTCTAGTGATTTCGTTTCGTTTCATGGAGTTTGCGTTTCAGTGTAACTTCCGCAAAAATGGCGGACCATGAACAGAATTAACAGGTAAAATCACTTCGTAATTTCAAGAGAACTTTTTACCTATAATAGCAAAACTTTTGTTTTATTTGTGCATTCTATCTATCAGATAAGAGTCTCAGGGGTATGTAGGCAAATTTATTTTGGTAGGAGCACTCTGTTTAGTCTGAAAACGCACCCTTAATTATTATATATCAGCACTGTACCTGTATTTTACAGGCGACCCAGGCGGGCGCTTTTATTTTTTTCATAGGGGTGGTAGGGTCAAAAACACATTCCAAAATTATTTTATTGCATATTGATTATCTTTGAGATTCTGTCGTTGTGTAACTATATTGCTTACCACAATTGGAAAAAGTTCCCTACCCGAATTAAAAGTAACCAAATTGTCATTGAAAATAAGAAATCGTGTTTACTGAAGCAAGGTTGGGATGTGTAATTGGGAGGAATCAGGGCAATCCGATTCGTTTTTTCTTGCTCTTCACAAGAAAGCACCCATTTATTATCCCAAAAAACAAAACATTGTCTCAACATGTATTATGTATTTTGTCTTCAAATGTTGAATGATGTGTCACTGGTAGGAAAATCGAAGGGATTGGTCCATAAAAAGTATCTGTGTAAAAAAGCGTCCATTACTTATTGATTACCCCTTGATAATTATCCATTAATGAATTTGTCAAATCAGGCATCTCTATTCGTTGATCGAGCGTTTTATGCTGCACACATGGTCTGTATAGTATATAATTCAAAGTAATCTGAAATAATTTTTTTCTATCATGATGGACTAAAAATATTATTTATTTATTCTTTTTTCTATGAGAATAAATGTAATATACTCACAGGTTGTAGTGGTTATGACCCCCGAGAGGGAGTATTAGGTGCCACATAATGGTATATACAATGATTTGATAAAAGGTGTACATGAAATTTTATAATTATCTGAACCATGGGCTTTCAACTAGTTGAAAGCCCATGTCTGAACCAAGAAATCTTAAAGAAATCGGATGGTTTGCAACTATCCAAGCAATTGGAGTAATAATTCTGATATTGACACCTTTAATTCTTTATCGCGAGTATCTGTACATATTGATTACTTCCATTTGGTTATCATTGTATATTCTATATCATTATAGATCAAAATATTATTCGGTATGCTTTTTAACAGAAGAGTCTACTTTAATGCAGTGAACATAAACAAACATAGCCATTGAAAGATGTCTCTGTATTGCAAGGACTTTACTTTTTCAAAAGTTTGGAATCACATCGATTCATCTAAATTCTAAAAGAGAACTTCATAAACACTTTTTGAATAATATAGTCTTTTAAGCTAACTAAACCAATCAGGTAAAGTAGATTAAAATCAGAATCAGTCATAGAATTTTTTCTTGTTTTTATAATTTACTCCAGTGAAGGACCATGGCTCATGAAAGCTACTTTGAGGTCATTTATACCCTATAAGTGTCAAAAATAAAATAAACTAATATGAGGATAGTAATTCCTACTATTCTCACCTTTGACCTGATGACTTTCTCGTCCTCTTGTGTTATATTAGACTATAAAGACATTGGTTGCATTGTTGCAATGCACTTACTGTCAGTTAGTACCCATTGCCTTCGTTCTACTTCGCTTCTTAAAAGAGAGCTTCATTTTCACTCTTCCAGTTTGTGATAAATCTCTGAACTCGTACAGTGTAATTGGACAGTTGCTTTATATATTTGAGTATGGTTTTAGGGAAATTGGGGTATATTTCCATCTATTCCATGTAAATGGTTGTGCATTTTGGTTCTCTGTTCTTTGATTTTAGACATTTTTTTAATGTGTTCTTATACATTAGTTTTTTTCATTTTTCCGTCTTAGCCACTGTGCTTAACATAAACTATTCATGGTGGGAAGACATTTTGGAGCAAAAGGTACTATAGGCATACTTTCACTTCAATTATGGGCCATGCATATCTTGAGTTTTAATACCAATTATATAATTCTTATTGTTAGATATACAACATCATGATAATCCATGACATCTCATTTCTTCTCAGCCCTGAGATGCCATGATATAATGAGCTTGATTTGGCGATCCAGGAGAGCCCAAAATTGAGGATTTTTGAGATCTTTCATCCCAGCTCATATTTCATTTAATTGGAGTCATTAAAGTTGTGTACACATGCCTGTGCTACTATTGACATTAGGTAAATGATTACATGATAACTATCATACTTATTGACAGTTATAACTCTTCCCATCTGATGTGCTCAGATCACAGAATATGCCTCATAATATCAGAGCATGTTTCAGGTGAAACAGAAAGATGCTATGAGTATCAGAATGGATATACAAAACTGAATAGTAATTTAAAGTGTGTTAGAAGCAGTATATTTAATCCAATTTTAAAATAATATGGCGCATGATTCCTAAATAGTACATGGATGTTTCAACAAATTACTAGATATAAACAAAGTTGTAAGATGAAATATTGTCACTTGAAATATACAATGATTTGGCACACAAAAGTCATTGCATTTGTTAAAATAAAATTTGGTTAATTATTTTTATAAAATTATTTTACAAGCACTATAAACATAATAATAACTACATACAATATATACAGATGAGGAAAACATGAAAACCTCCATGAATATTTTCAAGTTTGCGAGCTTTTCATGTTTTAACCTCACATGAATAAAATGTTAAAATAAACATACTCATGGTTCATCTGTTTATTTGTGAAGCACATTTTCACATGCACCCTGCCAATAAGCCTATGTACATGCCAATAAGCCTATGTACATGCCAATAAGCCTATGTACATGCCAATAAGCCTATGTACATGCCAATAAGCCTATGTACATGCCAATAAGCCTATGTACATGCCAATAAGCCTATGTTCAGAAAAAGCTTGTGCTTCAGAAATATACAGTACAAACATACACTGTAAAAATGTTATCCTATTTGTGCATAAGATATTTGTAAAAATGGGACTATTCTTTGTCAAAGATTCTAGCATATCTTTGGTTTAAGATTCTCTTAAAGCCTTGGAATAAATCTGCAGAGTTGCGTTTTTTTCAGCTGAGCTTTGTTAGCTGTCCTTTGAAAGTTTGATATCTCATATGATGTGGTTTCAAAAGGGGTGAAAGTTTGAGGATATCTCATATGATGTGGTTTCAAAGGGGGGGGGGGGGGTTCTTATCACAATATGGATAACATCTTTTATCAATTTGTTGGATATTCATAATTCATCTTGTTGATGATATTAAAATAACCAAGTGTTTACTCATACATGGCAAGAAACACCTTTACAATGCAACCAAGTGTGTATCATGTATATATGGGAACAGTTTTTATCATGTATACATAGTTACTAAGTGTGTACCGTGTATACACGGCAACCAAGCACATATTTATGCAACTAAGTACCAAATATTCATGTTTACATGGCAACCAAATGTGTATCATATATACATGGCAACCAAATATGTGTCAAACATATATGGCAACTAAATGTGTATCATGTATACATGGCAACCAAAGGTGTATCATGTATAAATGGCAACCAAAGGTGTATCCTGTATAAATGGCAACCGAAGGTGAATCATGTATCTATGGCAACCAAAGGTGAATCATGTATACATGGCAACCAAAGGTGAATCATGTATATATGGCAACCAAATGTGAATCATGATATGTGGCAACCAAAGGTGAATCATATATACATGGCAACCAAAGGTGCTAAAGGGAATCATGTATATATGGCAACCAAAGGTGAATCATCTATACATGGCAACCAAAGGTGCCAAAGGTGAATCATGTATGCATAGCAACCTTCATCCAGAGTTAACCTTAACAAATATGAAAGGTGTCTGGATTCCAATCCTGTATCATGGCTCTGTGTTCTGCCTTAATAGGCCCTAGAGCATAGGTTTGATGCAATACTACCTGGGTAGCAAACATTGTGTCTATAAGACACTTAAATCCACTATAAAATGTGAACAATGTTACTACAGTAACTCAGTAGATACATTTTGCAAAAGATTAACTAATACTATATCTATAGTAACTACCGCATATAGGTATTTGTTACCTGATTGGTGTAGCATCATAAGTGGATCGCTATAATGTGAACCAATCAAATTACAGGTACTATCAAAATTAAAATATAGCTAACTCCTACATGTACTAATATGTAACCATTTTTTCACTAAATAAACTAAATATAGTGCTAAATTATTTACTAATGTCCCAATTACTAGATCAATACTGTTACCTCAGAATAAAAAAACTATACTATTATTAAATCCATACTAAATCTACTAACTAAAATCTATAAAAAGTTCAGAAATGTCATTAGTTAAAATAACAATGGTTTCTACTTGAGATGCCACTCAAAGTGTCCTATGAATAAATATGTCTTCTTTATTACATCACTTTGTGAAGCCCAATAGCCAGGGGGTGGGTTCTTGCCAAAAATTCTTTAAAAATCATGCTGCTTTCACAATTTTGACCACTTTTCAAGTGATTTTCATAATTTTGACCACTTTTCAAGTGATTTTGGGCCAAAATTGTCAAATTTGAACCTTATGTAAGCTGGCTATGGGCCTGGTGTCAGTAGTGAAATTAAATACAACTTCTATATACGCATAGTGTCATAATAACATTAACATAATGTACTCTGAGACAGACATTGAATACCTTTCTACATTGTATTTGTAAATACATCACAATAATTTATAATTGTCACAATAAATAAACAAGAATTCTGCTCTAGTAAATAGTTTTACATCTATATCAATAATCTGCAAAGGGCTAATAAGCCCATTTAAAGCAGATACCAGTAGTTTCGAAGAATAATAAAAATGCATGAACAGTGAACACATGTATTGTGATAAATATATCAATATTGTACCATGCTATTTGCCATTTTGCATCGTCAACTTTTTTTGCATGGTTTTGAATGCTGTTTACAATAAAATGCTATCAAACACAATTAAAGACAAACCATACAAAATAAAACACTTTTATAAAATCTTAAGTTGAGAGTTCAATACGTTCTACATTTGAAGAACTGTCTATGGTATAATAATATAAAAAAATTCAATATGATCTAGCTTGAACCATTACAAACAAATATACATGTTCATGTATTGTCCATTGAATCTATTTCAATTTGACCTGTGAAGATTTTGTCCTAAACGTCCTATTTTTCTCATGTGTATATTCTATTATTCTAAACATTTTCTTACTTTGGCAAATAAATAAGTTACCTTATTCCTTGAGTCCTATTTACCACAAAACATGTACTGTATAATATTCAGTCTTTCCCTGGAACCAGCCAGGCCAATTGTTTTTAAATATTTCAAATTCAAATATCTCAAATTCAGTTATAAATGTATTAGTATTAATTTAAAATGCTGATTTTAATGTAATAATGTTTTTTAAAATTCATCACATTACTTAATGCTGCAATTTATTTCCCTCTTGTAATTGAGCATAACTTCAATCGGTAGCTTATCCAGGCTTATCAAGGTATATGTACTAGATTTATGAAATTTGAAATTAACCTGTCATAGACATTGGTAAAATGATATATAACTATAATTAAATAGTTACAAACTTAGTGACAATTAAATCATATTTATCTACTGAAATTTCAGTAGTTTTCTATGCAAATTTACAATTCTAATCTCAGAGTCTATAGACATTAAAATCATAAGCCCAAGAACATGAATAATATGATTATAAGAGCAGTATCGAAGTTTGATTGTCCAATCAGAGGCTGGGCATTGCATATGTTCCTGGGCATATGATTTAAATGATTTAAATTTTCATCAACAGTATTCTTACTATAAGGCACCATTCATTCTGAAATGCTAATAATTTCTACATGCCTAAGTTCATCCTCTTCTTCTTGTTACTCGTTCGCATCTTTCTTTTCCTCTTCGCCTCATTTTTCGTTTAATTTTCTTCCGGATGATCCTTTTGTTCTCGATCACTATATCATTGTCACTGAGATTAAGGGATCCATTTTGATCTATGAGGTTATCTGTCATAATGATCAGCTCCCGATTTTGTTCAAGTATATCTGAACATTGACAAGAGCTGGCTTTCACTGATATAGTGCCTCTATTGGCAGTTTGAAAAAAGTCTGGTCTGTAGGTGTTCTTTCTCCTGCTTTTACGAATGTCATTGTCTTTAATATTAGCCATAGCTGCAACATTTGTTCCAGAAATTTGGGAAGTTATTTGGACCGAAACCACTGAAATAGAAATTTCAAAATATGTTTCAAAATTGTTTTATTTCAAAACAGAATTTTTCTTTTTGAATACTTTAGAATTTTTTGTCTTTCCTTACCATACTTGAACTTTTTATTCTTTTCATTTGTTAGTTTTAAAGAGTATTATTGTTTATTTGTGGCTTTGATTGTTTTTATATCATTCTGCATTTGTAACAAATGGCAGATGGTGACATTTTGCATGTTAATGCCTAGTTTAAAATTGTTCAGAACTTTTTAGAATACTCACCATATTTCTTCAGACAGATTCCTTCAGTCCAAGCCCTTTGCCATTTTGTACCATTCACAGCTATTTCCTTGCACCATTTACATTGTGGCAACCTTGGTGATTTTCGTTTTGGCTTTATGACTGCATTATGCGCCATGATCATACCTTCGATCTTCTTAATCATGTAAAGTTCTCCCTGAGTGCCACATGTATATGTGCTATCATCATAAGGTCGCCCCTGGCAGTATTTCTGAGTTTCCTCCACCTTCTGACACTGTTTGTCTAATTTGTTTCTGTTTTTTAGTCCTTCATAGCAGCATCTATATAATGATACATCAAAATAGATTATTATTCTTTGTGTATGCCTCATTTTCATATTGCAATATTGTTAATGTGATGATGATGGTCATTCAAGATTCATCATCATTTACTGCACTGACGAAAAAGCTCAAGGTTTAATGATAATTTTATTCATTCTTGCTCTATTGACTAGTTAATTTACGCAATATTCTTGCTCTATTGACTGGTTAATTTACCCAATATTGTTGCTCTATTGACTGGTTAATTTACCCAATATTGTTGCTCTATTGACTGGTTAATTTACCCAATATTCTTGCTCTATTGACTGGTTAATTTACCCAATATTCTTGCTCTATTGACTGGTTAATTCATCCAATATTCTTGATTAATTGACTGGTTAATTTACCCAATATTCTTGCTCTATTGACTGGTTAATTTACGTTCAGAATAAAACCAATGTGAAGTCTCTCCTTATACCAATACGAATGAGAGAATATACAAGGTGGACCAGAAAATGAATTCACTTACACGTGTTCTTTTTGGGTGCCCACACGTCCTTTGCAGCACATTTCAAAGTCATAGTTGAATGATTTTACGCCACAGCATTTAGTTTTGGTGCTTGAGCGTTTATTATGTTGTTGTCCATTGCAGCAGAGTTTGTTTGGTTTTAGCGGAGTACCACCACAATATTGCTGATATTTTGAATTCTTTGGCATTGGCTGGCCCTCTGTGCAAATCTGAAAACATACATGAATCTAATATTATACTTTTAAGAACCACCCAGTCATAGCTCATAATCTAATCCTCACCAATAAAGGGGAGGGGTTATCAATCTTAAGGGTTAATGATTTTAGTTTCACTTGACGTATGTATTACAGGGTGTCTCATACTGTTTCTTGATATTGGGATGATTGAAATGAAATAGAAACCTATTTGTGCAAAACATATCACAGATAGTCCTTGTTCATTTCACTTCTTAGAATAGTCTCATTAAATACCATAATATGTTTCTATTCACAGAAGAAGATACAATACCAGATGTTTATATAATACTCCCCCTACTACTTTTTAAAATTTCCACACATGCTGATTAACAATACATACAAAAGAAAAATTATTTATGATTCATCTTTAGATATTCTTAAATCCTATGATGCTGAGTCATTTGTTTACTATTTTTTCTATCTATATCTCAAGTACCATTGTCGATTAAATTGTTGTTTTTAAAGTAAAGAATGACATAACATTCATTAATTATTGGATGCACAGTAAAAGCCCAGGAAGTAATAACCACTCCTATTTAATATGTTAGTTGTTTACTTGACAATGTGAATAAGAGGTAAACATGAGACATGTAACCTCAAGTACTACATCATTCACATTCTTTCATACATTTGGCTACACATCTTTGTAGTGTTGCGAACTCACAAAAATATAAAATTAAATAAATGTGATATGTCACATAAAATGTACAGTCCTACGTAGTTTTACGTCATTCTCTTAATTGATACCAATCTTTGCAATGTGAAGAACTTACAATGGTATGAATCATCACATAATAATTTAAATGTCATAGATGTTCTACTTCATTTCTGGGACATACATGGATACTGGGGAATCCCCTTACTTTGTAAAAGATTCTTTATCGAAAATTATGAACTAGATTTGGGAAATTGGTATTCCTGAATATTGCAATCTCTCTATGACTTTATATTTTAGTGTATTTTACTTTTTGTTCTTATTTAATTTAACTTAAAGATAAAAAACTTTCAAAAAATTAAAACTACATGTACATGGATGAAGAGGTTGCCCTGAGGGTCGAAGATTAGTACAATAGGCAGGTAAACCTCTCTTTTAAGGGAGCAATATCAAATACGTGTATGATGCCGAATGCAAGACCTTGAGAAGCATTTAAAAAAAATTTCCATCCTTATTTAAGGAACCAATCATATGCATTATAACATCAAAAGCATGTTCTGTGATTTTTCTATTTGTTAATCACAAACACCGATGACCTTACCCACTTATATCTAACAAATACAGTAATATGAATCAGCAGAATGTACATAAAGGACTTAATGCTTTATTTTTCTTCCTCGTTTAAATATGCACGAGACTTTATTTTAATGTATATTTTACTTCCTTTTACCAATTTCCTCGTTTAAATATGTAAATTGTGTAAGACTGTTTTGATTTTTTATATACTTCCTTATACATGTACATGATTAAGCCTTAACCAATGAAATGGCTTCGATTTTATGTTTGAATGGAATAATAATTTTATTGGATGTATCCTCTCATAAGGAAGAATAATATTCTCATAGTAGGGCATATTTATTTCAAAATATCAGTCGACCAATCAGTGGAACTTGTGATTCATGATTTTTATAATAGAAAAACATGTACACAAATAAACCTGGCATATAAATGGCATATAAAGATATATGTATAAATAATTGTGCAATTAATATCAGGTCTCAATTGATATCTGTGATCTCATATTGCACTCCCTTTCCTTTATGATTTGAACTTGAAAATAATCTTATATAATTCATTATTTCATTCTGTTATTACACACTGTTACAAAATAGGATTTAAAAATAGATGATATGTTACATAAGATGTGCAGTCTTAATCTCATTCATAATTGATACCAATCTTAGCAATTTTAAAAAGTTACAGTGGAATGAATCATTAATGTATGTCACTGACATTGTCTTGACTTAGTTTACCTCATTAAGAAAGAATGTACAATTACTCATGTAAAAGCAAATCCATGCATACAGTGATAACCCATCAACTTATTGTAGTACAGTAAAACAGTCTTAGTGAATGCCTCTGTCTATAGTGAACACCTCTCTCTCTAGTGAACACATCTATATCGTGAACACCTCTCTAGTGTAAACCTCCACTCTAGTGAACACCTTTCTCTAGTGAACAACTCTCTAATGAACACCCCTCCCTAGTGAACACCTCTCTCTAGTGAACACCTCTCTGGTAAACACCTATCACTAGTGCATACCCCTCTCTAGTGAACACCTCTGTAGTGAATATTTTAATTCTAGTGAACATCCCTCCCTAGTGAACACCTCTCTCAAGTGAACACCCCTTCTTAGCACAAACTCTACTGAGTCCTGCATAAAATTGCCACTCTGTACATGCTGTAGTGAACAGTGAACACCTTCATATGGTAAACACATTTTTTGTGGCTCCATTGGTGTTCACTGTACACAGGTTTTACTGTACTATTATCTCATTTCTGCAGTTACATCACTTCCTATATGACAGAATGTACAGTGACACAAAAGGCTATAATCTTCACCTCTCACTCATGTTAACTTAGAATGGATGTGCTTATCATGATTTGAGTGCCCTATATGTGCAAGTGACCAATAGTAAAACAGCAATAAAATCAATTCATCTACTTCCTTCACCAACAAGAGATGTTTGTTGTTTGGAGAATTGTTCTCATGAATTCATTTTGACGTACGTCATTCTAGGCACGTGAGGATACATGTATATAGATTAAGTTTCAAAAGCAAATTATTTATCCTGTTTTTAATTTAATTATACTTATTAAAAAAATGTTTTTACTTTTTATAAAAATTGTGAAATCTGTCGACCTGAATTGACCCATATGCCTTGTACAAGAATGGGGCTAAAAGCTCCGAAAGTGAATTCCAAAATATTTATTTAGTTTTGAAAGTGAAATTGATAAAATTGATAAACAGAAAATCAATATTTTATATGTTATAGGAAACCACTTTGACTTATATAGTAACTTCACACAATGCAATCAAGATGATGATGATATATGTGAAACTTCTGCCTAAAATTTTCCATGGGGGCATAAGAAAAAAATATTTCAGTATGAATCACATCAGAAACCATTTTATGGAGCCTAGGAAAATCTCCAAATTATTATTATGTTAATTAATTCATCCTTCATTTCGCAATATGCAGGAGTGCATTTAACTCGTGATATCATGTGGAGAATGGAATGCCTGAAATGGGAACTTGATTTATGAATAATGGAAATATTTCAGCATTAGATAATTTTGGATAACAATGAGTCAATTTTTGCTTTGAGATCAAATATTTGTTTTTAAGTTTGAAATCTTTTTTTCTGGTACATTATATACTGTTTGAACCAAAATCGTTCAATAATTTTACATAGCAAATGAGTCATCTGTATGATTCTGGTTGTAAGATCAAATATTTGTTTTTAAGTTTGAAATTTTTTCTAGTACATAATATACTGTTTGAACCAAAATCGTTCAATAATTTTAGCAAATGAGTCATACATACAACTCTGGCTGTAAGATTAAATATTTGTTTTTAAGTTTGAAATTTTTTCTGGTAGCCTGCATCATTTAATTTGAACCAAAAAGTTCACTTTTACAATTTTTTTCTCAGATGATAATCTCATTTTTTCCAAAAATGATAAACTCATTCATGTTCAATTGTTCCTTATTTGAGGCGAGGTGTTTGGAACAGGAAGAAATCACAAACAATTAAAACATAAGCAATGATAGTTCAACAAATTAAACCTAGTCATCTCTTGAGCCCCAAGAAAATTTAGATTAATAGATTATCCAAATTTGGGTTTAACTTTTTGATCTAACACAATAACTGAATGTGCTCACCATAGTTTTTGAATTGTAAGATGTATATTTTGGAGCGTTGTCATATTTATCAGTGTGATAGGCCTTGCAACAGGCATCGTGGTCTGGTCCGTCACGACGTGTCTTGTGAGATTTTCTACAGCATATATATTCATCACGTTGTTCAGTTTTGATTGGTTCTCCTCCGCAACATTCGGCACTTTTTGGAACAACAGTCCCTGAAACAGTACATGTATTCAATATATTCTCTTTTACATACTACATATATGTACAATCTCTCAACATTTTTGGTTATGAAAAATGAAGCATTTTCATTCCTTCCTTTTCATGGTTTACAGGGTTCTCATGTACAAGTACATGTTTTTTCTAATTGCGCTTTTTAATTTGTTTAAGAATATATGTTAAAAGTGGTGAACCAAGTGCCTGTCTAAAACTTTACAGAAAAATACAGTTCATAAAATTAAACTGGAAACAAAATCCAACAATAAAATGGTGCTTTGTAATGCCAATCTTGTTCGTTCATTATTCTAGCTATACCCCTGAATATAATATAAATTGTAAATGAGTCCGTACCTCCACAGCATTGTTCAGTAGCTTTATTGTATGATACTTCAGTTTTAGAGTGAAGAGTAGCACCACTTTTCTTACAACATTCTTCATTCGGCCCGAGAACTTTTCCACCACAACCAAATTCAAGCTTTACAGCTGTCGCACAGTTTTTATACTTTTCTCGTTCAAACACCTGACTTCTACAACAAATCTGGCTTGTCGGATCATATGAGGCTGAAACAAAAATTCTATCAGAGATTAATAATAAAGATACATTAAACATCAATAACCTTGCTGTTAAATTCCTCAGTATTATATTGTATTAAACATCGGAGCCTTTGACCTATAATTCTTTTTCTCATGATAAATGATCGGGGTTTAAAATGGTTTTGGTCAAATGTTTCCCTTTGTGCTTTCTTATTCTGAACAAGGGTTTAATTACTTTGTGAATGGGTAGACTTGTTAGAGAACTTCAAATGTATATTACTGATCCCCCCTCCCCTTTATCATAAACGAAGGAATTGGGGAGGGAAGGGGGAAGGATCATTCACTTATCCTCCTGAAAAGCCCAGAGTGAAAGATATATGTATAGGTTAGAGAATTTTTCACTCAAAATTGTTTACTTAACACAAAATACATCAACATGTGTGTAATTGGTCTGCTTTACCCAAATAGAAACAAAACGTTGTTTCTAAATGTAAGTAAAATGGGCAAAATGGCAAAAATTTAAAACTGCTATTGTAGACATATTTGTTCTCTTGATATATGGGATTTCTAGGTGGTGAGGTGATACATGTACAGTGATCTCTCCAGCATTAAAGCAAGTGGGACAGCACCCACCTGAGATTTTCATACTAGGCTTGTAGCCACCTGAGAAACCATTTGCACCCACTTGAAAATGAGAAAAATAATGAAAATAGGCATATTTTGACCAATTTTGGTCTGAATTGTGAAAATGAAAAATTTGCACCCACTTGAGAAAAATCCTGTGGAGATCATTGTGTAGATGAGACAATACTTACTGTTTCCGCAACATTCTCTAGACTTGTGTATATCAAATGGTTCAACATTGGGCTCAATACAGCACTTCTCATCATCTGTGTTGTAGTTCTTTTTCCCACAACAAGCTCGATTTGCAACACCAGATGGGTAGCCCTTTATTAAGGTACCTAGCAGAAATATAGCGCATAGATGTAAGAATGCAGAATAGAAGAGTACAAAGTATCATTATGGATGTCCAGAAAACAATAGCCAGAAATTTGAATCGCTTTAGAAAAAAATACATAAAAAATGATCTAGATAAGGTATAAATACCTCTGACACGTAAAGGACACATCTGAGCAATTTAGGAACTCCTCAGTAACAGGGTTCAACTTCAAAACTCACAGTTGCTTGACTGCCAATAGCAATCATTTTTTGGTTTGTGGGCCATGAATTTGGAAAAATAGTTGCTTGACTGCCAATAGCAATCATTTTTTGGTTTGTGGGCCATGACTTTGGAAAAACAGTTGCTTAACTGCCAATAGCAATCATTTTTTGTTTTGTGGGCCATGAATTTGGAAAAACAAGTTGCTTGACTGCCAATAGCAATCATTTTTAGTTTGTGGGCCATGAATTTGGAAAAACAAGTTGCTTGACTGCCAATAGCAATCATTTTTAGTTTGTGGGCCATGAATTTGGAAAAACAGTTGCTTGACTGCCAATAGCAATCATTTTTAGTTTGTGGGCCATGAATTTGGAAAAACAAGTTGCTTGACTGCCAATAGCAATCATTTTTAGTTTGTGGGCCATGAATTTGGAAAAACAAGTTGCTTGACTGCCAATAGCAATCATTTTTAGTTTGTGGGCCATGAATTTGGAAAAACAAGTTGCCTATTAGGCAGTGGACTGAAACATGTGAAAGCTCATATGCTAAATTGAGCAATCACGTTTTCTACCATAATTGTGAATCCTGCTCAGTAGCTGCTCCTCTGATCACAGGGCTTCAAAATCCAGAATACATTCTTCTTTTTACCCCCTGCGATAAGCATTTAGTATTTCCCCGATTAAGAACTCGCAATCTGATTGGCTGTCCCAATACTGCGACAGAAATTATGTATAAGTCATTGTGCATAATTAGATCACATGATTCAGTTTAATCAGGCGCTTCCAAATTGGTTATAGCAGGGGGAAGAAGGAGGTACGGATTCTGTATACCTGCTTAGGAGGATGTCTCAGTAGTGATAATCAAGTATTACCTGCACAACAGCTGTCATCTCTTGCATCAAATGGTATTTCCCCACATATGCTCACTAAACCAGTTGAGAAATCACAGGTGGCACTGCTGTTGTTTTTATCAAAAGGGTTACCAAGGCAACATTGGAGGTCCTCCTTGGGTTTTGCGATTCTTAATGTGTATTTCATGTTGGAGTCCATGCAGCATACATCTGTACGATATTTATACACATTTCCAGTTCCTGGGCAGCATGTGTTCCTTCTCTTCCCAGAGTCCGGATCTGAAAATGTGATATTAATATTGAATTTCTGTTCAAAGACAAAAGATAAATATACCCGTATTTTTATCACTTGATTTGATTGAAAACATCATGGGCTTTCAACTAATTGAAAGCCCATGAAAACATCTATCAAACAAGCAAAGAAGGAACAGCCACTTGGGTGAATCTATTGAAAAATGTGTATTCTCAAATATTACTAATTTCTTAATTTCAAAGCTAAGGTGACATATCCTCATAGGATTACTTGAATGTTGTTCATTTTAGAAATTTTATTGTAATGGATGAAATGTTAATTTGAATATTTTTGATTCCAGGGAAAGTGCACAAAAAGTGTAACAATTGATGACTTATACAATAATGGCTGATGACTTATACAATAATGGCTGATGACTTTTACAATGGTGCTGATGACTTATACAATAATGGCTGATGAATCCAATTGTTGATACTGAGTATAAGTTAATGCATTTATGCAGATATATCATAGGATAATACATGAAGATTCATGACTCATATAATAGCTAACGAATGAGTGATGCAGCCAGAGATATCATTGGATAATACATGAAGATTCATGACTCATATGAATAGCTAACGATTGAGTGATGCAGCCAGAGATATCATAGGATAATACATGAAGATGCATGACTCATATGATAATAGCTAACGATTGAGTGATGCAGCCAGAGATATCATAGGATAATACATGAAGATGCATGACTCATATGATAATAGCTAACGAACCAGTGATGCTGCCAGAGATATCAAAAACTAAAAAACTAAACTAAAAAAACAAATCAAAGCATTCACCAATTTAAGTATTGAGTTCTGTTCAATCAAATTGATTCAAAATTTATACATTTACAACAGTGAATGCCTCACCCAAAGCATGGGCTTTCAACAGACTCTTGAAACCCCATGCCCAAAGCAATAGACAAAGAGATTACATACCTATAATCGGATGTGCGATGTTATCACAGCATATCTTCTCGGTTGTATTAATGATACGATCCCCACAACATTCGTGTTTTGTTACATCATCCAGTCTTTCAATTTTCCCACCGCAGCACAAACTTTGTGAGGGTATGTACCACTCACGGGCACTATGGCAACATTTCTTAGCCCCATAAAGGGGAGCGGATTTTCCATAGCAGTGCTTGACCTGATTCTGCATCGATGTCACAGTCGTCAAATAGCAAAGTAGTAAACCTAAAATTGAAAACACGTACATTGTATGTTATTATCTGTCTCAGATACTCTGAAGTTGAGTTGTGAGTGATGCATGTTGAAATTGTTTTTTTCTTTTATACATTCTGAAAATGAGATAATATCTTATAATTTTATGAGACCGTTTCATTCCTGTGATGTCATATAGCTTTATTTGATCCATTGATCCTTAAAATGACTTCATATCCTTATGAATCATAAGTTTCATATGGTCAAATTTTGAGATCAACAAAATATGAATTACACAAAGTAAAAAGTGAAATTTGTTTTACATCATGAATGTTGGATTAGGTGATATTAATGATTGTATAATTGTATTAAATTAATACGTCTTTTGTTGTCTTACTGAAACAATCTTCCAGTTTGTTTGTTTGTTTACTTAAGTAATATGACCGCAATAATGTACATACTGACATAATGTGTAATGCATTGCACTTGTTTTTACTGTATGATATCATTATTACCTAAGTGCAAGTATTTGGTTATACACAGCCACAGGGGGTCATTATCAGAAATGTTTGTCAGAAAGTTAAGTTCATTGTTCTTAATGATGTCATTATATCCATGGTTACAACATTTGATTTTCTTAACGAAAGCTTCTGTTAATGACCCCCAGATTCACAAGCAGGTGGCTATTGTGGGTCAGATAACATTACACAGAAGCTTGAATGGAATTAGATTCGGGGAGTCAGTTTTTATGTTACCATTTTGAAATACATGTAGTACAACATTTTTTAGATATCTGTTTGGCTGAGGCCTTTGTACTTGACTTTGATAATTATAACATCTAAGATATTTTTAGTAGATAGAACAAAATAAAAATATCCATTTTACTTTTTATGATTTTATAACATGGGTTCTGTGGACAATTTATCAGACCTAGAAATCACATTTTCAAACATGAACGAAATGTAATAAAATTAATTTTCAAAGTTGATGAACAATTTTTAAAAAAGATGCACTATTGGAGATTTCAAATGTAATATCAGTTTTTCATAACTTTGAAGTTTGGAAGGGATATAGTGAAGCCCTTCTTCCATCCGTCAGTCCGTCCGTCCGTCAGTCCGGAAGATAACTTGAATACTAGTCGAAGAATTTTTTTTCAAATGGCCACCGCTTTAAGAATGGTGGATATTTTTGGCAAAAATCTTAATGTTTTTCATTTTAAACCAAAGTAATAAATATTATTATTCGAAATGTTGGTAGTATATTCACAAAATATATCTATTTCACATATGCTCTGTGTTTTTCACCCTGACCCCCAGGGGTCATGAATGAGTTGGGAAAACAGAAATTTGCGTTAATTTTGAGATGTTTTTGAAGTACAGCTTTATTATGCTCAAATGAAAGGCAATTTAGAGTAGATTGCAAATGTTTTATGTTTTTTCTGATTCGGGCCTCGTAAAATTCAAAATGGCCACCTAATGTGGGATTTCGCAATAATTCTCTGATTTCTTAGAAGTATGGCTATATTATACTCAAATTGAAGGAATTTTAGAGTAGATCACAATTATGGTATCATTTTTCTGATTTGTGCCTCAGAAAATTCAAAATGGCTGCCTAGAGCGGGAATTCGCCATTACTTGAGATATCTTTAAGCATGACACTACAATGATCTCAAGTGTTTATTGAAGGGAAGAGTAGATGGTAAATATTACATTGTGACTGTACAGATTCATGATTTATATATTGTTCGTTGGGATTTGCTACTCTGTGGAGTTGCCGATTTCTATTTTTTGTTACATGTATTTAAGTCTATTATATAGACACCATTTTGAGTTTTATACCCAATTGTCTCGTAACCATATATTCTATCTCTGAGTATGGATAAATATGATAATTCCATGCTTACAACTTGTTCTAGATAAGTTTAACATTATCATTATAAGGCAAGGTTCAGTATTGTAAACTATTAAATATTTGACATTATCTTTAGTACATATATATGCACGTATCTATAGACTTAGTATTGAACCCAGGCCCGTAGCCAGAATTTTCCAAGGGGGGGTTCGTTTTTCTAAAAAATTCTAGGGGGGGGTTCACTTTGGCAAATATGGCCAAAAATCACTCAAAAAATCGTCAGAATGGTGAAAAACTGCATGATTTTGAAAGAAATTTTAGCCAGGGGGGGTTCGCCCGAACCCCCCGAACCCCCCCTGGCTACGGGCCTGGAACCAATCAGCAATCAGAATTGAATGTACTTTCTTCAAATTCAGGAAGTAAATAAGAGGATAAATAAGGGGTGCAGATTTATTGATTTTTGAGAGTTTTTTCCCTTGCAGAAAATTACTTCAAAATATTTTTTTAAAACTGTAGGATACGCTGTTATTGAAATTGCTTTTTACCCATTTTTTCAGTTTGACCTCTTGTATAATTGATTTTTTTATTTTAAATGTGATGGGTTAAAATGTAATAAACTGTACAAAAGAGGAACAACATTTTACTTATATCAGTACATTGATTTGTGGTTAACCTCATAAACATGATAAACTTAGACATGTTTTTCAAAGTTCAATGTCAATGGTACAGCAAAATAAATTTAGTTTGACCTATTTTGTAATCCCTTATCTGATTTTCAAAGGCACATTGTATTGAATTAAACATGAAGATATATTAAGAATTATCAGATTATTGTTATACATGAATTTTTGTTATGTGATTTTGAATTAAAATAAATAATGAAAAACACCTTTAGAGTTACTTTATTATGTTGAAATAATGTCCCATCATCTGTTTTATTTATTTAATATACAGTACTAAAATGAGGGTAAAATATTGTGATAAATGAATAACCTATAGTCCTATATGTATATGTAGTTACTTACCAAAGCTGATAGAACTGGAACTAATAACAGAGCCCATTCTCCTAATAAGTGACACTGATATAATAAGTGGGTCTAAGATGTCCAAATTATAGCCTTCCGTTCAACAGGTTTTCTAGATACAATGTCCACTGATTCTTATTCTTGTAAATATTAAATAAACATTCAAATTCAAAATGACTAGGCTTTCCTTAAAATTGCCCTGAGATTTTTTTCTGTCCTGCTTGTTCGGTTTTCACTTGTTAACTGAGAAATTATTCCCAAACTGTTAAGTCCCTAAAACTGTTTGTCAAGAAAAACAAAAATTCCAGACTGAACGGTGGCCATTCAAATCACAGTTTTATAATGATGTCATTGGTCATCAATGTATTATTTCCATTTTGCTGCTCTGGATCTATAGAATCTAGAATGTTAGACTTGTTTATTTGTCATCTTCCCCCACAACTGAAACTGTTCATTTGCTTTTTTATTCGTGTATTTGTTTGATTTATTACAAACATCTGTAAGGGGAATCCCTCACAACTGAAACTGAGCATGTATGATTCATGTGAATATGAGTACCGAAACCATAAAGAAGGAAAAATGATGAAACTTGATAAAGGGGATTCCCCTTTTTAGGTGGTTGATGTCATTGTAATAGATGGCGCTACAATCATATTTTAGCAATATGGCGGACAGAGGTAATTTTTTTTGTTTTTTATTTTTCCACATTTTAGTAAACTAAGAAGTATATATGCAATTATTGATTGTGATTACCATTCTATACCATTGTTGAATCCGGCACTTCATTCTCTTCAAGTTAGAATAGTGGCATATCATGAATTAGCCTTCCATCTCATGATTTTTGAAATTTCATTGAGTTGAAAATTGAAAAATGCTTGGAATTGGAATTCATTTCAATTTTATTCTTTCAAAGTCTATCTGATCTGTCACCATTCTGTTCTAGCCTTTGAAATAGGTAAGATTTTGACTGTTCAACTTGTTTGTTAGATCTAGTAGGCCAGTCTAGCCATTTATACAAAAAACACAGTTAGAGGGGGATGACTTACTCTTACTTCGGTCCAAAGCCTTCTCTATATTCCGGCTTTGAGGAGGAAGATTGAGCTGCCTTAGTATTATAAATATTGTAAATCATTGTGTCACACGCACAGTAAATATGGCATAATAATATGAAATATACCTTTATGTATAGATTTGAAGAACATCAGCTCACATCCCCGTCTGAATCTATTGTTATATTTGATTTCTTTAAGCGAGAATAATTTCAAATGTTATTCACATCCAGAACCGGAAGCCATTTTTAGCTACAGCGAGAAAATTTCACCATGTGTCAAACTCCGAAATGAAATTTTGAAATATCTAAATCCAGACAAGCAACGCTTCATCCTAAATATGATTAATATTCTTAAAAATATTTATAAAATTTATTAAAAATGAGTTCTAGGTGCGTGTAGGTGCGTGTAGCACAGTACATACGAAATCAATGAAGTTTCGTCTAGCTGTAAGCTAGAGACTCGAGTAAACTTACTCCTTGTTACAGTCTAAAAAGGCAAGAACTAACTTTGACATATAAGTGTTACCTGATGAATGGGACCCTCACGTGCCTTCCAAATGGTAGTAAACGAACTCCAATGTAACTACATCAGCTTATCTTTTCGTCCGATCAACAATAAGTACAGTTATACAAGAAATGTCATTTCCGGAAGTTATGATACGTTATATTACCGAACATGTGTGAAAATGGAATGTTTGTTCAATGTTCGCATTTTATTTAGCTCTCCTAAAATGAATGAACAAAAAAATTGGAGGCTATTGGCTCATTTCGTCAACCTTAAACATTTTTAAATTGAGACGGAAAGCATATCAGAGAACATTGGAAAATAAACCAAGGAATGAGAGAGAAGACGTTTGTATGAAAACAAGATTGGAAAATGTGATTTTTAGCCAAATTGAATTTTTAAAAACACTAATGTTTTGTTTCAGACATTGATGCATTGCCAGAATCACTTTTGGCGATATACATGTACATCGATTAATTGTGAAAACACAACAGAAAATCTCAAACTCTCTCCATGTTTGAATTAATTTTTGTAAATTTTGTATTACTGTTACAGATAACCTGTTATCTGTCTCATGGCACGACAGCGCCTGGATCCCAATGTTGAATGCACAGAACGTGATGGATTACTTCAGCGAGCGATCAAACAGTTTTTATGACAGGACGTGCAATAATGAAATCATCAAAATGCAGCGGCTTAACCCAGAGCAACTCAAGTAAGGAAACATAGAATGGTCAAAATTGGAAAATATAAATTATATGTCTTTAATTTAGATATTGTGCAAAATAAAAGAAATTATTCTTCTGAGCTGACTAAGGTGACTGAGGATTGTGGCTCAATTTTTTTTAAGGATACATTCCTATGTAGGGCTATATTATGAATATATTTGATTTGATGGTAAAAACAGATAGAAGCTGTTAAACTGGGAAGGATCATTTGTCAATTACGTTTATCTGTTCAAGCTTAGGTGAATTTTCTTTGGTTATTCCCATGACATTTTATCGAAAACTACGACCGTTCTAGTTAAATTTTGTCAATTTCCTTATTAAACATATTCTGTCTCTACAATTTGAATGTCTAAAACCATAAATTGTACTATTTTCAAATATTCCATTTCACATCTCAATAAGGGCTCTGTCAAGAGAAGAATGGCCTGACCACAAGGCCAAGGCTCAAGGGCACATAAGTTCTGGTAAATACCAAAATCAAAAACAACATCATGCCCATAGCCAAAAAGGGGTTTCACTTTTCAGACAACTTTGGCCCAAAATCACTGGAAAAGTGCTCAGAAATGTTTTGGATTCCCCCCTGGCCGGGGCCTGTTACATAACATACGTGATGTTTTATATGCTTCCATTTTTCTCTTTCATTTTGATTCATTTAGCTTTTGATCTATGACTAAAACGTTACTAATAAAAATTATGACCCATGGAATATATACGCCCCTCGGGTGTCTTTTTCATGTTATTGATGAAATATTGTATGAATTATAAATTGCTTTATTTCAGTAACATGACGGGTGTTGAATACATTCTACTCCATGTACAAGAACCAATCCTATATATTGTAAGAAAGCAGCATAGACATTCCCCAAATCAAGGTAGGTCTATTCATAATTTTAATGGTTTGAGGGAACTCTACCTTATAAGTAGTACAATTTTATATAAAAGCTACCTCCTTAATCAAAACAAGAAAGTGTTTTTGATAGGATACCTTAAACAAGCTAATTTCAAACGTTATGGATCGAATGTTAAAAAACAATTTTTCCTCAAGTATAAGAAATCTTCATTTTGTAAAGAATGTATTGAAGCAAGATGTTATTTTCATAACCCTGCCCCATTCATTAGCATCCTAAACAATTCTTGCTGAAACGACCCTTTTGTGTTTTTCAGTGACAGCGCTTACTGATTACTACATCATAGCTGGGGTTGTATACCAGGCTCCAGACCTTGGCTCAGTCGTCAGTTCACGATTGGTAAGTTTTATTCATGATCTCAAACTTGAGTTTCAGTTTTGCTATTTCTCAGTCAACAACTCATACATAGGATTCGACTTCCTTAGTTTCATTAACCATTTTCAGTAGGTGGCATTTTTAAATGTTTATGTTTTGTTAATCCAGACCCCTTTGATGTCATATTTCATGTAACTGGTTAACTAAATGTACTGGACAATATTGTTACTCACACATTTCACAATAATTTTTGACACTTTTTGAAATGTTTTTGTTTTATAAAATGTTTAATGTAATTTATAGTCTCCAACTTTTTTGTGGATGATGCTGGGTGGTTGATGTTCGGCAGCTGGCATCTGTAATGAATGCAGGGGTTTCACTAGAATTTTAGAATTTCTCACAACAGGCTTAATAAATGAAGACAACAGGCAAAATTAATGGAAATAATAAATTTAACATGAAAAAGTTGAAAATTTCCAAAAAAAGAACTGGCGATTTTGTGAAAACAACCGGTGAAAATCGCCTGCTGCTAATGAAACCCCTGGAATGTCAGGTGGTGACATTTTGCATGTTAATGCCTTGTTTTATGATTTGTTTCTCATTCCAGCTGAATGCAACATTTAACCTCCAGTCTTCCTTTGAAGAAGGTAAGCCTATTGTATTGTATTGCATTGTATCTTATTGTATTGTAAATGTGTCAACTGGTATTTTACAAGAGTTTATAGCATATACACAAATGATCTGTATATATATACCTGTATAGTGTATATATACAAGGTGGGCCAAAAAAAACCAATACCCAACTTTAAATCAGAATGAAAACAGCTATGTTCAATATGATACATTGATTTATATATCGTTTTAAAGGTAATCCATTTTCGAACAATTTGGTATATAACACTATGTCATGAAATCAATATTAAAGTTTTATTATGCTTATTTGGGAGGCCGGGTCGGTATTTAAGGTATCCAGATTTTAGGGAGAAAATAGTAAATCTGCGGAATAATGTTAATTTTTTATTTATAGAATATCATTTTGTTAGGTGAATACATGCTTGTCTATTTGCATATTTAGTGACTAAACTTATTGTTTATGAATTTTAGTGTTGTTTATTATCAATAATTACTCCAAGGGTAAAGACATTAAACGTATATGTGATTAGGATTTTATTTTCCAACAAGACATTGCCTCGAACCATAGATCAAAGGAGACATTGGCATTTCTTTGAAAACAAGGTGTCAATTTGATTGATCTCGATGCTTGGCCACCCCCCCCCCCCACCCCCCCACCCCCCGATGCTAATGTGTTTGATTACCATACATGGAGCCATCCCGAGGAAATGGTACAATCAAAAGCATCCAATAAACAGCATTGATGAGCTGAAACAGAATCCTAAAGTGCTGAAATGAATTGCAACAGAAATCTCTCAATAAGGCTATTGATAGATTGCGCTACCACTTGAAGTTTTGTTGATGCTGAGGGGAGGGGTGGGGTATATTGAGCAATTGTTAAAATTGTTTAAATAAATGAAGTGTAAAATTTTATTAAACAACACTGAAATTCATAAACAATAAATTTAGTCACACAATGATGCAAATATCAATATCCAAGCATGAATTCACCTAACAAAAGAATGATATTCTATAAATAAAAAAATAACACAATACCGCAGATTTACTATTTTCTCCCTTTAATCTGGAGACCTTAAATAGCAACCCAGCCTCCAAAATAAGTATAATAAAACTTTACTATTGACTTCATGTCGACATAGTGTTATATACCATATTGTTTGAAAATGTATAAACTTTAACATGATATGTAAGTCAATATATCATATTGAATGTAACTATTTTTATCCTGATTTCAAGTTGGGTATTGGTTTTTTTTGGCCCACCCTGTACATACACATATGTGCACATAAATTGTATAAATTGGAGAAAACAAATAAAAATACAGCATTTCCACTCACATCTACTTGTAAGAAAGCTGTGTGGTAGTAAGTTATACAAGGGTTGATCATAAAGTTCTCATAATATCTCTCTAATTTCTTAATTTTCAATATATCATATTTCTTTTATAAGAAATGGTTGCCATGGTGGCCATGCCAAAAATCAGAAGACCTGGGGCGAATTGAAAAAACTTAAAAGAATGACCCCCATTTATGTTACACCAGTATTATTACTATATTACAATGTTTTGTGCTGGATTGATAAAGCGTCGAATGCTGATCATTTCATGAAAATTTCATTTGAAAATAAAGAAATTAGAGAGTATTATGAGATTTTTATAATCAACACTCATATATGCAATACCAGGGTATCATTAACAGAATCGTCTGTAGAGTTAATAATAAGTCATAAGTTCAATGCTGCTTTACAATGACATCATTGTATCCATGGTTTCAATAATATTGACATTGTAATAATTAATTTTAGTAAGTTCGTGTTAATTAATTCTAGAGGTTTTGTGCATGATTCAGGAATAATTAATTTCAATAAGTTTCTGTTAATTAATTCTAGAGCTTTTGTGCATGATTCAGGGATAATTAATTTCATCTACATGTAGTTTCTGTTAATGACTTTCAAAGCTTTTGTGCATGATTCTTAGATCGGTTAACATCTTTGATTTCATAATTAGAGAACTTACACATGATTTGTTTACTTCCAGCCCAGTCTTACTCCAGATACCACCCATCTAAGGGCTACTGGTTTGAGTTCAAAGACAAAGATCAAGCAGGTCTTGCATTGATTTTATTCTATATCTTAAATCGAAATCGTTGATAAGTGGGAAAAGATAAAAGTCACATATTTGGGAGGCATTATCCAAAGTTATTTTTTCTTTGATATAATGGTTATAAGGTTGTTCCGTTGTTAAAAAGAAGTATTCTATCATAATTTAAAGAATAGTACAGCTTAATGATACAAAACAACTCATTTGTGTTTTTACCTTTGAAGAATAATGCAGTTTAATGATACAAAACAACCCATTTGTGTTTTACCTTTGAAGAATAGTGCAGCTTAATGATACAAAACAACTCATTTGTGTTTTTACCTTTGAAGAAAAGTGCAGCTTAATGATATAAAACAACTCATTTGTGTTTTTACCTTTGAAAAATAGTGCCACTTAATGATACAAAACAACTCATTTGTGTTTTTACCTTTGAAGAAAAGTGCAGCTTAATGATATAAAACAACTCATTTGTGTTTTTACCTTTGAAAAATAGTGCCACTTAATGATACAAAACAACTCATTTGTGTTTTTACCTTTGAAGAATAGTGCAGCTTAATGATACAAAACAACTCATTTGTGTTTTCACCTTTGAAGAATAGTGCCACTTAATGATACAAAACAACTCATTTGTGTTTTTACCTTTGAAGAATAGTGCAGCTTAATGATACAAAACAACTCATTTGTGTTTTTACCTTTGAAGAATAGTGCAGCTTAATGATATAAAACAACTCATTTGTGTTTTTACCTTTGAAGAATAGTGCAGCTTAATGATATAAAACAACTCATTTGTGTTTAAGAATCCAGTAAGAAAGATGGGAAGAAGAAAAAAGAAGAGCCGAGCTCTATATTCCAAAGGCAGCGGGTAGATGTTCTCCTTACAGACCTCGCAAACAAATTCCCTCCTAAACAGCCACCCCCTCCTGCCCCAGTGGAGAAGCAAGGTACATGTACTAAAATAATCTGGTTAAAGGGTCTACTTTTTAGTACATGCATTAATCTGTTAATCAATGAAATAAGGTCATCTATATTGTGTTTGTCCTTGAGGCAATTTGTATGAAATAATACGCCTCCAAAATCACTCTCTTAATTCATGTAGAGGATGTTCTTGTTTGCTTTTAAGATTTGGTTTCTGGGATATAATGGTCTACTCAAACCTTCTAAGTGACTTAAATATAGAGAAAAACATGCAGTAACAGTAACAGTATGCAAGCTCTGATTAGGTTGACACAGATAAATCATTATATAAATCATTGACATAAAGAGTATGAGTAGGCCTACATAATCCCTCTTGCAAAGGGTAGCTTTGCCAGAGTAATATGAAACACTTTTAATCTGGAATATCTTTTGTTGTTACAGAAGATGTTAAAGCTGAGAAACCTGCCACAATACCAAATATTAAACGAGAAAAACCAGATGATACTCAAGGACAGAATAAAGTAAATGGAAATAGACAACCACCTGAAAAGAAACCAAAGTTAATGAGGTGATAGTGATACAGCGAATTGAAATTCGTGAAATTGCAATAATGAAGCATCCCGAGCCATGCTCCTCTATTCTGAACTGAGGAACTTGCATGTACACAGTGTGTAGATGATGCCACCATATTCACAAATCACCCTATATACATGTACATGTATGTTTAATATGTGGACCTGAATACTGAACAGTGCAGGCTCGGGAAAACATGTCTATTTACAGGTGATATTTTATACGAATGACTTTAATATCATCATTGGATATTGCCAAATAATGTTCAAATGCTTGAGTACATGTAGTATAGTGCAGAATGTGGAATCAGAATGTAAAATCAGTATATCTGAACAACTCTGTGATCCAAACGCTAGCTCTCAATACGAACACTTTCTCGGTTCTAATTTTGTAATCTCCCATTGACTTCCCTGTTAAAAAAACTTAAAATGTGAATACCTGATTTTTGAACACTTTTGGCTAGTTCTCTTGGTGTTCAGATCAAATAATTCACCTGACTCCCCCTATGATATGTGGATCATTTATATTCGGCTCATCCATTTATAGAGTTAGTACACGAGACTGTTACCATTGATAAGCAATAGGACATATGTATATGAATAAAATAAAAAAGTCAGAATTCCTTGTTTGTTTTAAACACTTTACATCAAGAGAAAATAGCCTTGATTGATGTAGGTGTTATGACAGTATTTCAAAGGATTTTTTTTCAAAAGAATAAAAGATTTACAATATTGAGCATCATGGTAAAAGGTTGGATTCTTTAAAAAATTATGTTACAATAAATTAGGATGAAAAAACGAAGGTTGACAGCACGGACAACCATACTGTTCCCCACCAATGGATCCTGGAATCCGGTTATCACATCTTCAGATATTGACACTCTGATATCAAATGTGGGAAGAACATTTACAGCCACATATCCATCGAACGGACCCTGGGCTCCTCCTATGGCTATGAATGCGTCAAATGTAACCCAAGAACAACATTATTTTCACTGTAACACTTGTGAGATAAAAATTAAACACAAAGTTTCATATATATTACATAAAAGTCTTCATGATACAAATATCCCTTTTAAATGCTCAAGCTGTAATAAAATATTTTATGATGGACCAACTTTCCTTCAACATACCTGTTTGTTTTATTGTGATTATGAGTGATTTAAAGTGACTGATTTAAAGTGACTGCAAACCACCCCCCAACTGGCCAAAAAATCTTTCAAAATCATGCAGTTTTTCACCATTCTGAGCACTTTTTAAGTGATTTTGGCCATTTTTGGACCAAAATTGTCACAAGTGAACCCCCCTGGAATTTTTCAAAAAGTGAACCCTGGCTACGGGCCTGTTAATGCCTATCATTCCTTAAAAAGATTAACTTAATCAATCCACAACTGTTGACTTTTGGACAACATCCCTAAACGGAACAGAATTAGAATAATTCATAGTTCAAAATTCAGGGCAAAACATGTACATCTTGGCAGATTAAAGTTTTAAATAAACAAATATGAGTATTTATATTCATTATTTTATTTACATTTAATGAATTCTATCCCTCTGACATTAGGATGTACGTATATACACTATATGGCAATCAAAAATTGCAAGAATAAATATAATTTATATGATAAATAGATCATATACAATATGCAAAACCTGTCCATCGGTACATGCACAATCCTATTTGGAAACTGACTTACAAAAATTATTTACCATGGTTCATTAAGAGTTCAAAATACTGTTCCACTCAATCCATGTGGACTCAATTCCAAGCAAGGATGATTCAAACATGACCGTGCTCTATTTGAATTTCTAAACCAATCAGAATGCAGCATAGCCAATAATGAACGTTCATTATTTCTCCATACAGGCACGACCGTGCTCTATTCAATCATCCGGGTATCTATATATTGCGACGTCACACCTATGAATGGCAAAAATAACAGCAAGTTTGGTTATTTCATTGACCTAAATCCCCAATTCTCTGAACAAGTTTTTTTTGTGTTTGAATCGAAAAAAATAATGATAGGCCATTCAAGATGGTGAAATTCTACACTCTATGGACAGAATGTCAGGACTGCAAGGGCACCATCGGTTCATGCTTTGTACGACATTCTGTCCAACTCGTGCTGAATTTCACCATATTGAAAGGCAATCATTATTTATTCCTTTAGTAATTCATATCCTGGGGCACTTTTGGAAAATCTGATTATATTATTATGTAACCAAAATGTGTGAATAATTAACAGCTTTAAATTGATTAGAAAATCACAGTTGGTCTTCCCAATCCCTTAAGAAGAGTCTGTCATTGAATTCTTCAACTGATTAATTTAGTCCAATGCAAGATTTCACTAATTACTTTTCCATTTACATGCCTTCCTTTTTAATTCTGGTCACTCATTGAAATCCAAAACACAAGAATGATTGTTGATATTGTTCACAAACTGCTGTTTTGGTGTTCTTTGGTTTGTATAGTGGCCTGGAGTTTATTCTGGGAATGAAAGTCCTCCTGTGTTCTCATGGGATACCTTGACCTCTTGTGATAACCTTTATGGTATTCGTTCTACTGTTGCATGTCTCTACCAAGGTTTGTCAACTGGAATCAAAATATTTTATTTAAAAAACAAAATCCCCAATACAAATACAGCTGCTAGAATAAATATGAGTGCAGCAAATTAATTGAATTACAAATGAGAGCTGTGAAAGTTTTAGCAAATTCTTGACAATTGGCAAATTAAGATAAAAAATAATTATTCAAAATTTTAATGTTAAGCTGGAACGTATTGCAAACTTCTCAAAACAACAAGTGATTTGGGTAAATGATGCTAATAGAATGGTATTTCTTTCACCTCAACAGTATCAAGATGTGACAGATACATCAAATTAAAGCCTTCATTCAGAAGGTCATATCTATAAGTCTAAATATGAGAACTTGATGCCAACCACGGCCCACCAACAGCCACCTTGCAACCGCTGTCACAAAAACAGAGATTAATAACAATAATCACCACTAACAATAAACACCACTTTTGGTGGTGACATAATAATAAAAGGTTCAGTGACCACACATGTAAGTCTGATTTGTTTTTCAAGTATTTGATTCTTATGTCGCTCTTGTGTAATCGAAACATGTGAGTTGTACTTCACATGTTTGAACACACTGGGGCCCGTCTCAAAAGTGTTCCCAGAATTCCTTGTGAAAAGGCCTCACCTGTTTCAAGAACTGCGCAGCATTAAAGACCTCGCTACAACCATATATGATCCTCTTCTCCCCTGATCCACCTTTACTCTAGATGATAATAGCAAAATTATAATAATTACAGTATACTGTACTTAGTCATGAAATTGATGACCAATTATTTGGAAATCTGAAGTTGAAATACAGGGGATCTTACAAGTCACGTATAGTATCATAAAACATTGATCGACTGATTGTAGCAGTTAACATTGTTAGACTTGACAAAATTAATTTAACTCAATATTTATAATGCACTTTCTTTATAAATTCTTGGAATGTGGGATGCGCATGATCAAAATATTTACAGATGTGTAAGAACAAAATTGGGAGAGGGGAAATCAAAAGAATGAAAAATCAATATCAACAATTTGCAAGGTTTTACACTATCCTCAAGTTATCTAAGCATTGAGATTTTTTTATTCTAAATAGCTCAATTAAATTGTTTTCTTTATATAATCCAGGGGTATATACATGTACAGGGTGTTTCATGTATGCAGTCCCCTCTAAACTCATACATGTAGTATTGCCAACCTATCATGTTATATATCAGTTTGTTCCTTATGGAAAGTTACATAAGATTGCAAAATTTCAGAATCCAGAGGCATTCCTGAAAGAAACAATACAATGTATGAGTTCAGAGGGGGAGCATACATATGAAATACAGGTACCTTGTACACCTGTCTTACCTTGCTGTAGTCCATGAGGTTCTGATATTCTATATAGTTTCCCCCTCCCACCATGAACACAATGGCATCTTGGAATGGTGATCTGTTACGTGGTATAGAACTGAAAGAATGTGAATTCAAACAGAGTAATGAATTGAATTCTGACATGTTCGTTTAGTACAACCTCCTAAGCAGGTGTCCAGAATCCATACATTCTTCTTCTCCCCAAGGGAAAAAAGAAGAAATTTTGGATTTTGGAGTCCTGCACTCGAAGGATGGGTTTAGTACAGAACTAAAATTGAAAATACGAATGGTGTTACAGGTTATGTGAGATTTATAGTGGTTAACTTATCAAAGTTCAATTCAGCATCCAAACAGAATCTAGTGATGCAGAGGCCCCATGTGATATTTTGGTCTCTTTTCAAAAAGAATGTATGTATCCTAATTAGCATTCATTAAATATACGCGCATTGATTTATTTGATCATATTAATCATACCATATGAATCAAAGTAACTGATAATTTTGTCAGGTACATTCAAAAATAAAGGAAATGTTTAGAAAGAAAATATTTAGTGAAAATATAATTTTATCTTGTAAGGGTGACATTCACCCTTTTAATATGATTATAGTTTCAAATGTGACTAAAACATCAAACAAACAATTAGAGACATTGTACCAGATATGAAATCAATTTAAAAAAAATAAATAAAAGAGACGGACTAGTCAAAGAGGTGGTGGCTTTGGTTCCAATTTCTACAAACTCTTTCTAAAATACAATTCTGGTTGAAGAGATGATGTGTCGGGAATGTTGAGGGGAGCAGCGGTTTTATGCAAGACTACACCACATGAAAATGAGCGCAAGTTGATACACATATGAAATTGAAAATTCATAGACATTTTATGTACCTATCTGAGCCGCGGAGAAGTTTTGGGTCAAAGTATCTGTAGTCGTCAGTTTCCTGGGAAGATCTCATCTCAAGTAGGTTGTCTGCTATACGCGTCACTGGCAAATTCTAAAAGACAAGAATTTTGAAAACATGTTTTGATGTGACAGTTAAGGATGTAATGCCCTAAACAGGGAGACTGACATCAAGTGTTAATTAGACAGTCTAGATTGTATGGGACAAATTTACAAATGTATAATTATTAGAAAATATTACAATAACAACAATTTTCTCAATAACTCACATGTCTCTTGACGACAAGATTTTTCACACCCTCCATGGCAAATTCAGAAGCTTGAGACATCAACTTTGAGAACATGCTGCAAACATTCAAAATAATAGGGAGATTAAGTTACATGCTTTTTTTAATAAGTATGTAATATTTACACCCCAGGGGATAACTGTTTCGCTCTCAATTCACTTTTCCAAGAACCTAATTACAATTATTTTCCGTATACCTTTATACTCAATCAGCCAAGTAAACAGTACAAATGGAAGAACTAATCCACAGAGGACAATAAATCTACATGTTCACGTACAATTAAAAAAAATGTGTATCTTTATATTGTACCTAATATTGCAATACAACGTATATAGAACATTCATGAATCAATGTCATATTGCCCACTCACTTATTGGTTTTGGCTGTGGGTTCTTTGCAATGTACCCGGCAATGAAACACTAAAATCTATCCCATAATAATACAAAAAAGGTCACACAAAAGATTGAAACGGATTTCCATTGACAGGAAAAGAACAGAATTTGATGTAACATACACGAAGATTACAATAACAAGGCATTAACATGCAAAATGTCAACACATGATATTTGTTACAGACCAGACTTGCCAACCTCCCGTTTTTTTACGGGAATCTCCCGTAAATTTTTTGTTTTTCCGTAAAAAATACCAAACTCCCATACCGTTTTCTCCCGTAAAAACTCCTGTAAACTCCCATACCGTATTTCTACTAAAATCTCCCGTAATTTTTTAAAAAAATATGGCCGTAAAATCTCCCGTATTCTTGCTGAAATCTCCCGTATTCTGGTATAACTCCCATAAAATCTCCCGTATTCTTGGTATAACTCCCGTAAAATCTCCCGTATTCTTGGTATAACTCCCGTAAAATCTCCGTTTTTTGCTGTCGAAATCTACCGTATTTAAAAGGAATTTGACAAATTTGTGACCTTGATCATGCAGGCACACTTCTTTCTTTTACTCCAAGAAGGATTGGCTCCCATGGTTCACTATCGATACTTTCATAAATAACTTAAAAGTACTTCATTCCCATGATGCAAATTGCTTTTCTGTGATCAGTTCGGTATAAGTTTGCACACCAAATGTCCACAAACGGGGGCCAGTTCATATTCTGTCATACTTCTGTCGGGAGAATACATTTTGTTTTTATATGGCGCTAAACAAAATATTCCCGCAATATAAGGCGCATTATGGGTAGGGATTGCTGTGAAATAATGAACGTAAGTGACATCTATCTTAGATTATAAGTTCTAATTAATTTATTAACTGCGCATGCGTCATAATAATTTCAACCAATTAAATCGCTGGATTTAATGCTCATACGCGAAAAACCGAACCTAAAAATTGAACCTCACGCAGATTGCCCTTAGCATATAGTGAACGCCACATATACATTTTACTTAGCTTTGATCAATTCGTTTCCAAAGTAATAAAATGTTGTATCTATAATCTAAACAGATCATATTAATAATATAGACAGTTTGAAATATAAATCATCCCAGAGTTTGACAATTTGAACTACATCAGTTAAAATAATTATATGAAATAAACAATTTTTGTGGTGGTTCGAAGTTGCATTATAATTTGAAGAGTTCTATCCTGTTTTTTCATAAATCTACCGTAAAAACTCCTTTCAAAATCTACCGTAAAAACTCCGGTTTTTTTCAGAAATCTACCGTAAAAACTCCCATTTTTTTCAGAAATCTACCGTAAAAACTCCCGTTCTTTCAAAATCTACTGTAAACTCCCGTTTTTTCAAAATCTAAAGTAAAAACTCCTATTTTTTCAGAAATCTACCGTAAAAACTCCCGTTTTTCAAAATCTACCGTAAAAACTCCAGTTTTTTCAGAAATCTACTGTAAAAACTCCCGTTTTTTCAGAAATCTACCGTAAAAACTCCAGTTTTTTCAGAAATCTACCGTAAAAACTCCAGTTTTTTCAGAAATCTACCGTAAAAACTCCAGTTTTTTCAGAAATCTACCGCAAAAACTCCAGTTTTTTCAAAACCTACCAAAAAAACTCCCGCAAAAACTCCCGTTTTTTCTGAAATCTTCCGTAAAAAAGTCACGTTTTTTTAAATTTACCGCGAAAAATACCTTTTTTAAAAAATCTCCCGTAAAAACTCCTGTTTTTTCAAAATCTCCCGTGAAAACTCCCGTTTTTTTTTCAAAATTTACCGCAAAAACTCCAGTTTTTTTAATTCTCCCGTAAAAACTCCCGCTTTTTTTCAAAAAAATCCGGCAAAAACTACCGGATTTTGAAAAAAACTCCCGTAAAAGTACCGCAATTTTTTTAAATCTCCCGAAAAAATTTCATTTTAGGTTGGCAAGTCTTTTTCCAGAAATCTACCGTAAAAACTCCCGTTTTTTAAAAATCTACCGCAAAAACTCCAGTTTTTTCAAAACCTACCAAAAAAACTCCCGATTTTTCAAAACTTCCGCAAAAACTCCCGTTTTTTCTGAAATCTTCCGTAAAAAAGTCATGTTTTTTTAAATTTACCGCGAAAAATACCTTTTTTAAAAAATCTCCCGTAAAAACTCCTGTTTTTTCAAAATCTCCCGTGAAAACTCCCGTTTTTTTTTCAAAATTTACCGCAAAAACTCCAGTTTTTTTAATTCTCCCGTAAAAACTCCCGCTTTTTTTCAAAAAAATCCGGCAAAAACTACCGGATTTTGAAAAAAACTCCCGTAAAAGTACCGCAATTTTTTTAAATCTCCCGAAAAAATTTCATTTTAGGTTGGCAAGTCTGCAGACACCGAAAGCTGGACACCAACTGCCGACCAATGTCCACAAAAAAAGTTGGACACTATAACAATATGTCACCACTTCTGGCAGATACTCATCTCAACAACACAATGAAATGTTGAGCAATATTTTTGTTTTCCAGTGTAAATAATAAATTTAAAGTTCAAAGTCATAAATTAAAGAATAAGTACAGAAATTCAATGATTTTTAAAGGTGCGATCCAGGGGTGCAATTTACATGTTTGACATAAATATGGCAATAAAACCTGCAATCATATATTTGCCATAAATTATGGAATTGAGGCCTTAGTTATTATTCTAATAAGATAAAGATATATCATATTAGAATTAAGGAATTTGAGGTCTTTGGCAATGGCCAGAATAAAATTTGAGGTCATATATTTGACATAAATCATAAAATCGAGGTCTTTGTTATGATATCAATATGATTAACAGACAAGAAACACAACTATTTGCATTTATGAATTTTAGCGGTCATACATACTCCAAATAGACCAGTAAATCAATTGTTCTTGCAATTGTGACGTCAGGTAGCATATTAGAATTCAAAATAAATTACCAGAGTAACCATGGTTAAAAATACTTGTTTAACTTTAAATGTAAGGCATATAGTTTGGGAAACTTAAATAAAATCAAATAATGGTAAATTGAGGTTTTATAAGATAATAAAAGCAAAATGGAACAAGGAACCCTACTTGGATTTAATCAAAAATGAAATAGACAGAAATAACTTGACAAAGCTAAGAATTAGGTCGTTACACAAAACCAATTACCCCTATTGAAGAAAGAAAATGTTTAATGTGTAACAAGAAAACCGGTTCAGAATGCCATTTCCTATTAGAATGCAATAAGTTAAAAGATGTTCGGTCAAGTTAGATGGATAAAATAAAAAAACACTGTCAAAATTTAGAAAACATGAATAACGTGGAACATAAATTAATGTTTCTATTTAATTCAGAGGGAATAATATTAAATATACTAGCAAAATATATATCTAATATTTTTATCAAGAGAAAAAAACACGAAATGCATCCAATAAAATCTTGCAATGATCAAGCACCCTAGTTAATATAATATATAGATAGTTAGTTAAGCTTTTTAATTTTTTTTCTGTTTAAGCTGTACACTTTGCCCAAATGTATAATAAAGCTCATAATAATAATATATGAACATTTATAGATGGGCATGTAATATTAATTATTATATAATATTGATTATAATAAATCAAACTCCAAGATCCAGTGAATCAGAGGACAGTGAAAGTATTACTATTACTCTATCCATGATAATTAAAAAGAAAATTAATTTATTAAGCTCCAAACAAATAGTTACTTCTCTTGCAGTGAAAACCTGAAGGGCCAAAGGGAACACATCTTCCGTCACTAAAAGCGCAATAAGTATACAACAAAAATATAATTTGATAATAACAAATATTCAATAAAATTTGTTATCAGCACTTCCATATATGGTCATTACTTACCCGACAGTTTTTGTTCCACCTCCACCATACTGGCTTGGCGCTGCCGTAATTTTTGTATAAGTTCTAAAATTGTGAATTAAATTAGATTAATATTAATTTTCAAAGAAAAAATACTTAATGGGCATGTACCACTGCCATAATTTTTTTCAATGTGTAAACCTATTTAAGTTGATACATTTATAAGTTGGCAATCAGGTGATATAGACAGTAATATAAAAATGCAATGTGTTATTTTGTTTATAGACAACTACATTGCATTGGAGGGGATCCCAATGAACAAAAAAATGATCACCACTAAGTTAAACTGATAAGTTGTACACTACATGTACGCTCGTATATATGTTTATAGTCTTATCCTTAGCTTAGTATTGCACCAGGCCCCTATATACTGTTTAATTGGTAATTTTGTCTAGTCATTTAATTTGCCCATTGTGTAATTTTTGCCAGGTTCGGAAAATTAAATGTTGGAAATATTATCTTCATAATGTTATACAATGGGGAGTTTCTTGTCAATAGGAAAACTAAAATTAGGAAAATGATAAAATTTGACAATTCGGCAAAAACACTCAGATTAAATACCACTTATACAGCATCACCTCTCTCAAATAATATATACAGCTCATAAACAAGTTAGTACTGAAATAAACGGGGGACCAAACTTGATGCAAATTTGTAATTAGCAATCAATTTCTTACTTCCATCTCCTAACATATTGTAGAGGTTCTAGGTCACAGTTAGAGCCCTGCAGTGCAACACTGTATTGGTCAATCTCAGCCTGAAATATACATTTTAACATACAGTTAGAGCCCTGCAGTGCAACACTGTATTGGTCAATCTCAGCCTGAAATATACAATATAACATACAGTTAGAGCCCTGCAGTGCAACACTGTATTGATCAATCTCAGCTTTAAACATACAATATAACATACAGTTAGAGCCCTGCAGTGCAACACTGTATTGGTCAATCTCAGCCTAAAATATACAATATAACATACAGTTAGAGGCCTGCAGTGCAACACTGTATTGGTCAATCTCAGCCTAAAATATACAATATAACATACAGTTAGAACCCTGCAGTGCAACACTGTATTGATCAATCTCAGCCTTAAACATACAATATAACATACAGTTAGAGCCCTGCAGTGCAACACTGTATTGGTCAATCTCAGCCTAAAATATACAATATAACATACAGTTAGAGGCCTGCAGTGCAACACTGTATTGGTCAATCTCAGCCTGAAATATACAATATAACATACAGTTAGAACCCTGCAGTGCAACACTGTATTGATCAATCTCAGCCTTAAACATACAATATAACATACAGTTAGAGCCCTGCAGTGCAACACTGTATTGGTCAATCTCAGCCTAAAATATACAATATAACATACAGTTAGAGGCCTGCAGTGCAACACTGTACTGGTCAATCTCAGCCTAAAATATACAATATAACATACAGTTAGAGCCCTGCAGTGCAACACTGTATTGGTTAATCTCAACCTAAAATAAAGAGTAATCATGGATATAGTTATCCTTATCACATGATATTGTGTATGTGGGGGTTCTTTAACTTGTGTTACGAGAGATTTTGATAATGGCCTGTATATCCTGAGGAAAATTAAGATATCTTGCCTATGGTAGGAAGATACAATTTCTATATCCCACTATTACATACTTTGTGATTAGAATTTTTATTTAACTGCGAAAAAAAATTTTGTAATGAAAACTCAGGACAATCGATCGACATTAATTAGTATAGCAGATCTGCTCAACATATATATTACCATAAAAGGGCATATACATGTACTGCATGTACTTACTTCTGACATTTGAGGCCCACAAATGAGAGCTATGATAAACAACCTCATCTTGTCTTCTGGGGTTCCAGCTACAAAAAATTATTTAGTTAAGATTATTATTTCATTTATATTATTTTTACTTAGAATTAATGTGATGAAGAATGAAAATGTAAAAATGTCACAAATTGTGGAGGTCAAAGTTATCAAACTGGGGGTCATTAACAGAAACTTTGTAAAGTTACAAATTCCTAAATCAATTGTTGTAACCATGGATATAATGACGTCACAGTTTGAGAACAATGGACATTACGAATTCCTAACTTTAGGAAGTTTCTGTTAATGGCCCCCAGGATCACAATGCTATTTCTCAATGCTCAGGAAAACTTAAAAAGCTTCTACCCATAAGGTAATCAATTATCTTCTGAAATTGCACTAATTTTGAGATATTGGAGTTCAAAAATGGGAAAAGGTCAAATATAATAAAGTTCAAGGTCAATTTTCAATGTGCATAAGTTTAAATATTATTTTTTTAAAGTTACCAAGAATTCATTCATATATATCTGATTTCAGATTTTATAATATCTAAGGTCAAAATAATATTTTGGGGATTCTCAAGAGAGACTAATAAATCAATTTAGCATAAGGGAATTGCATTTCTAGTACATTTCATTTGACTGTTTATACTATACCTTCAGGATCTGTTATAATGTCCATTAGAGACTTATCCTGAAACAAAGGAATGTGTTCATTTTTCTTCCTTAAAAACCACCAATTTTTTCTTCATTCCAATCGAATTCATTTAAATAAAATATGACTGCCAAAACCACAGAATATGAGACAAAAATAAGACATGTAAGAGTCATCAAGGTTATCATTTGTTTAAATATTGAGTGATTCTTATAATTTGAGCATCATTATTTCTTAATAAGAGAAAACATGAAGAATATTACATTACACACAGACTGAATCTTTGAAGCATTTATACATAAAACCAAAAAGTAATAAATGTATATAACTAAATGTATCCTTACCAGCTGAGATCGGCTCATAAGTTTTTCTTCTGTTTCAAAATAGATATCTAATTTTCGTGCCTGGAAACAGAGTTTCATGACTTCATTATCATTATTGTATAATAGCTATTAATAATATTCAATGTTAAGTATCCAGAAGCCTAGTTCATATCTCTTTCAAGAACATAAGCTTAGCACGCTCTTAGCCAGGTTGGGGAGGTTCCACCAAAAAATTCTTTCAAAATCACAAAGTTTTTCACCATTCTGAGAAATTTTGCCCATTTTTTAGGCCAAATTGGCAAATGTGAGCCCCCTCGAATATTTTTCCCTTGGCCATGGGCCTACTTAGTGATATCTGATATCATCAAATTTTTTATTTCTAAGCAATATGGTTCAGGATGGAGGATGATATCCCACTAAACATTTCATTTATTTACGTTATGATAATTGCACTTACTTTTATATGGTCTAGCAGTGCAGTGGCAATATTTGTGTGCTGGTCTATTAACCTTTTCTTTTCTAACAGCTCTGGTAGTGAACTGCAACAAAACATACAGCATGAAAGTTTAGCGCAAAGTAAACTTGATTACGAATTAAAGATTGTACAGTGTACTTTAACTTTACTATTCAATAAATAGTTCACACGCCTTTTAGAAAGAACCCCCTCCCATGTTTAAAGATGTGAGGAACTTACCTAACTGCAGATGTAAGTTTTGCAGTGTTGTCAGAGAGCATACTAATTGCACCGTCGTCTTCTCCCTCAAGACCCTACAACATTGAAATAATGAAATAACAAGGCATTAACATGCAAAATGTCACCATCTGCCATTTGTTACAGATGCCGAACGCCAAACACCATCCATAAAAAAAGTTGGAGACCGTAACAACATGACTGTGGTGACATAAAAATTATTATTCACAATAATTTCAGTTATGGCCTAATGAGAGTTTAAGGTTTAGGTCAGTGAGCCAGAATTTCCTGTTTCCCAGTAATCTATGATAGAAGTCCTCGTAATTTACTCTGAACAAAATGCGGATGATCTTGGGAGAATGCTTCGTCAGGAAAGATGAGATCTCGAGAGCACATTCCACTTTAAGGAATAGAAAGTAAGAGTAAGGGTCTTTATATCCACTAAAATAGACACAAGTCAGGGGTTTCATTAGCAGCAGGCAACAGGCGATTTTATACAGTATAATAAAGAATAAAAAAACTGTATTTTCATTAGCAGTTTCATTACTCTCAGTGAAAACATAAAATATAACAAATGCTCCCTCAAGGCTCTACAGCATAGGTATATAGATAATCAATGCTCCCAATGTACTCTACAACACAGGGCAGTTCGGCTTTGTATAAAAAACCTCCTACCTCATACCCACTTACCCACGTACATGGGACATGATACAGTATTTGAAGGGTTCAATTTTAAAGATCTTAGTTTATTAAATCTTAGTTAATGATGAATTATAGATGCATTTGTAACAACCCTTGATAGCAAGTTGCTACTACAGCCCAGCTAGGTTCGATTTCCACTCGGGGCATCGAATTTTGCACACTTTCTTTCAATTCCTTAGCTGGCTTGTTGGACCTATGTTCGGTCATTAGTTAGTTATTCCCCTGGGGCGCCTTCGAGTCATTACACACTAGAAAATGCACCCATATGCCTTTATTTATGGATCTGTCATATGTCTAGTCATAAAATAAAGCCGGTGTAAAAGGGTAGGTGGTCCTATCAAATTTTGGTCCTACTCTCTATTGATTTATATTGTGACCTAATTACAATTATTTTCATTATTATTTATACACAGACAGGGCCAGTAAGGGTCGTAAGGAAAGGGGACCATAATCCCCAGGGGACCATAATTTCTTTTTCACCGGAATTGAAGAAATGTTAATAAAATTTGAGCTATTTTGAGATTTAATAATCTTTAAAATTGAACTCTTCAATGACTGTATCATGTCCCACATAGGTGGGTAGGTGGGTATGAGGGAGGAGGTTTTTTATACAAAGCCGGGCAGTTCAACTTTTATTCCCCCGCCTTCATGTGGTCAATGATATAGTTTTTTAAATTGCATATCATTAGAGAAATACAAATCTTACCATTGCAGTTTTTAGTCTTTTGACATCATCTTCCTGTGATCTATAAGATTCTAACTCCTCTTGCACAGCCTCTGCCACTTGGGGGAATGGGCTGTAAGGCAAATTAACAGTTTACAAATCTATATACTGTATGCAATCTTCACAACATTAGGGAAAAACCAATAACAACATGTTATTCAAATCTGTACATATCATATCCGGAATATAATAATTAAGGACAAGGCAATAACACACAAAATGCTACCACCTGAGATTTTTTACAGACGCAAACCTCCAAACACTGTCCACAAAAACGTTGGGTACAATAACAATATGTTACCACAAGCTACTGACTATGTGTCTGAGTAAAGTTCATTCTTTGCTTCTGGGCTTGTCCTTTTATCATAAATAAATGTACCGGGACACATATTTAAGTACTTTGAACAAGCCCGTAGCCAGGATTTGCCAAGGGGGGTTCAGTTTTCAAAAATTTCCAGGACGGGTTCACATTTGACAATTTTGACCCAAATATGGTGAAAATCACTTAAGTGCTCAAAATGGTGAAAAACTGCATAATTTTGAAAGAACCGCCCCCCTGGCTACAGGCCTGTTGAAAAAATTACTCCTTAATCCTAAATACCTCCATGATTGATAATAATTGAGACAGCAACACCTCGAACTTATATTTGTCTGAATTATTCAAATGAAAATTCCTCACCTTCCTTTGTGAGTATGCCAGAACTTGTCATGAGGGTCAAGGTCATACGATTTCTTTTTCTTACGTGGTGGACGAGCTTGCCCGGGAACAGGCGCTGATTCTGCATCTTCTATTTCAACACGATTTAATTTTAAATCCTAAAAGATAAATATTCATCCCTTATACATTATTATCAATAAGTTCACATTTTTAGTTTTAATTGTGCAAAAACAGTCTAAGAGACAGTCAGTAAAAAAAAGAAAAATGCTATAAATTAAACAATTTAAAAAGACCCCACCATCTTATAACCGGAAGTTCACCAAATGAAAAACAAGTCAAATTCCCAGAGATTTTGGCGATTATTTGATTTGGTGATTTTTTGGATTTGCCAAATTTACCAAATTAAAACGCTCGCCAAATTGAAGACAAATATATGAACAATATTTCAATCTTAATCATATGATACTCAATATACTATATACTCAATATGATATTACTCAAAATCTTATATAACTCAAAATCATAAGCTATTACTCAAAATCATATGATATCACTCTAATTATATACTACTCGAAATTGTATGATACTACTCAAAATCATGTACATGTAGTACATGTATATCAATTTGACCCTATGAATATTTCAAACTTTTTTTCTCCATGCAAATGGATGTGATATATATATATCAACAATATGTGTGGGATGAACCAATTACATTGAAATATTATACTGATATTAATAACTAACTTTGGCATACCGCATGTAGTATTCATGTGATGAATATAATCAATATTAAGTATTAATTTATTAATACCAAGTGTGATCTGGTTGGGGATTTAAGGTAGCTCAGCATGTTCAGAAATTTCAATGGGTCCCTGATTGGAGGCTGATATTGGTTTCAGGTACACATAACTATCTATTTTGATTACACAATGTAACATCAATGATAATGTATCCTTTTGAATGTACTTTTTGAACAATTTCACATCAGATTTACAACTAAACAATATGCTATATGATTTAATTAAATATATCTAAAAAATTTAAAATCTATTCAAAGGATTGGTATTGATATATTGAACTTTTTGAACACACGTTTCTCTTAAACCAGTCATCAAAAAATTCTGAAAATTTTACACATTGAAAATTTAATGGTCATCTTTTGAATGGTAACAATATTATTTGAAAAAAATGTGTATACTTCTCTAAATTGTTTAAGAAAAAACAACAGACACTTCTTTTGTTCTTGGTATCATATGTTCAGAATGAAACGAAACATTTATCCGAACCTCATTGGAACAAAATGACATAAACACAACGTGTTTAGGTCTCTCAATATTGTAATTGTACAAAGGAAAGTTTGGTTGATTTAAAAAAAGTATCTTGTTTATCTTAATCTTTATCTATTTCGAGGGTTTTTGTTTTAATTTTTTGAATACTTTTTGTAAAATCAACCAAAATTTCCTTTGTATAACTATAATATTAAGAGGTTTAAGAAAATGTTGTATATGCTATTTTGTTCCAACAAGCTTCAGAAAGATATTTCATTCCCAAGAATTAGTAAAAAGGAACAAAGAACAATTGCACTAAAAAACAAAAAATGTTAACAAATACAGTTATATATATAAATATACAATATATAAATAATTTTTGCATTAAATTGTTGTCAATCAGTCAAAATTACATAAAGGACCGTGTTTTTTACAAATGTTTTCAATAATTGGTTTAAGAGAAAAACTTTGTTAAATTCAGTTCACCATATCGATACCAATCCTTTCTGAACATGAGGATATACAGTATTAAGTGTTTCAAAAATTCTTGAAAGTCCATGAATATAGTTTCATTTCTTTGTATACTTCTGTCAATGCATGAGATAAAATGAATTTCCCATTTTTAGCTGAGAGGGTGTACTATATACCCAGGATGTACTATACAAAGTAGGTGACGAAGATATTAAACATAGGATGTACGAAGACATTTGGAAAATTGAAGATATTAAATATAGGATGCAAAAAGACATTTGGAAAATTGAAAATATTAAATATAGGATGTAAGAAGACATTTGGAAAATTGAAGATATTAAATATAGGATGTAAGAAGACATTTGGAAAATTGAAGATATTAAATATGGGATGTAAAAAAACATTTGGAAAATTGAAGATATTAAATATAGGATGTAAGAAGACATTTGGAAAATTGAAGATATTAAATATAGGATGTAAAAAGACATTTGGAAAATTGAAGATATTAAATATATGATGTAAGAAGACATTTGGAAAATTGAAGATATTAAATATAGGATGTAAGAAGACATTTGGAAAATTGAAGATATTAAATATAGGATGTAAGAAGACATTTGTAAAATTGAAGATATTAAATATAGGATGTAAAAAGACATTTGGAAAATTGAAGATATTAAATATAGGATGTAAAAAGAGATTTGGAAAATTGAAGATATTAAATATAAGATGAAAGAAGTCATTTGGAAAATTGAAGATATTAAATATAGGATGCTTTAATAAGTTTGTATGTGTCACTTACCAGTACATCATGAGACAATGCCTGGTAGGTCCATGTATGGTGCATGCATGTTGCTAAATCTACATTCCGGTCAAGAATCACTAAAAGAGGTCTCTGAAAGCTGAAAATAAAGAGAACCTGCTAAAAATATACTTTTATGAATAATTTATGATATGAATGAAATCATGCAATCCTTTTTAATACTTTTCTGACAAGCAGTATATCTTTTATTGACTCTTAACATATCAATCTATCCAACATATGTGTCACTATACAGTATAAAGAATAATTACATGAAGATATTTACATATTCATACAAATATACAGTGTTTATATACATCTAAACTAGGCTGAGACATACTTGCAAATAATCTTAAGACAATATAAAACAGCTTAAATAAATTATGCTGTAATAAAAAATTACACGTTGACAGATCAGGCATTACTACTGGTATTTCTCAAAAGCATGTTGCACTTTTATCCCCTAGTGACAAAAGCCAAAAAGTTCTGTAACCCAAGTAACTGGTCAACCAAAAGAACCACAGCTTTATCAACCAGGTCAACCAATAGCCATTTATTTAGACATTTATAACCTAGCAACTGGTCAACCAATAGCCATTTATTTAGACATTTATAACCTAGCAACTGGTCAACCAATAGCCATTTATTTAGACATTTATAACCTAGCAACTGGTCAACCAATAGCCATTTATTTAGACATTTATAACCTAGCAACTGGTCAACCAATAGACACATACATTTATCACCTAGTTACTGGTCAACCAATAGACAAACACATTTATCACCTAGCAACTAGTCCACCAATAGCCACACACATATTTATCACCTAGTAACTGGTCAACCAATAGACACACACATATTTGTTACCTAGTAACTTGTCAACCAATAGACATACAATTATCATCAAGTAGCTGCTCCACATATAGATACATACTTCTGTTACCTAGTAACTGGTCAACCAATAGATACACACATCTATCCCCCTACTGAGTGGTCAACCATAAACATACACTATAGCCTAATCCCTAGTAATTGTCAACTAACAGATACAGACCTCTGTCATCTAATACATCTACCTGGTTAATCAATACACAGATACTTCTACCCCCCCCCCTAGTAACCATTTAACCAATAGAAACAGAACTCTCACTTAATAACTGGCCAATCAAGCCACATACTCCTATCCCCCTAGTAACTGTTTAACCAATAGAAACAGATCTCTTTCTCCTAGTACATGTAACTGGTCAACCTCAACCAATAGGCACACATTTTATTCACCCTAGCAACTGGTCCACCAATAGATGCACTCTTCTGTCACCCTAGCAACTGGTCCACCAAAAGACACACTTATGTCACCCTAGCAACTGGTCCACCAATAGACACACACTTATGTCACCCTAGCAACTGGTCGACCAAAAGACACACACTTATGTCACCCTAGCAACTGGTCGACCAAAAGACACACACTTATGTCACCCTAGCAACTGGTCGACCAAAAGACACACACTTATGTCACCCTAGCAACTGGTCGACCAAAAGACACACACTTATGTCACCCTTGTAACTGGTCAACCAAGAGGCATTTAGGCTTATTAGGCCATAAGTAGATTATTTGTTTTAGGTCTCTGTTTATGACATTGACTCATCCAGATATATGCATAAAGTCCATGTGTGCTATATTGAAAATAAGTCTTTTTGATGTTGAAAATGTTAATCTTTGACATAAACCAAATGGGCAAAGTCATAAATGACTAGTAAATATATATTTTACAAGAACATGGGCTTCTATATCAGGACTGACTTGTAGTTAAGACACTTCAGTTGGTTTGGACCTGGATTCATGACAGAGAATCATGGTTTGTGGTTTTAACATGATTTATATTGATAATTCACTGCTGAACCGTTTCCTTGTTTCTCACCTTACTATTCCATTGAGAGACCTACGGTTAAAATAATTGAAATTTTACATTAACTAACATTATTAATTATTATATTGCTTTAATATGATTGATATAATATAAACGGCTTTGTGTTTCTAAATGTGCACTGATATGAAATTGAAAACCCAATCAAAGGTAAACTTAAAACTGCAGACATATACAATGAAACTGATACATTGAACACTTGGCTCAACATATTATTTCAGATTTATTCCAGGTGCAGCTGAAACTGACCAGTCGTAAGAAACTGATGAGGCTGACCTCTTTTGATAAAATTTGAAATGAGGTAGAGAGTACCGCTAACCCTCTTAGAAATTGACAAATTACAACTAAAAAATGAAAAAAATAGGACCCACGGTCCTGTGCTCACACAGTTTGGAACCTTCAGAGGAAAGTATATCCTGACTTTCAAACAAAAATATTGATTTGGATTTGTAGTCTCGAACTTTGAGAAACTTAGACAGCACAGTTGTGTGACCTAGTTTGATGACCTTTGACCTTGAAAATTTTACTTATTTAGAGATCAGTAAGGTATTTTGTGATAAAGCTGACCAAAATTTACATCCAAAAATCAATTTGAAAAATCAACTTTTTTGACCTTTCAAAGGTCACTGAAGGTCAAATCCTAAAACTAATGTCAGATTTGAACTCCTGGTAACTTGTAGATAATTTTCAAAAAAAAATTTGGTCAAGTTGAAGCAAGTTGAAAAATAACTTATTTTTACTGTTTTTTGATATAAACATATATTAATATATATATTAATATATACATATATTGAGCAATATGTAGGGAATGCTTAAATCTAGTTATGATGTAATTCATTGCAAGAAATGATCAAGTATAAGGCAAACTTTGAGAAACTTATCAATCACAAAACCTGCCATTGACTTTAAATATAAGAAAGTTTCCTGAAAATGACAAGTCCTACTTTTTGTCAAATTTTATAGAGTAAACACCAAATACTGTAATTCCAAGTGCTTTGAAATCTTCAGAGGACATAAGTTGCATATACAGCAACTACTACAAGTTATTTGAAAGTTCTACTTCAACAAAGTGTCTAGTCTTTACAGAAAATTTGACTTTTTGATGTCAAAATCAGCAATTTCTCGGAAACCGGGCGAACTTGGGAAATGGCGATGATAGGTCAAATAGGCATTATGGATATGCATAAAATGACTGTGGATATGACTCAATCCGAATAGCAGTTTTAATTTGTGCAGCCAATGTTGACAGACGGACGGATGGACCAACGGACTGACGGACGGACGGATGGACGGACACTATACTTCAACAATTAGGTAGGCCTATACATAAGTAAGTATTAAGTAGTAAAAAGAACAAAAATTGTAATACTCTGCATGTACAGTACACATGTAAAATTATGTACCTCCATGTTATTTTATGATCAGGTGGATGATGCTGTTTTCATGTAACATGATTCAAATGTAGAGAGCCAATACCTATATTTTTTTTAACTGACTCCAAGAAAATAGCAATACTGAAGTAAAATGTCGTAAATGTCCACATGCCATTCCATGTGATTCATATGATTAGATTTCTTATTCAGGTGGGTAAAGCAGTTTAATTATTTTTTGATGAGAAAATGGTCCATTTACAGATAAATTGTAGTTACCTTTCGTATTTATTTTAAATGTCTAAATCTGATATTGAATCAAAGGTAATTAAGTCAAAGTTTTTCATCAACAAATTCAAAAAAATATCGAAAGATTTCTTCATTTCTGATTAAATCATGGGGAAAACTATGGTTTTGAATTAATTGAGTTGAGGGTGAAACAATGTTACAGGTATACACAGTTATTAACGCTTGCTGCCATCTAGTGAGAGAGAAAATAGTGATTTCTTCTAGGAATTCAACTGCAGAAAGTGTAAAACAAGGCATTAACATGCAAAATGTCACCACCCGCCATTTGTTACAGATGTCAACCATCAAACGCCAACCGCTGAAATACTTTCCACATAAAAGTTGGAGACTGTCAATTTGTCACCACTTGTGATGGGGGTGACATAATTAAAGAATTAAGGCTGATTATTTATACTTTCTGAAAATATGCCAATTCCACATTCGGGGAATTGATGAAATTTAAGACTCTCCAAATTGAAATACATGTGTTTGAACATTATAGTGGATAATACTTATTTTGTGGGCTTATTACCCCTTTCAGTGAGTTATCAAAGATTACATTTTTTGGAAAAAGGTTAAAATTTTGAATAGCAGCCATCTTGTAAATTCCGTTTTGTGCAAAATTTTATCTCCTAAAGGCATAAACATATCGAACCAAATCTGTCAACTGGTATGTGAGTTACCAGATTACATTTTTTTATGAAAAATAGCGACCCTTTTGAATTCAGCAGCCATATTGATAATTCTTCCTTGAGCAGAGTCCTATTATAGTCCTTAGGGCATCAGCACCATTTTGAATTCAGTGGACATCTTGAAAATTCCTTCTTGAACCAAATCCATTGACTGGTATTTGAGCCATTAAAGATTTCATTTTTACAAGAAATGGTGGCCATTTTGAAAACAGAGGCCAGCTTGAAAATTCATACTTGAGCAGAGTTCTTTGTCCCAAGGGCATTTTAAATTATCAAATTGGATAAACTTACCACTGTAATTTTTTTTGGCAAGAATCAACAACACTACTCAAGTTAGCAAATCAGGTTTTCCCATGATCATAATTAAGCAAATAAGATTAATAGAGATTGTTGTATGATGCTGCACCCCCCCCATGCTTAACCCCTAGAAAATATTTCTGACTTGATTGCAAAATTAAACTGCCTTTAGGATGATAATACGAGAAAGACACTTACTTTTTGAATTAACAAGGCACAGACGTGAACAATATCGTACCTAAAACACAGCAGTGTGACAGTGAAGAATTTAGGACGGAAAATCCAAAATGGCCACCTTAAAATTTACCCAGAATGCCCAAAAACTAATCAGTTCTTAACTTTGATACATAGAAACATCCCTGAAAATTTCAGATGAATCCATCAAATGGTTTGGCTGGAAACCTGTAGACAAGTCTTGAAAGTGAAGATTATAGGACGGAAAATCCAAAATGGCCACTTTAAAATTTACCCAGAATGCCCAAAAAGTAATCAGTTGTTAACTTTGATATGTAGAAACATCCCTGTAAATTTCAAATGAATCCGTCAAATGGTTTGGCTGGAAACATGTAGACAAATCTTGAAAGTGAAGATTTTAGGACGGAAAATCCAAAATGGCCACCTTAAATTTTACCCAGAATGCCAAAAAACTAATCAGTTCTTAACTTTGATACGTAGAAACATCTCTGAAAATTTCAGATGAATCCGTCAAATGGTTTGGCTGGAAACCTGTAGACAAGTCTTGAAAGTGAAGATTTTAGGACGGAAAAATCCAAAATTGCCACCTTAAAGTTTACCCAGAATGCCCAAAAACTAATCAGTTCTTAACTTTGATACGTAGAAATATTCCTGAAAATTTCAGATGAATCCGTCAAATGGTTTGGCTGGAAACTTGTAGACAAGTCTTGAAAGTGAAGATTTTAGGACGGAAAATCCAAAATGGCCACCTTAAAATTTACCCAGAATGCCCAAAAACTAATCAGTTGTTAACTTTGATACGTAAAAACATTCCTGAAAATTTCAGATGAATCTGTCAAATGGTTTGGCTGGAAACCTGTAGACAAGCTGAAAAGTGAGACGCCGCCCGCAGTAGTAGAGTAAGTAGATTAATTATTAATGGTACCATTGGTATTCAATGGTAGGAGAATCACAGTAATACACCAAGATGTCAGTGAAAGATATGACTTCAAAACAAAGATTGACTTAACACTCAATCCGAGCTACCAGTTCAGTGTTCTCCCGGGATTTTTCTCAAGTACATGCAAAATTTTCACAATTAAGATGCCTATTTTTCATAATTGTTGTCATTTTCAAGTTGGTGCAAATTGATTTTTAAGCCTATTATTAAAATCTCAATTTGGTTAAGTGGCCACTTGCTTTAACGCAAGGAGATTACTGCAGTTGATCAAGGAAGCAGAGGCGGGAAAATCTCATTGCTGTCTAGCTACCTCATATGTGGTATCCATGGAAAAATAAATGTATATATGTCCAATATTGAGACCATAACCTTTGAAAAAGGAACACCTCAGAATTGGAACACATTTTGGCAGAACCAAGGGTGTTCCACTCACACAGGTTTTACTGCATCAGATAGCAGGCCAAACAAAAAATTGTTTCAATTTTAGAATATTTTTGGCTCATGTCATTCCTTGTCATGTATATTTTCTAAAAATCACAAAAGTGCATACTTTATTCCAGGAAAACTAAAGATTATTACAAAAATGTATTATTTTTCTATAAGAATGGTTACCATTCTTATTATTTGGGAGAATTTAAACATTTTTCATTCATTTTTGCACTTTGAATCATTAATAACTTCACCAATTTATATATAACATATTGTGAATCTTTTGGGATATATTGTATTTGAGATTGTAAGGAATAGATTGGTAGGTCAATTATACATGTTGCTTGTAATTTTGTCACCCCACCATAGATCAGGTTCTACAATGACAAAGGATATGATGAATAAATTAATTAACAGATACTGATTAGAATATAGTTTGTTAATATGTATTACATACGTATATGTATGTCTTTCAAGAACTACCCATGATGTCTAATTGGTAGCAATGTACTCCAGGGGATTTATAAATTGAAAAATTTACACTGGACTAAGTTGTAACTGATGAACATCATTTTATGTTCCCAAGTGACGTGAACAGCCATTGAATATCGCTTCTCATTTTTTAGTCACATGTAGATCATCGACCAATCAGGGAGTGAGGAACATTACAAAAATATAATAATTATAAATACATTTATTTGAACAATAACCAATCCTTAAATCAGAGATTTTTTTTAATAATAAATACTCTTCATTTCTTAAAAATCATAAATAAATTTACATATTAATCACAGCGTAATCGCCCAGAAAGGGCATTTCTACTGCCGCTCAGAGCTGATAACCATATTTGGAGATACAAATATGATTGTGATGAAAAATATGATTATACAAATATGATGATTATGTATGTATATGTTTCAGACACTGTGCACTTTTTAATACATTTACATACCAGGGCATCTATAAGTTTCTTACAATTACAATTAACAGTGTCAAGATATATAACAGTGTCAAGATATAGGGACAGAAAATATTCTAGCATAGTAAGAGCATTCAATATACAGTTAGCAAGTGTATGTATATCTTTTATTGACTCTTTAGATGTCATATCATGACATATTAGTCACTAAGGTAGAGCAGTTCTTCCCATTGTCGAGTTGAAGAACTGGTATCTTTATCCTGACTAGAACCATACACAATTTTAGCCAGCGCCGGCCTTTTATCGAGTTAGCAGCACTCTAGTAATCGCCAGTATAGGTCAGCAGTCATAGGTCAAAGACAAATCACAAGAAGTGCTGTGACCTGGGTTTGAACCCAAGACCTCTACTTTTCAGCCTGAAGCCAGACTTCCTGCTTTTCAGACCAATGCCTTAACCACTAGGCCAACCCGGTGTAACACAGCCCTTGAGTTTATTGATTTTCTCCCTATATCATGATATGTATAATTACAATTCAAAAATGGACACCCTGTACCTTTATATACACCATCAGAGTCTTATATCTGAATAGTAATGACATTATTGGAATCAGAACTTCCTGTGGAATGTTTAAATAACCTAAACAAACTTGAATCTTGGAACAGTTTCTTCACTTCTCTCTTAAAGCGTGTCCCACCAATCAAACAGAGATAAAAATTCACTGCGTTATTTAAAAAGAATAGTCTCCAAAGTATTTCGAAGAGGACAATATAATCTGGATGGATTGTTCCTTCGTCGATAATCGGTATCATGATCATCCCGATGTTCATTGGTAACGTCAGAATCAGAGATGCAAATGATATCAATAGTAGCATGACGGTAACAGATTTCTGCCAAGACATGAAGATAGCGTTCTGGCTGTTGCTATTGACGATTCCAAGAGAGGAAATTTGCTGTTTCCTTTTACGAAGTTTATGGACGATTATACTATTGCAAATAAGCAAACTAAGAGAAGGTAAAACTGACTGAATAACTATGTCCAATACTGGAAATAACATTTTTTCAAAGTCGCCAATGTTTTTTGTGTACAATGAACAGGTCGTTTGATTAAAAACATTATCATGAGAGGCATATCCGTATACTATAAGCGGGATGGTTCTTATGAATATAAAGACCATTAAACATCCAATTAGGATACAAATTTTTGGGACAGATCGCCAACTTTTTTTAAACGGCATTGTAATTGCGAGCATCCTGTCGATTGTCATAAGAATAACAAGATAGATGGAAAAATCTGCAAAATATCCTGTAAAAAATATGGTGGCTTTGCAAATGTCATCTGTTAGCATATCTTTAATTATAGTATTATATAGCCAGGTTGTGAGAACTGTCACCATCTGTCCATTGTCTACAATCGCCAAAATCCCCATATAAATACACGTGCTAGTTTTCCTATTGCGCTTTTTGAACATGATGTGTATCGACAGAGTGTTTCCAATTAGTCCCAGTATAATAATAATGGGTGTAAAAATGTAGTCGATTAAATCAACAGTTCGTTTTGTGTTGGCATCTAAAATAAATTGTACTCTCTCCAAACTAGAAGTATTGCTAAAACTAGAATTATTCATTTTGTTCTGTTTTTAAATTATTTCAGAACTTCAACTCCAAGTTGCTATCTCGTTTGAAATTTGATTGCACTGTTTATTGTCAACGGACAAGTTCAAACTGAGAAAGTAATGCATGTAGCAGTATCTAATATATATATTGGTAACAGCGTCCTTTAATAAATATCCGTTAACACAGTCTTATTTGCTTACGAGTATTCTGAATATATAATAGATATCCAATCAAAATGCAGATATTTAGTCACACGTAATTTCATGATTATACAATGGGTGAATGTATCTTTAATGCCTCAACAATGATGAGTATAATACCAAATGATAACACTTAATTATTTACAATTACAAATGTAGTCAATAATTTACAATTATTGTTCCCTTGAAGGGTTACGTGAATCTTCCCAAATAAAATACAAGTCCGGATCAGTCTACTTTTAAGAAATTAGGCGAGCTTGGTAAATTCGAGTTTATTGATCGAAGAACAATCTGTAGAAAAGTTTACAATCCTTAAACATTGAGTGATTTAGCCAAAGGATGCAAGAGGCAATGTAAATTCTTGTATTGAAGTTCAAAATGTTTTGTTACGATAATATTCAATATTCAAAATCAAAAAAATAATATCATCATAATGTTGATAGGTAAATCGTAATATCAATTTTTCACATTAAACATAAAAAGCAGAACCTAAAACTTCACCAAAAAAGGTAAAATTGATTTGTCAAAATAAAATTTTTCATGTTAAAAATGCATGGCAATTTGTACAACACTATTGTTACATAAACAGATGTCTTTACACATTCAGAGCTCAACCTGTGAACCCGTGAGTATTTTTCTGGGATCGTGACTTTTATATTAAACAGTAAACAACAGCAAAAACAAGTGTTTGATTGGCTTAACGTTATGTGTTATCCCTTAACGTGATTCAATGCATAACTCATTTTCAATATCTAATACTCAATCTTTCATTTGTCGATGACGTACCTCAAAAGGGCCACTCCCAAGCTTGAAATTAATAATCAAAAATATTCACTGATCTGTCAAATTTTTATGGCAAGTTTTTACAGTTTCAAATACCATATGCTGAAGATACCTATGCCACTGGGATTCATTTATGTTGGGTCTAGGTGTCATCCATATGCAGTAAAAAAAAACTGTCTTAGTGAACACTTCTCACTAGTGAACACCTGTGTCTAGTGAACACCTCTTCTCATCACATATTCCACTGGCTTCTGTATAAAATCGTCTCTCTGTAGTGAACACCTACCAATAATGAACACATTTTGTGGCTCCATAGGTGTTCACTGTACATAGGCTTTATTGTTTGCCATCTATATCCTCAGAAATGTTACCGATGCTGAACACCATTTAAATCATATCTGTTCAAGAAATGGAAATTTTAAAACTGTCATATAAGAATTTGAATCCAGTTACCCTAGCTAGCCAGCTTTCCATCCAGTAAAACAAATATCCTGTCCAAAGCTCCAACTGATAATAGTGCTAATTAAACATAGCTGATATGTTTACTCAATATAATACCAATCACATTTGATATCAACAATTGTGAAAAATCTATCTGCATCTATCCTGTTGTAAATGGTTTTTGTTCCCATCCCAATTCCAAATAAGCATTTTTACTGATGATTCCCTAATGAATTACCAAGGGATTACATATACAGACAATTACTCCAGATTTACAAGTAATCATGAAAGTAGCTCATTCTCCAAAGCAGCATTTCTCCACATCAATGTTCCCTTATGCAAGGAGAGTTTAAAATCCAAAATCAATCTCGAACATGGTTTAATGTCCTATAGTAAAGATGAAATACAAAAAAACATTGTTTGCCGATATGTGATCGTACTTCGATGTTTCCTTTACTTTCTGGCTCATTAAGAGAGATAATCTCCTGGGATTATATAAGATTTATTAACCAATCACATATTAGCATTTCCGTCATAGAAAATAGTAAATGAATGATAAAACCATGTTTCCAAACCTTAGATGGGGCCTTTAAAATCTTTAGATGGTTAAGGAACTTAATCTTATTGCTAATTCTTCCAGTTCCGTTTTAATTTAAGTTGCCTGTTTCAGATCATAACAATGACACTGTTCTATTGTTAATTGCAAGCAGTAGTGTATTAGAGACTGACAAGATTTCTGACACGATTACATCCAATATATCATGTTAATTAAGCAACAAACAATTAGATCTTTCTAGAGATTGCCACAACAAAGCAACCATTGAAGGCATAGAATACTGTATAATAAAACTACAGTGGAACCTGCTTATCTGAGCGGTTCCCTAATCCAAACACCTTGCAATGTGAACAGTTTTTTTCTATTTTGTTTTTTTCTATTTCTTAATCTGCCATCTGATAAGCATTGTTAAAAAACCTTAAAATGTGAACACCTGCCAATGTGAACACCTGCCAATCAGAACACTTTTGGTCGGAGATGCTCAATTTTACACTATTTAATAATAAATCCAATTATCATATCGCTATCATATTCCTCACTCCCTGATTGGTCCATGTCCTACACTGACTAAAAAAATAAATAATAATATTCACGACTTACTCCAGTGTAATTTCAATTTTATTGATCCCTGGGGGTACATTGTTATTATTATTATTATGAGCTTTATTATACTTGTATCCCACATTTGGGCAAAGTGTACAGCTTAAACAGAAGAAAATGAAAAAGCTTAACTAATTATCTATATAGTATATTAACTAATCAAAGGGTGCTTGATCATTGCAAGATTTTATTGGATGCATTTCGTGTTTTTTTCTCTCTCGATAAAAATATTGGATATATATTTTGCTAGTATATTTAATATTATTCCCTCTGAATTAAATAGAAACATTAATTTATGTTCCACGTTATTCATGTTTTCTAAATTTTGACAGTGTTTTTTTATTTTATCCATGTAACTTGACCGAACATCTTTTAACGTATTGCATTCTAATAGGAAATGGCATTCTGAACCAGTTTTCTTGTTACACATTAAACATTTTCTTTCTTCAATAGGGGTAATTGGTTTTGTGTAACGACCTGTTTCGATTTCTAATTTATGTGCGCTAATTCTTAGCTTTGTCAAGTTATTTCTGTCTAATTCATTTTTGATTAAATCCAAGTAGGGTTCCTTGTTCCATTTTGCTTTTATTATCTTATAGAACCTCAATTTACCATTATTTGATTTGATTTTAGTTTCCCAAAATTGTATGTATCTATTTTCCAGTAATTTCTTAATTTCTCTTGGTTTTAAGTTTAAATAGTTTGGTGAAGTACCATTGTAAATATATTTAAGTACATCATTGATGTGCGTGAGCCATGATTGTTTATTCATATCTGTCAGTTGTTTATTTACCTCAAGGGCTTCACGTAGAAGTGAGTCGGTTCCTTTATTGTTAATATGATTAAGATATTTCATTTGTTGATAAAACAAAGAAATAAATAGTGGAAACCTACCTAAATCGCCTCGTGTAGCGTCATTACTGGCCTTTCTGTTAACACCGAGTATCGATTTCATAAATGATATATGAAGAGATTCAAATGTTATTCCATCATATCCCTTTTCTAATGCCCATTGTGGGTCTTTTTTAATTTTACTCGAGTTTAAGATACCCGTACCCCATATATCAGATCCATAGAGGCATATGGGCTTTATGAGTTGATCAAATAGTTTTAAGCATAATGATGGTTTCATATTACCATTAGAAATTAGACTTAATAATTTAAATTTTGCCTTTTCAGCTTTGTCTTTGACATGCTGGGCTGCAGGTCTCATTGACCATTGGATTTGTTATGATTAATTAGACATCAATAGTTTGTTATTCCATTAATATGAGTGAGGAATACAACAGTGGATAATAAAACAAATATTTAGTTCTATTTCAGTGAAAACACTTTCACTAGATGATATTCCACTTGCACTTCGGGCTTCGTGGAATATCACGTGTGAAAGATTCCTTAATTACTGACAAAATAATGCCAAAAGTACAGGATTATATTTTTTGTGTCACCCTATACATAGCAAAAACGATAAGCCTTGAGTTCTTCATGATATGTCATTTGAGAGAACATGTGAATTAATTTACCCCCTATCGTATAATCCTTAAGGTTATCAGAAATTTACACCAAACAGGAAATGAAAAAACCATATGGATTCTAGAGTTTTTTGAACTAAGATAACAGAGTTCTGCGTTAACCTTCAATCAGTTCACTACTCCCATATATTATTTCCAGGATCACAATGGTCATGGTCAAAATGAAATAACCCAGTCCTCTGAAAATGTGACTGAAAAAAGTTTAAAATTTGCAATTCTGAAAGGTCACTGAAAAGAATATTTTGAATTTTTCAGAAAATGTGCCCAATATATTGCTCCAAAGCCAAAAAGAGTTACCCAGAATTCTATAGTTTGTGAATTTTGATTTCCAAAATGATGAATATCCATCCCACTGGAACCTATCTACTTTCAAAAAAATAATATTGCAATTTTCTTTGACACCTTAAACCAAGATTCATGTATTTCACTTTGCTCTAGAAAATTACAATTCAGTAATCATAAATATGACTAACTACAGTATCAGTAACCATAAATATAACTTCCTGCCTTACGTCAATGAAGATATATTTCGATGTTGTTATTGAAATGGCATCACGTTATTGAAATGACATCACGTCACTGACATTTACAAGCACTTCTATCCAAACTCAAACAGCTAATCCTGCAGTGTATAGTGATTTAGGCTAAGTTCGCATCAGTTAAAAATAGAAACAGGAAGACATACAAAACCAAAATCCAAACTTGTAAACGAAAGATTATGTAATATATGTAAATGTTTGGAAGATGAATTTCACTTGATCATAAATTGTACAAAGCATTCGCAACACAGGCAAATATTTTTCAGCAAAATTTCTGAAACATGACGTATCTGGTTATATCACTTCGTAGCTAAAGAAAACAGCATGACGTCATATTATTTCACTAACAAGTACGATTACAACAGTATGACGTCACATTATTTCAAAGCGAACTTTCAAAACACACGAAATTAGAATAGACCAAATCAAAATGCTTCAATTAAACATTCCAAGACATGTGATAAAATCGTCATCACACGTTTCAGCTTATGTGATACAGGAAATATTCCACTCGGGTAAGAATGTATCACCACTCAAGCTTTGCTTTCATGATTGATACAATATTACCTATCGTGGAATATTTCCTGTATCACATGCTGAAATGTGTGATAACTGATAGTACATTACCGTGAACTTGGGGATTTGTCTAAATGTCGATGACATTACAATAATATACTTGCAAAATTAATTATAAACTTAAATCAGCGTGTAAATCAATCTAGATTCTAGATTGTATGATACAATATATAATAATGAGTGGAGTCAGGTAAGGTTAAGGTAACAATAAGAATCAATGTTGGATTTTAATTAATCGAGGGAATACTGTACAAAAATCATCCCTGAAAATTTCAAATCAATCCCTTAAGTGGTTTACCTGGAAACACGTAGACAGCATTTAGAAGCTATATTGACTATGAACCAACATCTTCAAAAACTAATACTGTAAAACAGGTAATTTTGACACCAGGAAATTTTAGCGATTTTTCAATTTTAGGGTGTTTTAGCGCAGGAAATTTTAGCGAAATGAAGATTAATATTCAAAAAATCAAATTAGCGAAATGCATTAGAAATTTTATCATTTATGGCAGAAGAATGAATAACGGACAAATTTCAAATTTCAAATTTATTAGCTTTATTGTATTTCAATCCCCATCAGGGGTCATATACAAAGCATACAACTAACTAACTACAAACTACTTTAAGTACAAAATGAAATATAAATGTATAATGCCACTAATATATGTGAAAAATACATACTAGCATATATGTGTATATATACGAGTATGTGGCTAGTAGACAATACTAGACATAGCATAAGTGACAAAGAATATAGAAGTTAGACTACCAAGGGTCATGACATATTATTGATAAACTGGCTTTGTTTAAGTTATATCGCATGATGAAATAAATTTTGCGACCAGGTTTATCTCGGTACCTTCACAAGTCATACAATAAAGGAAGAAATTAAAATTGTCAAGTTTTAAGCATTTGGGGGCCGTCTTTTCTAGCATAAATTTTAAAAATTCTCTCTGGTAAACGTATTTGTGGCATTTTGAAACAAAATGTAATTCATCGTCTACTAAACCGCATGTTTCACATAGCCTTATTTCTCTAGGAATAATTGGTCTGGTGTATCTTCCTTTTTCGATTAATAACTTATGGTTTGAATTTCTAAAGCGAGTTAGTGCTTTTCTTGCCTGTGAACATTTAACATCCAACAGGTAGTTTTCAAAACTAAATAACTTTTTATGATAGAGGAATTATCAAAATGTTAGATTTCTAACGCACATGGTATTGGTCCAAACTACTGTAATCTCATCTGACTAATCACAAAATCATGGTAGCATTTAAAATCATTGATTTTTAACACCTTTTATCTTTATATTTACTACGAATACTATTTCACTGATGGATGGCTATTTATTCTTCAGATATTGAAAGAAACATACGATTTAAAAATATTTACCTTTTTCAAATTACAAACCGGAAGTCGAGCACTGAACGAAAAGCTCCTTAAATACTAGTATTCATGTAGTTTCCCAGGAATTTGCAAATTTTAGCGCCCGGTTTATTTTAACCCCGGTTTATTTTAGCGAATTGAATTTTTAGCGAAACTATAGCGATCGCTAACAATCGCTAACAATTACCCCTCGCTAACAATACCCGTTTTACAGTATTAGCAAATAAAGTGAAGTGATGATTTTAAATTAGAAAGTAAACCCATATGACAGTTTTTCTTGAAGAGCACAGACAAGAATTTGAGTAACTTGGTTCAAAATGGCAGACAGGAAGTGGAAACCTTGTTTACAACTACAATAACAACTAATAATGAACCCAAATGTACTCCTGAAAAGATAGAGCCGATACCTCCAGCAATATTTTGTATGGAATATATTCACTCTCTGCCTTACATTATGTTCTTACACTAGCTAGTGAACATCCAAAAATGGCATTTGTTGCAAAACCACATCTCGATACTACTAGTAGTAGTAGTAGTAGAAGTAATTCCATTCAAGCATTAAGGAGGTAAAGTTTCTTTTTTGAGCAACATAAAACATGTAAAATTACAATTGCATAGAGAGTTGTTTTCCTTTTCCTCTTTGTGGCCTTTATTGTCCCTTGTGAGCGTCCCCCCCCTAATATGCACCTTCCCACAAGGTTTACTAATTAGTTAGTGCCGTCACTGTTCTTGATGTGCATAAGGGGGACTTCTAGATTGAGTATAAAGGTGAAAGGAATCAGTTGTAATTAGCTCTCTGTATCAACCTATTGAGAGGAGAACAATAAACACAATCTCCCCAATATCTGTAACTTAACCATTCTGTTGTTTAAGCCATGAGCTTTCAATATTGAATGCCCATGTTTAAGCACTTTTCAAAAGTGAAATTCGGAACCTTCGAAAAGAACTTTAAATGTAATAGTACATGTACTTCAAACTCTCACCTGAATTGACCAGCTTGTATACTGTCAGCTGTGAATAAACTGTTCCGTGTGTCCCGCAAATTGTCTCTTAACTTTTTGTCTAATTTTTCTGCTACCATTTCTGCTGCATTTCCTCTAGGGCATCGTATTATCGGCACCGTGCCTTAAAAAAAGTAGTTCCAAAAAAGTAGTTCCAAAAAAAAGTAGTTCCAATAAACGGAGATACTAATAATAGTCAATTTAGGAAATTTTGTTTCACTATATATTTTTCATAGGTCCTTTAACGCTAACCAAATTTTCATGTCTTTAGTTAATGGGAACAAAAAACTAGAAAATGGAAACTCTGTGGAGTAGCAAACCCCAATGAACAACATATCATTTCTCAAATGTTAAAGTATTTTTAGTTCACAACACAAGATATTAACAAGCAAGGCATTAACATGCAAAATGTCACCACCTGCCATTTGTGACAAATGCCAAACACTAACTGCCGAACATCAACTGTCAAATGCTGAGCATCGTCCACTTGTGGTGGTGACATAAAAGCAGAATTACATAACATGTTAAAATTAATCATTTGGTCATACAGAATGGATGAATTACAAAGACTTACCCATTGTGACAAACAGACAAAACAAACTATCCACTATAGAGTCCATGATCATTTCCATCTCCGTGTCCTTTACGTCACCACGATTTAGAGCATAGTAGGATATTGTATGGCTGTCTTGATGCTTTAGCGCAAACATATCATCCTCTAGACTTATAAAATTAAGGTACTGGTCAAAAACCTGGAAGTTAAATATCAAAAATGTAAAAAAAATATATAAAAATACCCAGAGATATGTACCTGGACCATTCTTGGTAACAAGCATTCAATCCATTGATGTTACCATGGCAATCATTGTTTAGAGTTACACAGGAATTTAATTGCTTCATTGACAAAAAATTAAATGTAACACAGCCACAAAATCCTTTTGAATTCATGGCTTCAAGAATGCAAAGTTTTCTATTGCTATGTCAACATTGTGTTGACAGAATATGGTTGTTCATGGGGTTTAAAGAGAAAAATATTGAAAATAAGATGCTAGAGCCAGTTGTTCTAAGGAATCACAAAACATTTACAAGCAATTGAGGATTCAAAAGTCTTGAAGAACTAGGATGGTATCATCAGTTTGAACATTTCTTAGCTAGCCAGAAAACTAGGAAAATCAGAATTTCAAATCCAGCTGAGAATTGGTTTAGTTACAAACTTAGACAAAGGACTTAATGCTTACTAGAGATGTCACGGAACAAAAAAAATCGGAACGGTTCGGAACATTTTGCTTCGGAACGGAACAATTTTGAAACGGTTTGGAACAGAGAGACTGCGTGTATAAGATTAAAATAAAATAAGTTGATCATCTAGGTCTATTTGGTAGCGAAAAGCTCTTAAAAACTCTTCAATGAGAAGGAGTGAAAAGAATGAACCTCATGCTATTTTGTGGAGATTTAAGGGCCAAAAGTTGTGAAAGGGTAAAATGTTCTTCTTCCGGAACCTAACCAAAATTCTCAATTTGTGTTCCGTTCCGAGGGCATAATTCCGCGGATCGGACAAAATCGGGTATCTGTGACACCTCTGATGCTTACAATCTGAATTTATAGGTTGATGATATAAGTGGGTTTCGTAATGAGACATTTTGGATATGGGGTTTATCCCAAGGCAAAATTCATGTCACCATCCGGCAAATACACATTTTTTCAGATTTTTTCAACATTTTTTTCAAAATTTTTTTTTAGATTTTTTTTCATAGCAGGAAGATATGCCCTGGAGCAGGAGATATGGCGGGAGATATGAAGGTTCTGGATATGGAATCCTCAAAAACAGGATACAGGATATATCTTACCAACTTATCTCCCTAAAACTCTACTGGGCATAGGATACTTGTCTTGATACCGTACCTTGGAGACTAGTTGAACATTCTGGCTTTGTATAGCTGCACTTGCGATATCCTCTAATTTCTGCCTTGAGACGGCAGATATGAAGTTGAGATAGTACGATTCATAGAGCTCTCCTTGGATATCCTATTACAAAAGAAACACATTCTAATTTACACAAGAAACACATTCCAATTAATTAACAAATCGGTTACATCATATCAAGGGTAACATTATGAAAGGACGATTCTCGGTTTGGAGAACGAAGTTCATCAATCTAAATGAGCATTATCCCTGCTTCGGACAAATTTGATTTTTATTTATTGATGTGAATGTCTTCTTTTGAATAGTCATAATTTAATTTGGGTAATATTTCTAGATTTTTCGCAAAAAAATATTAGCACAGTACACTTTATTGAATCGGTCTAATTGAGCATTATCCCTGCTTCAGACCAATTTGTTATTTTTACATCTTGTAGATATAAATGTCCTCTTTTGAATATTCATAATTTAATTTGGGTAATATTTCTATATTTTTCATGAAAAAAAATATTAGCCCAGGAGACTGTTCTCCAAACCGAGAATCGTCCTTTCTCTTTATGTTCTTGTCGATCTGTCACATAAGAGAATCAAATAGAATCTTATTGAAATCCATGATTTGTAATATAATGTTTTTTGTTTTCTTTCATATAAATGTGTAATGTGAGAAGATTAAACCCGTCATAGAGAAAAGAGATGAAAATCATGCATTGTCAGCTCATTACTTTAGACTGCTACAAAACAGAATAAGGACTCAATTACAATCCTATCTTGTCATTTATTAATCAATCATAGAGGTAAGATCCATGAATAAAGGGATATTATATGAAAAAATATCAAGAAATATGAGCTTGTTTGTTTTCATTTCAAAAGGTATCAACTCTGAGCGATAATTGTGTTAGCTACTCTGAGTTACATGAAGCCACCATTAATATTAGATAGATTAAATTGAAAGGTGTACAAATGTTTACTCATATCCTGTCAAAGATCTCCTGCATTGCAGGCCCATAGCCAGGATTTGCCAAGGGGGGGGGGCTCACTTTTTGAAAAATTCCAGGCGGGGTTCACTTGTGACAATTTTGGTCCAAAAATTGGCCAAAATCACTTAAGGAGTGCTCAAAATGGTGAAAAACTGCATGATTTTGAAGGATTTTTTGGCCAGGGTGGGGGGATTCACTCGAACCCATCGAACCCCCCCCCCTGGCTATGGGCCTGGTGTTCACTATTGGCAATAACAACATTACTTTTGATGCGCATGCAACAATATTGTCTCTAAATTCTAATTATTTAAGTAAATTGTTTCATGCTAAAACCATAATGGCTTTTCATTCACTTGTGCAGGATTTCATAGAAATAAATGATTATGACAGAGTGACGAATGAGTCGTGTCATGTCGTGTCTTGTTACAAATCTATCTTGTTACAAGTGTGACTTGTAAATAGAATATCAAGACTGACACGGTTCAACCCGTCTGCTTTGCAAAACATAACACCCTTAAAAAGAATGGGTATCGATATGGCGAACTTTTTGAACACACGTTCCTCTTAAACCAGTCATCAAAAATTTCTGAAAATCTTACAAATTGTCAATTTAATGGCCATCTTTTGAATGGTAACAATATAATTTGAAATAGATATACATACTTTCATCTATATTGTTTTAAAAAACACATCAAACACTTGTTTTGTTCTTGGTATCATGTTTCCAGAGTGAAATAAAACATCTTTCCGAACCTCATTGGAACAAAACGACAATGACAAAACATGTTTAGGTCTCTCAATATTGTAATTGTACAAAGGAGATTTTGGTTGATTTTAAAAAAGTATCTTGTTAATGAAATAAAAGGTTTTTCTTGATTTTTATCTATTTTGGGGGGATTTCGTTTTAATTTTTTGAATACTTTTTTAAAATCAACCAAAAATTCCTTTGTATAACTTTAATATTGAGAGGTCTAAAAACATGTTGTATATGCTATTTTGTTCCAACAAGGTTCGAAAAGACATTTTATTTCATTCTCAAGAATTGGTAGAAAGGAGCAAAAACAATTGCACTAAAAAAAACAAAAATGTTAACAAAAACAGTTATATCAAATATTTCTAAATAATTTTCACATTAAATTGTTGTCAATCAGTCAACATTACATAAAATACCATGTTTTTTTACAAAATGTTTTCAATGATTGGTTTAAGAGAAAAACATTGTTGAATTCAGTTCTCCATATCGATACCTATCCTTTACCAACCATAAACGTCCTCCAATTAGATTACATGTACATGTAATACTCTTTTATACATAATGATAGATAAATAATTTTAAAGCATAAACCTTTTACCTTGGCTGTGTATATAACACATGTGAAAATCACAGAAACCCATGTCTAAGATGGGGAAATAATGATCTTACATTTAATCAAAAAAGGAAGAAGGTGATCTTTTCAATCTTTATGAAGTTAAGTCTTATGTTGGGATCTGTCAAGAAATGAGATTAATAATAGTTTACCTTTTCACCTCTCATTAATTAATAAAAAGGAAGAGAATTACTCATGATTGAAATGTAGCTTTTGAGGCAACTGATTTTTTGTACTAAAAAAGATGTCCAAGTGTTACATTCCTCATTCAGCTTCATTGTCAAATTCCGTCCATTTGGAACATCTAAGGGAAAAAAAATCTAGAACTATTTTCAACAAAGGCCTGTTAAAATCCCTTTATGTTTTACCACTTTCTGGAAAGGTCAGAATAATAAATCCAAAATAAATAACTCAAGGACGTTATCAGATATAGACTCCCCCAATTTAATTCAGGCATAGGTTGTGTAATTCAATTGTCTTGTATTTTCCATTACACAATATGCTCTTCAAATAAATAGGAGGCAAAATTCAGCGAAAATGTGAGTTCCAATGAAAGAAAACAATTTTGAAAGTGACTCCTGACCAAAAAAAGAGTTTTCTGGCGTTTAGAATTTTGGTGCATCAAGTACATTGCATCACTGAAATTTCACATGTTCAAAATTTTCTGATTTATATCATAAATTAGGGACCATTTTGACGTTATATTCCAATCAGACAGTTTATACTCGGTAAATATGCTTTATTTGTACAATTGAATTCCTTTTGATGGTATATCATCCTCCTAAGCAGGTGTCCAGAATCCGTACCTCCTTCTTCCCCCCTGCTATAAGCAATTTGGAAGCACCCGATTAAACTGAATCATGTGATCTAATTATGTGCCGATGACGTGCACATGATTTCTGTCGCACTGTGCACATGATTTCTGTTGCACTGTTTCGAAAGCCAATCAGATTGCGAGTTCTTAATCGGGGAAATGCTAACTGCTTATCGCAGGGGGTAAAAAGAAAGAAGATATTCTGGATTTTGAAGCTCTGTGATCAGAGGATGATGGTATATTGGAACAGTATTTCAGGCCTAAAATGCGAAGTGCAAACCTATCGCCCATCTCAAAATAGATCGTTTTTCTGTAATTCTCAGTCATATTACTCAAGCTAAAGTTACACATCTCACTTATTACTATCTTTGCATATACCTCAAATATCTAAGGTAATCAAAAATTGATAAATTAATGAAATTCTACAAAAAATTAACTCAAAATTTGGGGGGTTCGCATAATAGCCAGAAAAGGTGGGCTCGAATTTTTAGCCAAGATTTTTTTTGGTGGGGGGTTCTGAAGCCCCTCTCCCTAAGGCCCTGCTTTGAGTCCTTGTATCATATCGATAAGTTTACTGACAGACTAGTTTTTATCATTTTTACTTTTATAGCTTGGATACAAAATTCCCTGATATTTAGCTTGGATACAAAATTCCCTGATATCTTCTGAACACATTCCAAAATTCTGTAGCATTTAAGTGACTTCCTGGCCCAAGTTGAAAACTAAGTTTTCCAGGTCTATAGATATCCCCGAAGGAATCATGTTAATATTAGATTCTATCTTTTTTCTACAGAGTAAATAGATGGCATACCCGTGATACTCGCTGTATGTTGTCATCCGTAGGCATAATAAAATAAATGGCAGGTACATCAGGGATGGGTTCTCGGTCTGAATGAAGCAGCCTGAAATAAAACATTGTAATAAATTAAATGAACAGCATAATATTAATTATTTCAGCCTAGTTAAATTCATCCTCCTAAGCAGGTATCCAGAATCCGTACCTCCTTCTTCCCCCTGCTATAACCAATTTGGAAGCGCCCGATTAAACTGAATCACGTGATCTAATTATGCGCAATGATTTATACATGATTTCTGTCGCAGTGTTGCGACAGCCAATCAGATTGCGAGTTCTTAATCGGGGAAATGCTAACTGCTTATCGCAGGAGTTAAAAAGAAAGAATATTCTGGATTTTGAAGCCCTGTGATCGGAGGATGAATTAAGTTTCGATGGGTTGTTTATATCAAAGAAAAAAAATGTAAGAAATTATTAATCTCATTGATGGGATCCATTTGAGTAAATATCCCTACAGATTTTGAAATCATTTTTTCCATCATTACAACATGGTAAGAAATTGCTAATCTTGTAGATGGGATTCATTTCTGGAAATATTTCATCGACATGTACTGTATTGTTCTTTCATTATAACATTATGATTTTCAAGGTTGGATACTATTAGGAACTTCTTAGTTAAAGGGAGTAGAAAGTTGAGAGTATATTTTGAAAAAAAATTTCAGAATATTTTTTTGAATATTTTTTGCTCTCATCATTGCTTGTCATGCCTTTTTCTACAATTTCTGCATCGTAAATCTTCAATATTAACTTCTATGTTTGATAAGATATCTCAACTTTTTGATCAGAAAATAAAATTCAGGGAAACATTGGATGAGATTGCTTCCAAAATTTTAACTCTCTATCCCTTCTGATTCCCGTAAGAGAAATAAACCTCAGTATTTTTCCGCTAAAGCTAAAGGGTCATTACCCTGCGTGCAGAGTCTAGTTAAACTACACTCTGCCTAGTAGAGACCATATTACAGTTTTGTAGCCCCGCCCCCACGACGGGTACCGGTGACAGTTTGGGTAATAATATAAATCACTTCTGACCTATGCGCTGACCTTTCTTCCACCATTCAGCGAGCCTGAACAAACATACGCCAAATGCGTTCTAATCAAATATGCGCATGTCATTGGTCAATTCCGGGCTCAACGATGACGTCAGAAGGAATGACCATATATAGAACGTCGGTCAAATTTGGCCGACGAACACTGATTGGCGCGGTGAGTTCACAGGTTTATTTTAGTTTGAAAGAGTGAAGACGAAGCTCTCTTTTAAGAAGTGAAGTCAAACGAATGCAAAGGGTAAAGGGTCATAGAAATAAATTTCAAATAAAGATGGCAGTGTGATCAACCTGTCTTACAATCTCCCATGGCAGTGTCTCGGAATAGACACTGCAGCAGGTAGATGAAAATATAGTCAAAATTTGTTGAAAATAGTCCCTTTTTTCATCAAAATTTATTTAAATTTCAAAAATTTTGCTTTTTTACATTACTCAAAAATTATTTCAAAAATTATGAAATATAAAAAGAAATATCCGCGTAAGGATTTTAAGTTTTGTTGATAATAGTTCACCGCACATGTGTTAAATAAGTTAATACGCGTAATGCAATCAATCAAATTGTCTGAATTTTACAATCACTTGGCACGAACATGGAATAAGAACCAATCATGTCAACTGTTTATGTGAAGTCGTATGTTGAAGACTAGCACTGCCATGGATATGCTGTTTAGAATGATAGAATTCTACCAGTGCTGCCATCTTTATATCGACCTTGACCTTAAATTTCAGGAATCTACTTACAGATGCAATGTGACCCCCATGTCTCTAAGTTCTCTCACAGACAGTAGTGGAGAGATTATATCCTGGCCAAACCTGTCGTAAACCAATACCTAAAATACATACCATATGTGTAAAAGAAATATAGATTAATAACCATACATGTAAAAGAAATATCGATCATACATAAGCAATGATCACAGGTTTAAGGTGTTACCCCAAAAATTCTATCCTTTCAACATACAAATCAAGTCATATTTCTGCACCACATGCATACAACACACTTGGTCTCATATCCAGTCTTTGTTCTTAGGATGTTTGCATGGATGTCTGAAATACCAACATGCATCATGATACAGTAGACTTGTCGGAATTGTATTTACTGGGGGAATGTGCACTGTAGATTCTGGCAAAAATTAACCAAGAGATATTATAAACATTATTATTAAACAGAATTTAATCAGACCATGCAAGGTATGGTAGGTGGAAACTAGAAATCACACCACTGCTCAACGCACCAGTATACATGTACCTAATACCTAATTTGATTTATCAATAGGCCTACTGATAGATCAATCTCAGATTGAAGGATAGCAACATATAATGTTACTATATTTGCACATAGCCATCTTAAGATTGATTATCAATCTAAATATGGATATGTTCAAATATAGTAAATGTAATGTTGTTTTATTATTTTAAAGAAAGTTATAAAAGCATGTTTAGTCTAATTATTAGTATGCTAAAGTATGTGTATTTACCTTCCATTGAGGAGCTGTGTTATTTGCCTTGGTAACTGGAGCATTAAAGTTCAACATGCGCTTCAAGGCAGCTGAAAGAATAGATTAATTAAATAAAAATAATACAGTATGAACATTTATATGCACTGTATATCATATTGTACGAGGGAGGTGTATGGGAATGTTGTATTGGTATAACCAGATTTTATAATATTTTATTATCATTAGATTTTATCATAGGCTAAGGGCGATAGAAATAATTTTTAAATAAAGATGGCATGGTAATCGGTCTGTGTTTATTTTAAAAGAGAAAGATAATACTGGATTCTGTTGTTGCTGCCATCTTTATATCGGCCCAGAACCTATGGATTTTATGATAATCCAACTCATCAGAGCCTGCGAATTAGTTTGGAGGTTACTCAACCAACCTGACTTAATTACCTTCCAGAGGTCACTGTAAACTTCACTGTTTCTTGTAGAATTTACCAGAGCTGTCAAGTGTCCCGCGAATGGCGGGATTATCCCGCGAATTTGATCAAAATTAGGCTAATTCGCGTGTCCCGCATTGTCCCGCGAAGTCCCGCAAAATGTGGCTTTGACCTCCGCGAATTTCCGAAATTGTTGCAATCCCCTATATTTTGATTATCTTATCTTATATAAGAAGCTAAGTTTTTGCACTTTTGAGGAGTAAAGTTTACCTAATTTTAAGTACCTAGCATGCTGTTGTTTGGTATCAAAATAAAGGGGAAGGGTTCAACTTTCATTTTAATTACAAAAATAGGGATGTAGGTCACAAATAGTTCCAACGTTGGCCTTTTTACTACCCGTGTGGCCTTCATCTCAGAACTGAGCAAATGTTAGCAAACGCAAGTTACAATAAATGTACGCTGATATCTAGAAAGCGTTTGTATAAGAAACCGGGTACCGGGTAGTAAATCCTCCATGCTGGGTTCAAACTTGGTACCCGGTACCCGGTCAAAAAAAACGGGTACCCAAAAAACGAAAAATACGAATATATAACATAATTAGATTATGAGAAAACGTGTAAGATTTGTTTTGAATTTGCAAAAATGTATGTAACATGATTCAAAATTGAGCTAGAAGCTTCAAATTAAAAGCATATTTTAAGGCACTTTTCTTCCTCTATCGTTATGGCCATATTTTCATTGGTTATGGGGGGGGGGGGTGCGATCGCACCATCGCACCCTCTCCTGGCTACGCCTATGACATTGTAAGACATAACAATTTACAATTCAGTGGACATTTTGTCATAAATTGGGATAACTTAAATTATGATTAATAATCAAAATCTTACACGTTGCATCATGCAAATTAACACACGTCACCTCTCTGCTAAAGCAACGATAGCTATTTACAGATTTAAATCATAATCAAAACAATTCACGTACCAACATACGAACTATTAAAAATAGAGTAAGATTGATTTGTCTTGTTTTTCAAATCGTCTTACAATGTCATTGGCGTAGCCAGGAGGGGGTGCGATCGCACCCCCCCCCCTTCATTACCAATGGAAATATGACCAAGATGATAGAGGAAGAAAAGAGCCTTAAAATGCTTTTTATTTGAAGCTTCTAGCTCAATTTTGAAGGAAGTTACATACATTTTTGTAAATTCAAAACAAATCTTACACGTTTTCTAATGATCTACAAGCCCTATCTAGAAAATTAACCTCATTCCCTATAATTTGATGTAGATTAATCGAACCCCTATATCATGGGCTTTCAATTGAAAGCCCATGCCTACAGTATATGAATAGGTACATTTTAATATATAACATTATGGGGGTAAGCGTTTCATAGTTGGTCACGACGCCAGAAGTGCAAAGTATTGTTCCAAATTTTTGAATTTCGTGTTAGATTACGGTAATCACACCTGAAGCATGGTTTTTGTTTTTGATAAATTACAATAAAGTTTAATAATATTCCTATGCGTATTTTGTGAAATTGTGTTGACGTTTATTTAAGTTACAATGTAACGGTGCATTATATTTGATTAATCAGTATCTGAAAGTTTGATTTAAGCACTTCTACACGCTTTTACATTAGTCCCAATCATGCAAATCCCTTGAATGTCCCGGGACATCCTGCAAATTTAGGTGGATGTCCCACGAAATCCCGCAAATTTAGGGCACTTTGTCTAAAAAATCTGTCCCTCTATGAAGTTTTTGGTGGTACACCTGTTAACTGTCCCGCAATTAGGGTGTTTGTCCCTCGAATGGTCCCGCGAAATCCCGCGAATTTGATAAAAAAAAATCTCGTATTAGCGCAATCACGCAAATCCCTTAAATGTCCCGCAAATTCCCGCAAATTTAGTAGATGTTCCGCAAAATCCCGCGAAATTTGGGCACTGAGTCTAAAAAATCTGTCCCGCGAGAAAATCTTTAGGGGTTGACAGTACTGATTTACTGTAAACTTTAGAGACAGCTGTTTACAGTAGTCTAACTCTGAAGAATAAATCTGTAACATTTACAGAATACACTTCAAACGCTAATAAGATCATCTGTTCAAAGCGGTTACGATCTTACCAATATATTTATATACGTGACGATATATTTTTGATATTCGTATCATTGTCAGGCTGAATGACAGCAAAATATAGAAGATAAACACTTTGATCACATTGTTGTCAAAAAATTTTAAGAAAATTTTTACTTCCGGTGAAACAAAAAATCTAAAATGATTGTATCTGATTGTCAAATAACCCTTGTTGAAAGTGAAGCTGGTTTTCCACAGATCGGTAAGTACATAAATAAAATTAAAACTTTGAAACAAGCCTCATGTTGGACTGAAAGCATAAACTCACCGCCTTGTTTTTCTCTGATGGAAGCTGACATCTTGAAGTTGACGTTGCATTCAAACGAGGTTCAGCTTTTGTTCGGTAAAGTGTGGAACTTCGAAAACTCCAACAACTTTGTATGTTTGTGGAAATATGTGTTTTTATATGCGAATGCACATTATCAAAATATGCTACGAATGTCCTTAGGATAACATCCTATCTAAAGAATCGAATGAACCACCAATAAAACTTCAAAAATAAGGTAATTACGAAGTCTAAACTTTTGGTATCAATGTGTGATTTTCATTTGCAAAACTGCATGTTTGAGTTTACACTTTCACTGTCAGTTTCATTATACCTCATACTTGTCTAGCTATGGGTCAATGCAACCTACTTGACATTTTTTTTGTTCATGGTATATGGAAAGTAGTACTTAAAACACTAGTTTGCTAGTAGATGTATGACACATATATGTGTACATGTATTGACAATTAAAGGCCTGCTTTGCATATTTTCAAAATTTTGTGGCAAAATAAAGTCTCCATTTGAATTTCATAGTATTTCCAATGGATTGATTAGTACTTTATCTTTCATTTGACACCAAAAACAGCTCAAACAAGACGCATCGAAGCTTGCAATATGTTATCAAAAAATATTTTTGATCTGTCAAGCCTGAAAGCCCATGGTCAAGCTTTATATATCAAGTTTTCATCAATGTCAATGAAAGATGGCGAATTTGTTTGTGTTACATGATACATTCATTTTTATAGAAGTGTCGCCATCTTTTAAATCAAGAGTAATTCAAAACATGCACTTTGTCTAAAATGTACATGCACTACTAATGATCTCTGAACTTCAACTACTATTTTCTACTTGAGTTATTTTTTCCTTGCTTTAATATTACTGCAGATCAAACTTTGTATCATATTTAATTAAGTGTGTGAGTAACATGTTTCAATGATTAATTTTTACTTTTTTCTTCTAAATTAAACATAGTGGGGCTTTAATGTTTGGTAATAGCTAGTAGAAGTGTCAGGGACCGCTAACATATTATCATTTTGAACCAAAAAATTGAATTATATTTTTGGGGTGTCAGTAAATCAATGGGATAATCAGGTCCTACGTGCTCTTTACAGACCCAAAAATCATCAAAACATAACATTACCACGGTTATGACAGGCCTTGCAACCATTGTCACAGTCATATTAGGCTTTAACATGGCAGGATCCTTGCGCAACTTAATAAAAACTTAATAACATGGTGACAGTTGTGCCAGGGATAAGTCTTGCAACAGATAGGGTCTCCTTAAAGTCATATTTGGCTCAATTAACCTCAAATGAAATAGTTTTTACATTACTGATTAGATGAAATGTTCTTGAAAATACATTCATTATTAGATAGAGTCAATTCCATTAAGTTTAAATTACCATTTCAGTTGTCCTTTAAGTCTATGTTTTTTGTTTCAGTTTTTAGTGAGTAGAATACCACAGTGATGTTGCCTTCATGTGTTGTGAGGCCAGGTTTACAACCTATGACATACCTTGTAAGAAGCTACGTTGCGCGAGCTGCGAAGAAGATTAAACCTAGATCTGATCGCCCTGAGGTAAATTGTATATTTGGTTATTCATTGTCATATTATTGAAATTTATTATATTATTGGTTATTCATTTGAAGAACACAATCACTTTAGTCTTTACACTTTAGTCTTTTGAGAAGTGGTGACATATTGTTATGGTCTCCAACTTTTTTGGATGGTGTTTGGCATTTGGTGGTTGGTGTTTGTAACAAATAGCAGGTGGTGACAATGCCTTTAATGCCTTGCCATCAATATTAATGTCATGTTATAATTTACAATAAACACTTTACATTTTTCTTATTTTCAGAACAAACACTTTATGGATTTTAGACGTGTACATCTGAAAGGTGGCAAAGGTGGAAATGGAATGATGTCATTTCTTAGTTTATTTGCTAATGAGTTTGCTGGACCAGATGGTGGGGATGGTGGTTGTGGAGGCCATGTCATACTCCAAGGTTAGTGCCTAACTATTTGGGGCGTTGTTTGTTAGATAGTACAGTATATTAGGTAAAATATTCAATAGTTTCAGCTGACATCAATGTTAAAGCCGTGGGTGGTATTTTATATTGAGTAAAATATTCAATATTTTCGGCTGACACCAATGTTAAGGCACTGGATTGTACTTTATATAAGGTATAAGGGCCTTGATTGTGATATATTTGAATATTTTCAGCTGACGCCAATGTTTAGGCCCTTGATAGTAATTCTAGTATATTCCAATATTTTCAGCTGACACCAATGTTAAGGCCCTGAATCATGTGAAGACAGAGTACAAGGCAGCTGATGGAGAGAATGGGAAGTCCAAGTGTTGCCATAGCAAGAATACTGAACACACATACGTTTCTGTAAGTCAGTGTGAAACTGTTACAAATAAGTGATTGTTACGTCTTAATTCCTTCCCTCAGATACTCACCAGGCCCGTAGCCAGGGGGGGTTCGTAGGGTTCGGGCAACCCCCACCCCTGGCCAAAAATTCTTTCAAAATCATGCAGTTTTTCACAATTTTGAGCACTTCTCAAGTGATTTTAGCCATATTTAAGCCAAAATTGTCAACTATGAACCCCCCTGGAAATTTTTGAAAACTGAACCCCCTTGGCAAATCCTGACTATGGGCCTGCTCACTCAATGTAATGAAAATTTGAAATGTTGACTGCTTACACATCCAGTGCCAAAATCAGTATTTTACACTAACATAATTAATATTTACTCCCTCTCCCTTATGAAATTCACTTTCTTCATTCACAACTGTTAACATTTGTACACAATCCCTAAGGTAGAAATGGTGAATTAATAAGGCTTTACAAGGAAAAGTAATGACTGTAATATATTTTGTGCATGAAGTACAACCTATCCTGTAAGTATCCTGTGAAAATATGTAAATTAAGACCAATTATCATGATGATAGTAGGATCTGGTCATATTCTTTCATTATTTTTAAATTGAGGTTCCAATTGGTACAATCTGCAAAGACGAGTCTGGTTCTGTAGTTGCCGATCTCGCTAAGCAAAATGCAATATTTGTTGCTGCACGCGGTGGTGCTGGTGGCCATGGCAACCATTATTTCCTATCCAATGAAAAGAGAGCTCCAACTACTCATGAGATGGGAGCAGCTGGAGAGGATAAACACCTATTGTTGGAATTGAGAACTATTGCTCATGCGGGATTGGTAAGATCTAATTCCTTGTAACTTGAACTTGGATGGCTTACATGTCTAAGGTTTTAATGTATTGTAAACACGAGATATCATTCTAAGTTTAAAATGTATTACATAGTGGATGGAAGCCAAAAAATCAAAATAGCATTTAGGATAAATGTATAAACAGTGTATGTAAACATTTATTTTGTAGATTGGATTCCCTAATGCTGGAAAGTCAACCCTACTACGTGCAGTATCGAGAGCACGTCCCAAAGTGGCTGCATACCCCTTCACCACTCTTAATCCACATGTGGGCATAGTGGAATATGAAGACATGGTTCAAGTTGCAGGTCAGTTAAACCACAGTTTTAGGTTCATGAGACCATCCTACAATGTATATTGTTAGTACCTCAGTTGAAATACTCGATTTTGATTGGTCAACGAGCGGTGAATAATTTTAACTGTACACCGCGCAATGCATTGCCGGTGAATAATATTCCCAGCATTCCACTAAAATGACGTCATTATCAGACGATAAAATGGCCGCCGCTAGCACTAGCCGTTTCAAAAATGTTGAAGATGAGGATATTATTAGTCTCTTAGTCAAAATACGAAGAAAAATCTAAAACTTTGTACAAAGCTTTTAGTGGACTTCGCCCAGGAGAGTAATTTGACTCCATTGAGTGAACTTACTGCCGATATACTGAAATACAACATGAACGTCTCGAGGGTCTGGATCCAACTTCAAGTCAACTTCAAGGGTCAGAAAAATCTAAGATATTCTTCGGACTAACAAAACAATTATAGACCTCTCCATTCGGTTTACTGTCAAAATTATATCCCTCGACTGTAAACCTCGACCTACGGTCTCGGTTTACAGTCTCGGGATATAATTTTGACAGTAAACCTTTGGAGAGGTCAATAATTGTATATTGTAGATCAGTGATCTATATTGATTTGTTGGTATTGAACATTTGGGAAAAATGACATGTTTTTTTAAATTGAAGTACCGGTATAAATAAATGGCCTATTATTTCTAACAATTCCTCTGGAAGTTGTCCTACCAATTTTAAATACATGAACAGGAAGTAAATTTCTAGAGGAGCAAAATAAATAATGTCAAAACTTGACCTTACAAGTTACAACTGTACCCAGGGTTCTCACTAGGCTTTTAGACTCCGGAGAATCTCCGGAGTCTAATGTCATTAGACCCCTTTGCTCCAGAGTCTACTAGCCTTTCCTGTCTCTAAAGTGTTTTTTTCGGAGTCTAATTTTACATTTTTGTCACATTATTTGTGGTAAAACTTTTGAGAAAATACATAACACTGGATACAACCAAGGAATAGGAAGTCAGAAACCTTTTAGAAAGGTATAAAATAGGAAAATAATCTAAATAGTATTTTTAAAGTATACTAATATAGAATATCTCTGATCTCAAATGGGGGAGGAGCAGTCGCGATACCGCGAAAAATCTGGGGTCTAAAAATTTCCTGGTGAGAACCCTGGTACCTGTAACTCAATAACTTGTATTTCTCCACTCCAAGCGCTAGCTGAATCATTGAAAATCACAACACCATGAAGCAATAAATATGTCTTCCTTATTGTGTTTCAGTTGCTGATATACCAGGTCTTATAGAGGGCGCACACCAAAACAGAGGCCTTGGTATTTCATTCCTGCGTCACATCGAGCGTTGCTTATGCCTGCTTTACGTCATAGATCTCTCGGTAGATGAGCCATGGACTCAGCTAGACAACCTCAAATACGAACTTGAACAATACAGCGAAGGATTGTCTGAACGCCGACATGCTATAATTGGCAATAAGATTGACTTGAAAAAATCTCAGGATAATTTTGAATTACTGAAAGCTAGGACTGATCTTCCAGTGATTGCCATATCAGCTAAGAAACTGTTAAACATTGAGGAAGTGGAGCTACATTTAAGACAGTTATATGATAATAATGTTTCACAAGAACAGGGTGATGAAGATGATTAAACACACACCAGTGAACTCCCCAGCATTAAAGCAAGTGGGTGCAGTACCCAGATGAGATTTCAAAATCAGGCTTGCACCCATCTGAAAATTCTTTTACACCCACTTGCAAATGACGAAAATCATGAAAAATGGGGCATATTTTGTCTAATTTTCATCCGAATTGTGAAAATGTGAAATGTGAAAAATCCTGTGGAGAGTTCACTGCAGGCTCATAGCTAGGAGGTTTGGGGGTTCGAGCAATAGCCACTATATCTAACTCGATTCTTTATAATTGTAATAAACAACATGTCTATTTTCTTCTTTGAATCATACCAAGAAGGTGTTGATTCCAAATCTTTGCATGACCGCTCAGAGTTTAGGAAACAACGCCTTGGTGGAATGAAGCAGCTACAATGCATTGAGTCTTGGGCGTAAATTCCTTTCACAGATTGAAAAATATTTTCTCCAGATCATAAATGGAACAAAATCACTGTAAGAATACATTTTCAATGAGATTTTTTGCAAGGGTCAAGTTGTCAAGTCATCAAATCCAATGTGAGAAGTCCATTCATCACCATGACAACTGTTTAACTGGTGACCTTGCATGTGTTATTGATAGTTCACACATTGTTCATTATGTGAATACTCTGTTCTTATTGGCTGGAATCGGACACACCTTGGCTAGCTATGTGTGAATTTAGATTTACTGATTTGCAATACTAGATATAGTATCTGGTAAATACATAGAAACTGAATATGTAATACATGAAGAGCAATAAATGATAAAACCCCATTAAGACTTTAATTAATTGTAATCCACTTATTTAACTTTTTGACAGTTGTAACTCCTACGTAAGATATACACGCGGTAGTATCTCTTCGGGACGTATCGAAACCACTCCGTCCCGAAAAACCGTTAATTTGAATTTAAAACCTACCCCAGTGTTTGAAAATGAAGGATTGTGAGTCTCACACTTCACCGTTTTTCTTCAAACTTGTTTCGTACAAAGCTTCACAGAAATACCTTTCAGTCGATACATTGTTTTCGTGTACAAAGTACCTCGTTTTAGCGGCGTTTTGGTCCCCAGCTGTGAGATAAAGCAAATTTTTATAACTTTCAACTGTAAGTCAAGTTATCTCGCCAGTCTTTTACCCATTCTCGCCCATAGTTTCAGAATGGACTCCCATTACAACCTTCCATCGCTACGTCTTGATTTTTGGGCACCAAACGCAGCAGTTTCTAAATCATCCACACATCTCTTCAAATTTGACCAATACGTCCCGTCATCTTCCACTACGCCCCGCCGAGTCTATCACTATACACGTAGAGTTGCATTCTAAAACAATTTGTCCATCGATGTGTCCGTTTGTACGTTGCCATTGTCGATTCTAAATACCAATCGGATTGTGTTTTAAGATTTACCCATTCTTGTCCATTTTCAATATACCTATAATAGGGTGGTCCAAAATCTCCCTAAAATTTAGATTTCCCGATATTGCAATATAAAGATTTTAATTACTGAACAATTGAAAATATTTTTAAGAAACGTTTAAAGTGCCCCATCCTTGAAAAAAATATTATTTATATTATTTTCAGCATAACGTTAGAAACATGTATCATTTTATATGGTACACGTTTCATAATGTAATCCAATGGAATCATACAGAAGAAAGGTTGACACACAACAGTTTAAATCTTTATATTACATTATCAGACCAAGTCAGTAGATGTTGTTTATATACCAATTAGTGTTGTAGGTGGTCCTATCAAATTATGGTCCTAGTCTCTATTGATTTATATGGTGACCTGATTACAATTATTTTCCTTACTATTTATACACAATCAGGGCCAGAAAGGGCCGTTAGGAAAGGGGACCATAATCCCCAGGGGACCATAATTTCTTTCACACCGGCTTTGTTAGTACTTTACCTTGGATGTCATACAGTACATTTACACTGTGGTATGATGATGAACTTAGAAAATATGTATAGTCATGACAAAATGTTCTTTGTGATATAATATTGTATAGTATCATTCTGATACGTATTACATGTTTATGTTTAGTGCATAAAATTCATAGCCAGATCAATAATTCGGAGAGAATACGCTGGACGATAGAATATTAGAAACTATATAAACATTCTTCATAGAATTAAGCAAATAGTGTTATTATCATTTAAGTAGTAACTGCATATGTTTAAAACCACTCTGTTTAAATACAGGTAAATAAATAAATATGATGCAATGAAAATTGAAGCTTTCTGTCGAGAGCAATAGTCATCACGATAGTATAGCGTTTTTTCTTTTACATGTTACTTTTTGTACATCATTGATTGATCCGCTCTAATCTACCCTCGGCCGATAATTAACAAATTATTTATGTTGAACATTAGCAAAACAAGATTCCAGATTTTATTGTGTTTCAAACCAGACACTTGGTTTCTTCACAAAATCAAATACAGGACAATTACATATAATTAAAGTTAAAAAGCAACATCTTCACAAACATTTGAATTATCAATTTCATGCAATCAGTTATAGTTATACTCCGTATGTATGCTAAACTTAAGACTGGTGTTAAGAATCGACCAAGGCAAACCTATGTAAAATTACACAACGATGAACAAAATGTTTTAGAATACAACTCCACGTTTGTAGTCATAGACTCGGCGGGGCGTAGTGGAAGGTGACGGGACGTATTAGTCAAATTTTAAGAGATGTGTGGATGATTTAGAAACTGCTGCGTTTGATGCCCAAAAATCAAAACGTAGCAATGGAAGGTTGTAATGGGAGTCCATTCTGAAATTATGAGCGAGAATGGGTAAACGACTGGCGAGATAACTTGACTTACAGTTGAAAGTTATGAAAGTTTGCTTTATCTCGCAGCTGGGGACCAAAACGCCGCTAAAACGAGGTACTTTGTACACGAAAACAATGTATCGACTGAAAGGTATTTCTGTGAAGCTTTGTACGGAACAAGTTTGAAGAAAAACGGTGAAGTGTGAGACTCACAATCCTTGATTTTCAAACACTGGGGTAGGTTTTAAATTTAAATTAACGGTTTTTCGGGACGGAGTGGTTTCGATACGTCCCGAAGAGATACTACCGCGTATAATAAGCTTGGATTAAAAACAAAAAATGTCATCATATTTGGATGTGATTACAATGTAGAATCAGGATTACTCTGACTTAGGCTGTCACCAAGGCCACCACTATGATCCAGGACTCGTTCAATCACGAGCAAGTACCCATTGAAATTGGGAATCTTTGTATCACTTGGGAAATAGGATCAGAATGGTAAAAAGACACATTACTGTTCTTTGATACTACAGCAATACTTTCGAAATAGGTTATTTAACATTCAATGACATGAAATATGATTATTTTTCCATAATATGGAAGAAACAGGCGTCAACATGCACGTTTGCATAATGTAAATTAATGTTCACATATCCCACTGAAAAACAAACATTCATTGAATGTTTAATAGTCTGTTTTGAAAGTATTGCTGAAGTATAAAAGAAATGATAATGTGTCTTTTTACCCCTTTGATCCATATCTATGTACATGATGTAATGCAACGAATTTCAACGGTACTTGCACGCGATGTGGATCATACCCGTGAAGGAAAAAATAAAATTTTGTGATAGTAACTTATATGTGTTAGTAACTTATGTTGGAACAGAATGTACAGGGTTACATTCATTTATTAATCTTGTGAATATTCATTGTATATTTTCCAAATTGTTGTATTAACACAGACCAGTATTATCCTGTATAAAAATGCAATAGCAGTATCAGAATTGTAAATCCATCATGGGATATTTACATAATTTACATTACACCCAAAATTATTAGAGACAAAAACTACTATTCCCCACAACATACTTCTTTGCACTAATACACCTTCCTAAAGTATTTAAAAATAGCACCTAAGGAGGTTTGAAAAAACTTTTGTTGTACATCACTGAGATATTTTCCCATCTTAATTAAATTAGTGGTCATCATTGGTAAATATATATGACGGCTTTGTAACTATAGCTAGTGAACCAACTTAAAATTGACAATCACCTTTCCAATACCCTTTGCATTCGTTTGACTTCACTTCTTAAAAGAGAGATTCGTCTTAGATTCGTCTAGTTTAACTAGAGTCTGCACGCAGGGTACTCTCCAACGGTGTATTGATACCTTAGGAGAAATTGTGTTGGACGGTGAAACTCTCGTTTTAGTCAGATATTGATCATATAGGATAAATTCCACTATATTTGTACTAACATTATTTTGCTGGAGGTCGTCTTGACATGAATTGGTTCAATATAGTCTCAGGTTACGAAACCTCAGTTTTCCAATAACAGTAAGTTATAGGGGAATCCCCACCAACAAGTACACTGCAGTAGCAAGGAAGGTTGGCTCCCAGGGACGCCAATCGATATTCTATTCCATATATGGGTATCACCATATATCGGTCATTCTCCTTGCAGCCGTAGAAATACAAAGGCTGGATCGGAAAGTACTGCATCGATCGGAGCCGAATATCGAGTTGGAACACTGGCTTCCAATCATCCTTGCTGCACTAGCTGATAAGGGAATCGATGCAACTTCCCCGAATTGAAACTGAAACTGTAATTTCTTTGAATAACACTTAACTTTGGATCTCAGGTTGGGTGTTGACGTTCTCAGTTTCACCTTCCAGGTAAATGGACAGTCCGACACACTGTAAACTTCGCATCAAGGCGATTAACTATTTTTTATGACTACTGAGGACTGGACGGGCCTAAAAGAGGAATTGTTGCGTAATAATAACCTGACACCATACGCATAGGATTTTGTAGGGAGTAGATTACAGTCTTAGGTGTAGTGTCTTCTTGATCCGCGATGGATATAGAAGAAGCGCAAAAAGAGCTCTTGGCATTCGTGAAAAACGAGATTAGCGATTGTCTTGTTCCAAAGGAAATCGCTCCGAAGTTGTTGACATTTCTGAGACAGGGTAAGTCAGTGATATTGTCCTAAGTGTGGTTCATTTGTTTCTCGGAAGGCCGCATCATTCATCATCTAGGCTAAGTAAAGTCCCGAAGGAGAACTTGCCACAGAACACAGTTCTTCTCTTTCATCGAGTCTCCTCCTAAGCACCCTGGGGAAAACGGTAACTCAAAATATTGCCCCCCCCCATGGACGTGCATGAGTCCCTTGTAAATTACTAAAGAAACCATCCAGTTATTTTTAAATGTTTTTTTCGTGCGGAAATGCCGTTTGTGCAATTCTTGACGTTGATAATGACATGGACTAACGCTTTCAACAGAAAGCCCATGATAATGACAAAGAGCACCAAAAGTTAAGCTTATACACAGGCACTTTGCAGATGCTTTTTGTTTCAGATGATGTTAACAAAGTCATGGCTACGGATTCAAACAAAGATGCATCTCTGCACCTCATAGAAGCGATGCTGAAAACAACTAGTCACGGCGGCTGGTTTTTTGAATTTATCATAGCACTGAGAGAAACAGGTGATTGGGATTTTTTGTATTCTTTCTTCATCCTTGTAGGGCTAGTAGCCTGCACACTTTTCCGTATGTTTCCTTTGATTGAGCCCAAATCAAATACCATGTGCGCAGAGTCTAGTTATAAACGAAGCTCTCTTTCAAGAAGTGAAGTCGAACGAATGCAAAGGTAAAATTCAAAAGGAATCAAATGAATATACCTAAGACACATATGGACCGATCCGAAATCAACTTGGAATAGAATCGACTGTAACGTGTAACGCTAATTTAACATAATTATATGTAACATACATCATTTGCCATAAATATTCTCACTTTAAAATACATGAAAATAAAAAACTCTTCATGATGGCATTTTCTTGGATGATTTTAGACTATACGTGCTAACATTAATCTTGTTTGAACATACAGGGCAAGAAAATGTGCTCAATATTCTCGAAAAACCATTTGATCCAGAACGATCCTTGGCAAATACGATCCTGACACGAAATCTGCAACTCTGGCTCGGCACTCTTAAAGAAAAAATTCAAGTCGACAGCAGCCTTTTCATGGCGTCATTAAGATCAGATGGCGTAATTTCGATGGAAGACGAGGAGAACATTAGAGCTGGGCGTGAAAGATATGGCCCGTCTCATGCAGGTGAGACTCATCCTAGTTATTCACCAGGAGGAATTTGCTATGGGGAATATCACAAGGATGATATCAATACATCGATATCATCCTAAAATCCTGTGTTGAATGAGAGAATAAAATGAAATATAAACGTTACATATTATCCCACTCTAACGTACATTGAGAATTCAAGGGCAAGAAAAACATAATCCTTCAAAAAATTGAAAAATGAAGATCAAAAACCAAAAATAAAAACATTTGAAAAAACATTTGATATCGTCCCTGTCCCAAACATAAAGATTTTTATACCCTTTACATTTTTTTAATTGAAAATTGTTTTGATTTTCACATGTATAAATCGTCACATTATTTCCACATTGTTATAACTCACTTTTTACAGGTTTTGAGATCTCAATTTTTCACGAGGAATTCATTTATGAGGTCAATTTCAATGGATCCCATCTCCTTTTGGAGTTATCCAGTGCCAAATTGTTATGCAAAATGAGGAAAAAATTTAGGCCCACCTTGTCATATCCGTTTAGGTAGGCAGCAGAGCCAATCAGATACATAATTTTGATCATGTGACTAATAGTTAAACCAATGGGGAAATAATTACACGATCTCTTACTAGATATAGTATACTTTACAGGTAATTAACAAAGGAGATCATAAATCATGACACCATACATGTAGTACAAACAAAAGAAAGCAGATTTGACATTATTTGTAACAAAAAAGTTCATTCGGTGAATCAATTACTGACCCTGTTATAACCTCTTTACCTTTGTCCTGTACCTTTTAAAGATCTGGTGGATTTATCCAAAATATTTACAACTTTTCGCACTTATGTTGTGTTGTTATGGCAACCACTTGACCAATCATGATCAAACTTGTCAGCAACTAATTATATATAGATATGTACATCCCTAGAAATATGAATGTGATTAGAGGTATATAACAGAAATTATGGATGGTTATCATAGTACCCCCTCATAAAAGTAGCTATAAATGCTGGCAATAATTCGCAGATGCTGACAAACTAGACCCCATTATTTTCACATAATTAACATAATTAGAAAAATACAATACTGTAAGCAAAACATGGACCAAGCTCATCCAGTACCGTATCAGTCAAAATGGAATACTAGTCATATTCTGTATAATTGGATGGGCAGAAAAATGGTATACGAGACAATAACAAAATGGAAGTAAATAAAAATTCAGTTTTCAGGGTTGTTTTGATATTTCAAAAACATGAAACCATAAAAAGATGTGTTTTATTTATTGTTAATCAGTGATTTTTGTCCTGCAAGGCTAGATGATTACCTATACGAAAAAATAAGTTTTTAAAAATTACTACTCAAAAGTTATGAAAACCTAAACTTCAACATCTGATTTCTCAATATCAGCGAAAATGCATTTGTAACAATGTGGAAATAATGGGACGAAATATTGTATGTAGCTAAAGCATTGACGATCAAAATCCTTATTAGAACATTGACAATCCTCCTTTCAGCATGGGTCCTGTTGGAAAGGCTACACAAAAAGAAAGAAACCTGGTTTATGTGCTTTCTCAAAGCATTGGATGAAAATGGAGATAAGTCACTGGTACGAGATCTGTATCCAGATTATTACAAGCGTAAGTTCAACAATTTTTCACCATATAGCTAATATCAGAGATGAGTTAAATGGTTATTTTGAATACTAAACTTTGTTACAGGGTGTCCAAAGAAAACAGGACTGTAAGAAAGTTTAATAACTCGCTCATGTTTTCATATTCAGAATTATTTAGTTCATTCAATGTGAAATTTGTTGTGAAAGTTTGATAATAATCTGCCAATTGAGTCAAAAATTACAGTTCCTTACAAAACATGCCCCAAATGGCTCTCCTCTCTATGCACAATTCAATCCGGCGAACAAAGTTGTTGATGATCCTCCTACACACCTTTCTTTCTGAATGGACTAGTTTATTCCAAGAACAATTGCTACTTGTGTTTACATCCTCCCGGTGTAGATTATTGGGGACGTGCTATCACCATGAACAAGGACCAGTATATTCAAATTCTCACTAAGTTTTGGAGGTCACTAAGACCCAGACAGGGCATCTAAGGAGATAGGAAGTGGTTTCAACAAGCCAATACCATCACAACACTGCACATAATATCGTGCTGAAATGGTTGAGGTAATGCTTTCAGTTGCAGAACGCAAACTATATGGGCAGCTCATTCGCCAGATCTAAATCCCCCAGATTTTTATCTTTGGGGATTTCTCAAAGCAAATGTGTATACTAACAGCCCCCTTACAACCTTCAGAGGGCAATAACTACCCCAATATGTACCATCCACATTGATGTGTATAGGTCAGGGTCATTAACAACTTTGTTTGCAGGATTCATTTGTGCATAGAGAGAAGTTCCCACTTTGAGCATGTTTTGTAAGGAACTGTAGTTTTTGACACACAAGACAATTTATCATCAAACTTTCAGAACAAAATTCACATTGAATGAACTAAATAATTCTAAAATTTCAAGGCAAAATATGCAAGATTGACAGAATTATTCAACTTTCTTACGGTCCTGTTTTTTAACACCCTGTACTTTGAATAATTCACGACGGATATTCATGCAAATGTATCACCTCTTGATGCGCTTGTTAAGTTCATCAATATTATTTTTTAATATAGAGCAACTAGAAAATGACTATGCCCCTCCCAAGATTGCTTCAAAACTTGCAATTGTCGATGGTAAGTCAAGTTATACATTTATCTGAAAGATCTATGGTCTAATATAACTTTTATAGCACAACGTGATTATTTCAATTAAATCAATAGAAATCAGCTCAAAAGGATTAATTGTTGAAAAATAACTGTTTCTTAAGTTTCCGAGAAATCCCCGATTGCAACTAACACCCCTATTGCCAAGAGACTGAATAGCAAGGAAAACCTGGACAATTCTCCACACGACACGCAAAGTCGACGTCAAGATAACATTCCCTCCACCAGTGGCGAAGAAGGTGATAAAGATGAAAAACACGAAAATGAAAGTAAGGATTCATCATTTTAAAACATTTATCAATTTCAGTGCTAAATTATTCAGAACTAAATTGATCTCGAGAATTCGGACCTTTTAAACGGTATATACTGTAATAATATTCATAAGAGGCGTCGCTTCTCATTGGACCCCTACTTTATTTAAGTCTTATCGATCATAGTCATATTTCAATCTGTTTCTCACCATTTCTTTATGAGTTCTGTATCTAATTGTCTAGGAAGTGAGAAGGAAATTGAAGATGGAAAACAAGAACTACGCGAGTATCAGAGAGAGCTTGCTGGCGACGCATTAAGAGGCAACAATGTGGTCGTGTGTGCTCCTACTGGCTGTGGTAAGACAAGGGTATCCATGCATGTTGTGAAGAATCACCTTAAGGATACCGAGACAGGGACTTCGGCTTGTGCGGCACCAAGTGGACGTATGTACAATTTCTTCTATTCGCCTAGAGAGTTGAATTATTTGATCAATCTATATACACGGTTGCATAAACGGCAGCATATTACTTGACACCAGTTAGGCTATACTACTCTTTGAGTTCTATTAAGTTTTATGACTTTTCAAATGTATATTTGTGCATCTTTATTCATTAAAGTCATTTTGCTCATTTTGTAGGGAGGGCGCGAAAAGTTGTTTTCATGACGAAGACGGTTCCACTGGCACAACAACAATATGACAATTTTATAAGTTATTTACCCGATTACCAGGTATACTTTGTAAAACTTCAGAAAAGTTATGCAGTTTTACAAGCAAGCAAATATATGTCGCACCATTCCAACGGTATATACAGGGTGGGCCAAAAAACAATACACAAGTTTAAAGATGAATATTATATGATAATTGTAGAACCTTGTGTCAATGTACTATATATCATGTAAAAGATAACATTTCCTAACAATATGACACCATCGATTGCTTTCTTTTCTTGTGGATTTACTTGAGGGGCTAAAATTGACACCAGGCGTGTCATGAGAGATCAAAATCAAGAAACGAAAATCCCCAAATTTTCCTGCAAATTACAGTCATGGCTGCACTCAGTATGCTTGACTGAATCATTATAAATTTATTTAAGATAAGATATTTTACACAATTGATAGTTGATGATTAGAAAGATATAAGTATTGTGGGTGAATTTTGCACTAAACTTGTATATATGGCCCACCCTGTACATATTTATTTGTTTGCAATTGAAATCTTTCTCTTTGGACTTCTACTTTTTCTCACCTTAGATTTATTTCTATGAAAAAGAAACTCAATCCATTATCAGCTCTAGAAACGACAGAAATTTAATGAATTGCGATGGTTTTAGGCCACCCTGCATACACTTACGATTATCTATTTGTAATACAATACGTTTGGGCATTGTAGACATACAAGATTTGTGGGGATGACGATGAAAGAGAGATGTTGAACGATTATATGCACCAATACGATATCTTTGTTCTTACACCACAAATCTTGGAGAACCATTTAGAGAAGGAAAGTGTTAAAATAAGCGACTTTTCCTTATTCGTATTTGACGAATGTCACCACGCAACCAAGGAAGATGTTTACAACAAAATAATGTATCGCTACCGAAAGCTTAAACTACAAAAGGCAAAAGATCTTCCCCAGGTGAAAATTATTTTATCTTAGTAACACGTTTCGCAAGATATTTTTCTAAAAGTAGATTGACTTTATAGTTCATAGGTTGAAATTGCACTAGTTTAATCAAAACATCGGAGGTAGGTTTTTGGAATATCTGAGATTGCAGTGAACACTTCTCGTATCCTCCGAACGGAGTCGAATGGATGCTATCTGAGGCTTGATGTGTAGAGCCTGCGTTCGGAGAATACATCATCAGGTTAAACCCGTGGTTAAAGTACTAATGATTTTAACACATTTCACAGATTCTTGGTCTAACAGCATCCCTGGGTGTTGGCAGAAGCAAAAACGACAAGGAAGCCCAAGAACATATCAAAGGCGTTCTGGCAAACCTTGATTGTGCAGCGATAGCAACTGTTGAGAAGAATCTAGACGAACTGAAGAGATTTGTCAGCTGTCCCGAGCAAGGTTTAGTATAGCTGTTCTTGTTAGGAAGGGAAAAGTAATACAGAATATATTGGGTTTATTGAGATAAACAAAGAAATGCTGTTTTTTAAATCGAAAAATGTCGGAATTAAAGTCATGAAACTTTTTTGTTATTAAAGAGCGTCAATTTATTCTATTATTTTTCAGAAATCTTTCCGGTTAACCTTCCAAAAGAGAACGATCCTTTTGCCAAAGATATCAACACTATCATGAGAGGTATAGAGGCCAAAATGTTCAAAGAGCCATGTACGTAAAACATTTATGTAAAGTATCATTTTTATATAATGTACTTCAAAATCTTATTATTACAACAAAACTCTCGTCTCATCCATTATATAGATAAGAGGCTGTTGAGGCAAACCCGTCGTTCCACATATGAACCACCAGTACTCAATAATACTCACTCAATATAGTACTCAATGTACTTAGAATAATCGCCTTCCAACTTAACTTTACTCACCTAATTTAATACACGTACGAGATGATAGAGGTCCATGATAAAACCAATTTTTTATGAATTGATGAATCTCTCGATTTTGTCAGTTTTTGATGGAATAATTGTAGTGGCTTGGTACGTTGATGATATTCCGAAGATACCGACGGATCGAGCCAGCCAGACTTATGAACAGTGGATCGTAAATCTGAAGAAAGTAATGGCAGAGAATACTGATGAAAATGATGAAAAGTCTGTTCAAATTGGCAGACTTGTAGAGATTTGTACGACGTACTTAAGGGTAACTTGTTTATACATGTATATTTATTTTACACAATTGACACGGCCTCAAAACAAAAACAAAAACCCCACGTTTCTCCTTTGATTGTGCTTCTTTTTAGGAATACTACAGAGCATTGGACATACATAAAACTGCCAGGATCAAAGATGCCCACAAATATCTTATAAAAGCCATGCGGGAGATTAAAACTACAATTGACAAGAACGATAATGATGAATACGATTTACTCAAGCAGTACACCGAAGGTGGGATCATTAGAAAGAGAAAGTTTAAAACAAAACACACCAGCGTAAATCAAATTTTTGTCTAAATTATTATCAACAAAAAGCTTGATGCCGACCATTCTGATACGAGACCATCTCTTTGATCTCTTGATGAATATGGATCAGCTTTAACCGAAAGGCCCAATTTAAACTTTAAAACACGTTGGCTTATATAATTATAGGTTTATATAATTAGCCTTACTCAGTGTTATCAAAATGTAGTATCTGAAACTTTTCAATTTGACAATTTGAAGGACGTTTTGTTCGAATAAAATAGCTATTATTATTTGAATTCAAACATGGTTAATCTAATCATTTTTAATCAGATATTTCTATTATAACTAATGTTCTACTAGATTAAATAAGTCCCTCGTACCTTCAGTACGTTCATGGTCTTTGTTCAAAGAGCATGACAATATTCATGTTTGTTCTGATAGACCACGGTTCAGAACTTTCATATTTAAAACCGCCACTGTCCGACTGTGTGTTACCATAGTTTTTAAATAATATTGGTCCATGCAATTTAACGGTTGAGTGTGACGCTTATTTTCAGAATATTTACCAAAATTCACTGAGTATAGCAAAGATTCAAGCTTCACGAATCCCAAACTTGAACAGGTCAAATCGATTCTATTGGGAGCATTTCAAGAGAAAGGTGACAGCTCCAGAGGCATTTTGTTCGTGAAGACAAGGGCGTCGACGATAGCTCTTTATGATTGGATAACAGAGGACGAGGACTTTGGGACATTGGATCCTCCTTTGAACCCTAGAAGATTCACGGGAGCAGGAGCCAGAGAAGAGGAAGGAGGTCTGTGCCAAGCGTTCCTTCTCTCTTAGCATGTCATTCATCTCGCGTCATATACCATGATACGTGTATAAAATGAATCAAATTCGAGAATAAACTATTCTTCGATATTAAATTCAGCCGTCAACAGACAAGCACCACGATTGATATTGCCACATTCACCCGTTCCGATGTTCACATCATTTGATATTTGAATGTTATTTTGCTGTTGACATATAACTTCAATTTCTCGGTCCAGGTCTCACACAAGCTGATCAGGACGGGTATATTGAAGAGTTCAGAAATGGAACATGTAGATTGCTTGTGGCAACGTCTGTCGCAGAGGAAGGTCTTGATATCCCAGAGTGCAACATTGTTATAAGATATGACTATGTGACAAATGAGATAGCCATGGTGCAGGCAAAAGGTGGGATTTATTTCATTTATATATCGAGTATAATTTGCAATGTTATTTCATTTGAGCTTTTAATTAACTAATTGGTTGCTCATTTTTAGGGCGAAACCGAGCCAAGGGTGGTACGACTTTCTTAGTTGGAGACACAAAGCATACCAAGAAGGAAAGTCTAAATTTGGTTCGAGAAGCAATGATGGGTCGCGCAATCAAAGAAATAAAAAATATTAAACGAGAAAGGTTAAAACGTGAAATAGGAGAACTGCAAACGAAAGATGTCAAAATGCGTGATTTGGAGCAGCTCCGCATTCGAAGAACCAAGCGGCAAAAGAAACAAGGCGACTACAAAGTCATTTGCGCAAAGTGCAAAGAATTAGCGTTTTACAGCAGCGATATCCGCACTATAAACGAAAAATCGTATGTTGTTGTATCCAAAGATATACGGCAGAAAATTGAAGAACGCCCGCATAAAAGACAAGGCCAAGCCTGGGATGGAATACAGAAGAAAGCAAAGATACACCACAAAGGACGTTGTGGATTTGATTGGGGCATCATGGCTACATACATGGGAAGTGATTTGCCGATGATTAAGATTGAGCAGTTCGTGGTTGTATCTCCAAGTGGCGAAGAGCGAAAACGATCAAGGAAATGGATAGACGTCCCGTTTCAAGTGCTCGAACTTGACATCGAGAAAGATTTCATCCCCGAGAATGAAAATGACGATGAAGTCGACGAGGAGCCTCCAATAAAAGTGGAAGAGGATTAGTTTAAAACACTATAGGCTTAATCTACTAAGATTAACATTATCAATAATATAATCAATAGGACAAATCAATGAATTCTATATGCGTTTTGCTAGCTTGCTAGGGTAGTTGGGTCGAGTCAACTGATAAGCACTTTACGCAGAACTTGATACAAGAATGGCACCATTCTGTGGAATCACATGGCGCGTAGGACAAAAAGAAGATTTCCTGTAAAATGAGGCAAACATAGCAGCCATAATCGATGGTGTCGTTATGATTAGTCAGAAAATTGTTGACATTTTGGCGGATGAACAGACTTCTAATGACGTTGGCGAATTTTATGGCTTGTCACATTTGCCAAAAAACATTCTATTTATGCTTAATCACCCTGATAATGCTAAGAAAATATTTTACACCTCTAGAATTTTACGCAGCTGATGATCTTCACTTTTAATGTTGATTTGGAGCTAATTAAAATAGCCGTTCAGTTAAAACGAGACGTTGCAGATTCGTTTTATAGCTATAACTAAACCCACATACACATGTCTTCAATGCTTATACAGTATATATTGTGCCCATACGTTAATATTTGGCCCAAAGGCCTGCATGTAGTTGCTTGTATATGGACATGGCCGCGTCTGTTATAAAATAAATTATTTATTCAGAAGCTTTATGACCAACCACTGGCCGTGCATGGAACTATGTTTCCCAAATACAGATATCAGCTGCCGAAACTTGGTACGGAATATAAGCTGGGTACAGACTCAACTGTGACCTGCCCCCCCCCCCAAACCCCGTTCCATCAGTCCAGAAGGCATCAGTCTCATGCATGGCAGTGGAGAATCATACAGGCCTACTGAGTAGCAGCCTATACAGTGCGTATCAAAAATAACGCAACAGATTGTTATCTTGGAAAAGCACAAAACCAGTGATAACAGCATTGATTTCATTCAATGCACCATAAAGCCTAGTTCAACAAGTTAAACCTAGTCTGGGCCTTATTTCTTATCTGACATTTCTTGTGGCCCGCCCTAGGTTTAACATCCGTGCCTATTCGGCCCTTGATGCAAACATTTTTAATGATGGTCTATGGCAGCGCATAGAATTTCATGCGCGTTTTATTAATAACTGATAGTGAGAATTTGCAACCAATGAAAGCATAGCACGGAAGTTAAACCCAACCACGGCAACAAGAACACTCAGATAATAAATGAAAGCCGTGGTATTGGGTTTAACTTGTTGAACTACATAAAGCCATGTGTCTCCTCTTTACAATGATATATCATTCATTGATATTTGGTCATGGTTGGGTGAGTTATCATTCCATTTGCAAAGTGGGCAAAAATTAGCTTCGGGCCAAGTTATAAACATAGCAAAAGTCAGTGTACGGAGCCCGATGCAATATTGGACGAAAACATAAAATCAATGCTGACTGCATCCTTTTAATTCAATGTACCGAAAAGCCAAATTACTCCTCTTTGCAATGGAATATCATCCATTCACAGGGGGTCATCTGTGGCCGAATAATCATTAATTTTGCAAAGTGGGGCAAAATTCAGCTCGGACCCAAGTTTGAAACATTGCAAAAGTCAGTACAAGGGGCATAGGGGCTATTGGAAGAAGGTGTGACAGGTATGGCATAGTCAGTAAAGTGTTCATACTCATACTCTTGCAAGAATACATCCTATACCCCTCCAAATTGCCATCACGTCCTTGCACATAAAGATGCACTCATCTGTCCACATCATGCATGGTTCAGCCCTGAATCATGTATGGGTTAAAGCAAAGAAAATCTGCCCATGCCTATGGGCAAATCTTTCCCGAGGTTTTGCAATATCTGGTGGAGGAATTGTGAGCACAGATGCTCCTGAGATAGCTCCAAAAGAGAAAGTCACAACAATTCAAGTCGGGAACTTCCATTGGCCCTTAGCCCTTGCACTGATTTTTTTCAATATCTAAAACTTGGCGCAGAGCCGATTTTGACCAAATGCAAATGGAAGGATTTCTCATCCAACCATTACTACATGTGAATGAATGACATATATCATTGCAAAGAGGGAAGACATGGCTTTATGGTACATTAAATGAAATTGATGTAGTCATCACTAGTTTTGTGATTTTACGAGATAACTACCTGTACTTGTTGCGTTTTTTTGATACGCCCTGCCTATTTAGTATTACTTTAAATGTATCAGTGGAGGATCAAAAGTTGCCCAATCTGAAGTTAATTGTCTCAAGTACCAGGACGTTGGTCTTGTTATCGCAACTGTAGTTCCACAAGTTGGAAATTATTATTTTGAGTCGATATCAGATCCGCCATTGCCACCACTGAATGATGGTGGGCATGGTTTCGCTAAATCGACTAATTGTCTAACTATGAATGGTGTTCGCTATTGCGAATAAAAGTAACTGTTCTTGATAGAAAAGGATCAGGAAATGAGTGGATTAGATCTACACTTTGTTGATCTGCTGAGTTATATTTATCCAGACAGTAAGGTTAGTTGTGATTTAAATGTTTTACCAATATATGACAAAGAAGTCACGCCAGTAATTTGTATTAGCATTTGTATGTAGTTTACTTTTACAATTAGAGAAAATTTACAATCCATTTTCATTTTTTGATAGTCAAGATTCTCTCGGAGTCTGATTTCGAACGCATACTAATAACGTTGAACATAATGCGATAAGGTACATGCAACACAAGTACTATATCTAGTTATTATTTGATTATAGTAGACCAGTCTCGAGTCTCGAAAAAAAATGTTGAAGCTGATAATAGGAGGAGCCACTGTTCTAGGGGTTGGATTATTATATCTACGACGATATGCAAAGCGGGTGATGTGTCAAAGTAACAGAACATTGCATGGTAAAACTGCAATTGTGACTGGAGCTAATTGTGGTATCGGTAAAACCACCGCCTTTGAGCTAGCAAAGCGGGGAGCTCGAGTGATACTTGCGTGTAGGGATGTGAACAAAGCAAACCAGGCTGCTGCGGATATATTGAAGAGCTTTAAAAATGCTGATTTAATTGTCAAACATTTAGATTTGGCATCTTTGGCATCCGTGCGGAAGTTTGCAGAAGGTATTATTACTGAGGAAAAACACTTGGATATATTGGTTAATAATGCTGCTGTTTTTGGATGTCCCAAATCCAGTACAGAGGATGGATTTGAGAACCATTTTGCCGTGAATCATTTGGGTCCATTTCTCCTCACAAATCTGTTATTGGACCTGCTGAAATCATCAGCCCCAAGTAGAGTCGTCATTGTATCTTCAGGGTTAGCAAAGCGTGGAAAGGTTGAATTTGATAATCTGAATGGTGAACGGGATTACACCAAACGTTACCCTAACACTAAACTAATGAATAACCTTTTTGCTAGAGAGCTCCATCATGTTCTTAATGGTGAATCAAAGGAGGTGAAATCTGGTGTCGGAGTACATTGTTTACACCCAGGTGTGGTGAATACCAGCTTAGGGAGATACATGATTCCATATTATCTTAAACCTCTGGCGATTCCTTTGATGTATTTACTTTTAAAGACACCCACCGAGGGGTGCCAGACTACTCTATATTGCTCCATTGCAGAAGAGCTTGATAATGTATCAGGCTGTTACTATGGTAACTGTAAACAAGAGCCTTGGGGCGAGGCATCGAATGACATGGCTGTTGCTAGGAAACTGTGGGAACATAGTGAGAAACTTGTTGGATTAAACTGATGAATAATTTATACAATTCAGTGCAGAATACAAAATTTATAAATACAAGGTGAAATACAATTGTGGAATGATTCATGTTAAGAGCTTGTGCACAGCTTACATTAAAGGAATTGAGATAGCCAAGTACATATATTAATAAAATACTTCTATATAGCATCAGACCAACTGACTACTGGACAAAATGAAAGCTATATGAACAGACGAATGAGCATTTTACATAGTCTGGGGTTAAACCACATTCTGATTGGTCAGAAGGAGATAATGCATGCCTAATTGTGTGTGAGAGTGTTATAATCTAAATAGTCACAATTATTTAGCACACGGTGGAGCTGCCCAAATATTAAAGTTGTTCTCAATGGGTAGAACAAGTAATTATTGAAAAGCATGTCAAATGAATGATTCAATAAACATAATAAAAGTACATTTTTACTTTAGATTTTATTATTTTGTCCAAACCATTCTTTATACAAAATAAATACATTTTCCTGATCAAATTATTGTACATGTTTTGTATAAATTCTGTTGTGTTAAACTCTATTATTAATTTATTATTGTACTAATTGCACTAAATAAATTCTAAAAGGATTTCTCTAAATGCGAACAACTGCATTTGTTTGGAACATTTGCAGCAAAAAATTTTTGCTTTAAAAATACAGTCTCAAAATATATCTTGAAATAGGGAAATATTTATTCATGAAACATTTTCGAATAATAGTACGTACACAAATATGTGTGTTAAGTTGAAAGTATTTTCAATGTACGGCCCATGTGACATATAAAACAACCGAGTCTAATTCATGTCATTACGAGAAAATCTATTCTGTGTACTTGAAGCTGTATTAGACTCATGTGTAATATCACCAATGCTAAACAATTTTTTTTTTAAATCATTAAAACCTCTGCCAAGCCTGGTACTCAATTCAAAAGATAAATACATAGATATTGCTACATTTGTATTTCCCTTCAACCTAACCTTCAGGGCTAATGCGCTTCAAATGAGTATTACAAAATATTGAAATAACTAAAACACACATTTCAATTTGAATTCATGGCGAAGTCATGCACAAGGCAAAATTTTACAAATATGAATGCAGACAGAAAACCTTGAAAATGAAGTCTTAATTGATGGTGTTATATTGCCTCTGCCTCTTTTTACCTTGCCTTTTTATTAAATTTGTTTCACCAACCTTAAATTCTGGCTAAGCCCTTGGAAATTGGGTACTGAACAGTAATATATACATGTATGGGTATGTACATTGAGCCTTAAGTTCTACTTTAATACTGCCACATCTAACTGCACCATATTTACACCATGATAAAATGTTAATAATATCTACAAACTCCATAACTGTAATATTCCTGCCTTCCAATACCTCAGTCTCCATCTTATCTTATAATTTTACTTTGATATTTGAGGTTAATTACTACATATTACATGTCTAGATTTAAGATTATGAATGGTGTTTAATTGTTAAATTACAGTAAAACCACTGTCCAAATTGAACCTTTGGTACTTCTAAAAATAGTTCCACTTGGGATGTGTTCCACTAAAGAGGTTCATTTAGTCAGTTGGTCTTGGGATTGAAGTGTTCCACTAACAGAGGTGTTCTACTTGACTTCACTGAACAGTAAAAAGTGTCACAAGTGGAACACCTTTGGTACTTGTAAAAAATGTTCCACTTGGGAGGTGTTCCACTTAAAGAGGTCCATTAAAAATGAATCAGTTGGTTATGTACTTTCATTTCCATTAATTCAAATACAGTAAACCTGTATATCTGAACATCTCTCGATGTGAACACTTTTTCTAAACCAAAATACTCCCAGCATCAATCTTCATTTCAAGAGAATTTCAAGGCTAATTTCAGAGATAATTCTTCAGAATGGAGTTTAACAATAGTGGTACTAACGTTATATCACCCACCCTACAGTAATTGTGGAGGGCTTAACACTTGAACAGGCTACCATAGTTAATAATTTACAAAGTAAACTAGGCTTGGTAGTTTTAAAAAAGGAATGTAACAAGTTGTATGACATCAATGTAATAAATACTATAAAACCCCTTTCTATATAAACCCATCGTAAAGTGTCCTATCATAAGAAATGAACCAACCATTTTGTGCGTATACTGCCACCGTTTCACTATAATATCACTAAAATATCCCCCAAAACAGCAAATTGGACAAAAAATGCCAAAACAGCCTGTTTGCTGCATGATTACTGTGCAATAGGTTATCTTGCAATAAAACTAACCTATTGTTTAAAAAAATACTCCTTTCACTGGGTCAATTTTGACTAAAATATCACCATATAAGGTGTTTATCACGCCATCTATTAAAGCATTAGCCCATTAGTTTTAGTGTCCATTAACTTGACTTGCCCAGCATATCAAATGTGGCACCAAGTGACCAGCTGATTTCTTTCCTATTAATTTTCTTTTGTATCTGAAATTACAGAAGACAGAATGTAAAATTAAAACCACATCATGGAGGTATATCGGCATTTTTACCTTTGAAAGTCAGCTAAGGGTCAAATATCTCAAATTTCAAAGGAGTCCACCTCTATCATTTTAGTGAAATTGATTAAGTAGAAGAATAGAAGCAGTAAAGATGGATTTAGTGGTGGAAAACAGGACTTTCCTCACCCATAAAATCTTCTAGCCCCAAGACCAAGAATTTTTGATGGACACTGTCAAATTTTAAAAGAAAAAAATATTCCCCCAAAACAGCCAAACTGAAGTGAAGAATTCTTCTTGCATTTGTGATGTCACTCTGATACTCATAGCATCTCTCTCTGTTGCATCGCAGATCCAGAAGGATAGAGATGGAGAGGGCCTGGCTTACCACGATGTAGTGATGTAGAGAAGTAGAAAACCGGCATATATGTGACTATTGTAAACTTACAGTTATTTTAGCACTTGGTTGGAAGCCTATTCCCTCAAGCAAGGATGTGATGTAACATAGATCCAGACACAGCAAAGGCTCTTTGGGATGTGGATCTGAACATACTGAAATGAGGAAGACATTTTTAAACTAAGTGAGGCCTTAAATGCCAATTTGCAGACATAGTGATGTATAAGCTGTAGGTAGGTTTAGGTAGTTTGACTAATTTTTGATTTTTGCAGGTCTGAAATTTCTAGTACAATGCTCAAAATTTTCAAAGAGCCAAAATTTGCTGTATTTTCCTTATTAAAGAGAAGAGCGGACCCCCTTTTCAAACAGCTTGTGCAGGCGTGAGATATGACCATGAATTCATTAAAAACAAAAAGTTTCTCAGTCAATTTCTACAACTTTTGCAATCTGCAGGCATTTAAATATGTAATCAATAAAAATTCACCTCATCCCCACCTAAAATTTTATTTTTGCAAACATTTTAGAATAAATGTATGCACTCACTTTTTTGAGCAGCATTAAAGAAATCTCCCACTTTCACATCACCTCCATCTTCTTCATCTGCAACCATAATATTAAAGCAATAATATTAACTAGTTTACAGTCTTATTAACATTGAAGCAATAATATTTACCAGTTAACAGTCATAATATTTACCAGTTTTCAGTCTTGTTAACATTGAAGTAATAACATTTACCAGTTTACAGTCTTATTAACATTGAAACAATAATATTTACCAGTTTACATTATTACTAACATTGAAGCAATACTATTTACCAGTTTACAGTCTTATTAACATTGAAACAATAATATTTACTAGTTTCATTCATAATATTTACCAGTTTACAATCTTATTAACATTGAAGCAATAATATTTACCAGTTTACACTCATATTAACATTGAACCAATAATATTGACCAGTTTACAGTCTTATTAACATTGAAGCAATAATATTTACCAGTTTACAATCTTATTAACATTGAAGCAATAATATTTACCAGTTTACACTCATATTAACATTGAACCAATAATATTGACCAGTTTACAGTCTTATTAACATTGAAGCAATAATATTTACCAGTTTACAGTCATAATATTCACCAGTTTACAGTCTTATTAACATCAAAACAATAATATTAACCAGTTTACAGTATTATAATCACTCAAAGGAATGGAAAGCTGAAGATAATAGCCCAGTTACAAATCAACCAACAAGTTGATAAGCGGCAAAATTGAAAGAGCACAACAAGATGAGTAAGAAGATTTCAAACACAACATTAAAAACTAATTAAAACACCTTCTCTTTTTCTGACAGGCCCTTATACAGTTATACATACCTACAAGCTGGGCATCTACAGCTCTATCTCTATAGTATGAGATTGCAAAGAAAGGCATAGATTTCACCTCCTCTGGAACATGAAGTTTGTATTTCTTCACCACGTTCTTGGTGGCAAAGGAACAGGCATCAAAGCCATGTGTATGTCCTTGACCTCTGAAATTCATAACAAGCATGATATTTAATTTATGACTAACTGTTACATATAAGTATCTACAATAATTTTAAGGCTAAATATGGAAAATGACAGATATAGCCAAGATGGCCACTTCGTAATTCGAAAATAGGATTTGGACCAAACCAAGAATGACTGATGTATCTCTTTGAAGATATCATTCAAATCAGATGACATTCATAAAAACAAGCAAAGCATTGTCTCTTTTACTGTTCAATGGAACAACAGCAGCATTCATGAATGTGGTTTTCAACAGCAACAAATATGACCTGAATGCTTAATGTCAAATACACACACCTGTATGATTCAGTCGTTCTCATGCCATCATTTAACTTCAGTTATCTACCTTTGTGAAACATAATTTCAAGCGCTTTTAGTATAGCACTTAATAATAGAGGAGGTGAAATCAGAGCTACCCAGAATAAATAAAGTTTTCAAATCAAATCAAATTATTTCTTTATCTGAACACCTCTGCAATCCAAACACCTCTCAATATGGACATTTTTCTCAGTTCCAATTTTTTTACCCAACATTGACTTCCTTGTTAAAGGGACCTTTAAATGTGAACACCTACTATTTTGAACACTTTTGGCTGGTTCTAGTCATTTGTACTGGACAGGTTTCACTATACAAGTATTGTGCATCATTACATGTATTAACAGGGGTTCCATTAGCAGCAGGCAATTTATTTTCACTGGTTGTTTTCACAAAATCGCTTTTCAACTTTTCCATGTTAAATTTATGATTTCCATTAATTTTGCCTGTTGTTTTCATATATTAGCTTGTTGTGAGAAATTCTAGTGAAACCCCTGATTAGTATGTCTAATACATTATCTAAATAACCAAAGACTTCTTGACCTTATCTCATGTGAAGTTGTCAAGTTTATGGAGTAATGAAAGCCTGGTAATTCAACTTGAAATGTCTTATCTTGACTTGAAAGTTTATAGCCTTTACTTAATCATTATGCTATATCACATGATAAAGATCACATGTTATACAGATACCATTTGTGACATTTTAAGCAAGAATTTTAATAGAGACGTACAGAAACACAGAGCTATCAGAGAGATGAAGTTCTTAATTTTAGCTGGTGTGATTTTTTCAATCTGTGAGTCAAGGAATGTAACTGTTAACACAACCTATGGACTACTAAGGGGTGAGGTAAAAACAATACCGGGAGAATACCCGGAAGGTACCATGAACAATATTACAATAACGCAATTTCTTGGGGTTCCCTTTGCCAAAGCACCGATCAATGAGCTTCGTTGGAAGGCACCTGTTGAACAGGACTCATGGACTGGAGTAAAAGATGCACTAAACTATGGTAATATATGCTGGCAGGCCTATCGTCCAGACTTTGAGATGTCCGAGGACTGTCTAGTTCTGAATATATGGGTCCCTGGCGATGTACCTGTTGATGATATGATGAAACTAAACCTGAGTGTCATGCTGTACATTCATGGTGGATCTTTTCAAAGTGGCACAGGAAATTCCAGGGATATAATGGGAGGTTACATGGCTCATGACAACAATGTTGTCATGGTAACTGTCAATTATCGTTTAGGAGTACTTGGGTTTCTATCAACAGAAGACACAGTGGCTGAAGGTAACTACGGTCTCCTAGACAACATTATGGCTCTTAGATGGGTCAAGGATAATATCAAATATTTTGGCGGTAATCCCAATTCTGTGACCATATTTGGAGAATCAGCTGGTGCGGCTGCAGTGTCACATTTAATGTTGTCTCCAATGGCAACAGGACTCTTTCAGAGGGGTATAACACAAAGTGGTGTTGCTACAGCATTTTGGGCTGTTGCTAGGGATTATCTCAGGGAGCTGACACACATGCTGGGCGACAAACTTACCTGTGAGAATTCTAACTCAGAAGCCTTAATAAAGTGCCTCAGAGAAAAGAACCCGCAAGAAATCATAAATGCAACGATACAGCTGAACACAGAGATACAACTGAGTAGAAATGACACACAAAGTATATTCCTACCCCGGATAGATGGTAAGGTCTTAAATGACGATCCATTGAAGCTACTACAATCAGGAGATTTCTACCCTTATGACTATATGACAGGAGTTACCAGTCACGAGGGATGGATGATGTGGTACATTACAGCTCAAGGGGTCGCTAAACCTCTACAAAATGGAATCAACTCGACTGATTTCGATATTCTTACCAAATATTGGATGCGGTTCCTTCAGCATCCATCACAGTGGGAAAAGGTTTCTAAAGCAATCAAGCTAACTTATGATGTTTACACTAATCAAGGAGAGAGCATTGAGCGGTCCAAGGCATATGTAGACTCCATGACAGACAGCACATGGGCAGCAGACAATGAAAGATTCGTCAAATTATACAGCAAGAAATCAAAGAATGTTTACAATTATTATTTCTCACCAAGAGTTTCCTATGACCAACGTGTACTTAATTACCCACAGCCTGTACCTGATTGGGTCTTAGCTTCCCACGCTGATGACATTCCATTTGTATTTGGCAAGACGAAATACACATGGTATGATGTCACAACTAATGAAGAGAGAGCACTCAGTGATGTTGTCATGAAGGCATGGGCAAACTTTGCAAAAAATGGGTGAGTCAATCAGGACCGTAGCCAGGGGGGGGGGGGGCTCTTGGGCAAATATTCTCTCAAAATCATGCAGTTTTTCACCATTCTGAGCACTTTTCAAATGATTTTGGCCACTTTAGGGCCAAAATTGTCAAATGTGAACCTCCCTGGAATTTTTTAGTAAACCCCCTTGGCAAAAGCTGGCTAAGGCCAGGTCAATGCATGGTTCAAATGTATACCCATATTGTACATATGTATATTATATATACAGGGTGGGCCAAAAAAAAACAATACCCAACTTTGAATCAGGATAAAAATAGCTAGGTTCAATATGATACATTGATTTATATATCATTTTAAAGGTTATCCATTTTCGGACATTTTGATATATAACACTATGTCATGAAATCAATATTAAAGTTTTACTATACATATTTGGGAGGTCGGGTTGCTTTTTAAGGTCTCCAGATTTTAGGGAGAAAATAGTAAATCTGCGGAATAATGTTAATTTTTTATTTATAGAATATCATTTTGTTAGGTGAATACATGGTTCTATATGTGCATAGTTGTGTGATTAAACGTATTTTTTATGAATTTCAGTTTTGTTTACTATCAATAAGTACTCAAAAGGGTTCTATTAAAAGCCATTAAACATATATGTGACGAGGATTTTATTTTCCAACAAGACATTGCCTCGTACCATAGATCAAAGGAGACATTGGCATTCCTTAGCGAATAAGGTGTCAATTTGATTGATCTCAATGCTTGGCCTGCCAACTGCCCCGATGCTAATGTGGTTGATTGCCATACATTGAGCAATTAGACTAAATCTCAAGGAAATGGTACAATCACAAGCATCCAATAAACAGTATTGATGAGCTGAAACAATTCTAATGTTGAATGAATTTCAACAGAAATCTCTCAATAAGGCTATCGATAGATTGCGCTACCACTTGGAGCTTATTGTTGACGCAGAGGGGGAAAGGGGGAGGGGGTAAATTGAGCAATTGTTAAAATTGGTTAAATAAATAAAGTGTGAAATGATATTAAACAGCACTGATATTCATAAACAATAATTAAAGTCACACAATGATGCAAATATCAATATCCAAGCATGTATTCACCTAACAAAAAATGATATTCTATAAATAAAAAATTAACGTAATTCCGCAGATTTACTATTTTCCCCCTAAAATCTGGAGACCGTAAATAGCAACCCGGCCTCCCAAATAAGTATAATAAAACATTACTATTGATTTCATGACAAAGTGTTATATACCAAATTGTTTGAAAATATATAACCTTTATAATGATATGTGAGTCAATGTACCATATTGAATGTAGCTATTTTTATCCTGATTTGAAGTTGGGTATTGTTTTTTTTTGGCCCACCCTGTATATCCAGATGTAAATACAAAAAGTTCTACACAAAGGAAAATTGGTTTACACTGTAGAGATAACTAGTGAATAAATTATCGACATAATCATTAAAACGAAAAGAATATCTGAGTCAAGGTTTTTAAAACAATGCTTAATTCCATTATTTTCCAAATGATTCATACAGTCATCATTTTCATAGTTAACTTGATGGAGACTAGCACCCAGATTTGGAAATGAAGATACACCACAATCTAATTGTATGGTATATTTTTCATCCCATTGCTTGGGTGATATCCCATCACATTTTCTCCAATCTCTAAGTGGATATGCTGGATCTTCAAGCATACACTTGATAACTGATGAAGGTGTTGTATCTTCAGAGACCCAGGAGTTGTAGCTGGTGTAACTTGGCCAAAGTTTACTGAAGAAAGTCCAACATACCTTGACTTAACAACCCCCGTCACAAATATCACAACAATAGAGTCATTTCTCCCAAGAAAGATGTCATTTTGGCAAGACTTGGTCTGGCCCTTGTTAGATCAACCCAATAAATGCACTGATCAACCAACAGGTAAGAAATTGACTAAGCCCATACTGATAATAAATGCACTGATCAACCAACAGGTAAGAAATTAACTACAGCCCATACTGATAATAAATGCACTGATCAACCAACAGGTAAGAAATTGACTACACACCATACTGATAATAAATGCACTGATCCACCAACAGGTAAAAAATTGACTACAGCCCATACTGATAATAAATGCACCGATCAACCAACAGGTAAGAAATTGACTACAGCCCATACTGATAATAAATGCACCGATCAACCAACTGGTAAGAAATTGACTACAGACCATACTGATAATAAATGCACCGATCAACCAACAGGTAAGAAATTGACTACAGCCTTTTCTGATAATAAATGCACTGATCAACCAACAGGTAAGAAATTGACTACAGCCCATACTGATAATAAATGCACCGATCAACCAACAGGTAAGAAATTGACTACAGCCCATACTGATAATAAATGCACTGATCAACCAACAGGTAAGAAATTGACTACACACCATACTGATAATAAATGCACTGATCAACCAACAGGTAAGAAATTGACTACAGCCCATACTGATAATAAATGCACTGATCAACCAACAGGTAAGAAATTGACTACATCCCATACTGATAATAAATGCACTGATCAACCAACTGGTAAGAAATTGACTACAGACCATACTGATAATAAATGCACTGATCAACCAACAGGTAAGAAATTGACTACAGCCCATACTGATAATAAATGCACTGATCAACCAAACCAACAGGTAAGAAATTGACTACAGCCCATACTGATGATCAAGAAAGCTAATACATGACAAAGCATTAACATGACAAAATGGGATACGGTTAGACAATGTACCAAATTATTAAAATCCTAGACTACTGATGCCAACAAACAACATTAAACATCAGACACTAGAAACTGTGGCTAAAAACATGCACCATGCACTTCTTCATGGTTACAAGTTGGTGACTTTTTCCCACCATTTTTACATAAAACACATGATTTTCATTTGCAAGAAAGAGATTCGTACAAAGGCACAAATGTAAAGTATCCAAAATACTGACAATGACTTATGAAAACATGGCATCAACTATCATGTTTGCTTATATTTTCAGGAACTCCAATAACAGATGCGCCAAGCAATACTTCGCAGTCGATACACTATTTTATATATTCAACAATATTGCTTCAGTTGGGTCTCATTCTGCAATGGAAACTTCAATAATCAGGCTGCATTTTATGCAAACAAATGGGTGATTACAAAACTGTTGTAAATATGGACATTGATGCAAACAAATGGGTGATTACAAAACTGTTGTAAATATGGACATTGATTGAGTTGCTCGTACATCTAGGAGACAAGTGATAAAGGGCAACATTCAAAAATATTGCAAAGATCCAACACTTAAGCAAATTAAGCAGCATTATAACACTGAACCAAAATACACAAATTACAGAACAACAACAGCAATGTCTTACTTTGAAAACTCGTTAAACTTTGTGTGTTTTTGTGTCAGTTATTTGTGAACAGAATTTTTTCCAACTGCCTTAGAAGAGACTTTTTGGCTCACACAGTGAGCCTATGGGATCGACCAGGCGTCCGTCCGTTGGTCCGTCCGTCCGTCCGTCAACATTGGCCGCACAAATTAAAACTGCTATTCGGATTGAGTCATATCCACATTCATTTTATGCATATCCATAATGCCTATTTGAACTATCATCGCCATTTCCCAAGTTCGCCCAGTTACCGAGAAATTGCCGATTTTGACGTCAAAAAGTCAAATTCTCTGTATATACTAGACACTTTGATGAAGTGGAACTTTCAAATAACTCTTAGTAGTTGCTGTATATGCAACTTATGTCCTCTGAAGATTTCAAAGCTCTTGGAATTACAGTTTCTGGTGTTTACTCTATAAAATTTGACAAAAAGTAGGACTAAGTCATTTTCAGGAAACTTTCTCATGTATAAAGTCAATGGCAGGTTTTGTGATTGACAAGTTTCTCAAAGTTTGCCTTATACTTGATCATTTCTTGCAATGAATTACATCATTACTAGATTTAAGCATTCTCTACATATTGCTCAATATATGTCAGCATCAAATTTTTACAGTTTTTGAGATATTTGACGTCAAAAAACAGTAAAAATAAGTTATTTTTCAACTTGCTTCAATTTGACCAATTTTTTTTTGAAAATCATTTACAAGTTGCCAGGAGCTCAAATCTGACATTAGTTTTAGGATTTGACCTTTACTTGACCTTCAGTGACCTTCGAAAGGTCAAAAAAGTTGATTTTTCAAATTGATTTTTGGATGTAAATTTTGATCAGCTTAATCACAAAAGACCTTACTGAGCTCTGAATAAGTTAAATTTTAAAGGTCAAGCAAGGGTCATCAAACTAGGTCATACAACTGTGCTATCAAAGTTTATTTCTCAAAGTTCGAGACTACAAATCCAAATCAATATTGCTGACGGGTGGGGGATGGGGGTGGGGAGTGCGAGGCTGGAGATACATAATTTACACAACACTGCTTGTCATGTTCATCTTCTCTGTGCGGATAATATGCCCATTAGGGTGTCATCCGCCTTATCTGTATGTTTCACCAGATGTTTGAAAATAAATAAATGAAATGAAATGAAATATTTTTGTTTTAAAGTCAGGATATACATTCCTCTGAAGGTTCCAAACTGTGTGAGCACAGGACCGTGGGTCCTATTTTTTGTGTTTTTGTTTCTCAAAATACATCTAGAGGTGATTTTTTTTTTTTTTTTATTAATCATCATTATTTTATTCCAGTAAAACAAGTTGACAAAACTATACAATTGCCAAAGTCTAGTGACATTGTCTGCAATTTTGAATGTAATCTATAGGAATGTTATTTAAATTTTACACAATAAGTTGTTTTCACATTATGTTATCGTTAAAATAGATGAGAAAAAAGTCAATAAAATACCACTTAACTACACTTGTATATCTTAAATATATGTAATTAAGGTTGATTCCCTTGGCCAGAGGTATTTCAGATGTATCATGTTAGAATTGAGAGAAGGTGATTCATTTCAGATGCATCAGGAGTCTGGTCAAATATAATATATCTGCCTGAAAAATGGGATAATGTCTATAAACTTACTTGATGATATAATCAGTGTTCCCATGTGTATAAGGCCCAGTGAAGTTGGGAGGAAGGCAGCTGCTACTCAGAGTATTTTCAACCTTATTCTGTTCATCTGAAAAATAGTTAAACACGACATGTGATAACTCAGATGGAAGGAAATGTTGTACCATGATGTTTCTTATGTTCATACCTGTTGAATTTTAAGCAGTTCACTATGTTGAATCTGAGAAAATTAAATATTTTACGTTTTCTATAAAAACTATATAAGATTCTGTCAAGAGTACACATATTGATATAAACAGAAATCAAGGGCATTTCTGGACATGAATTATGGGGTCAACTCACCAATATTTACTAGTGCAATTTCATTTTCATTTATTAACTACTCGAGAGCTTCTTAAACTATATTAGTCTCTTTTGCTAAACTGTATTTTCTCAAGTTTTCTTAACATTTCATTAGGTGATAATTTGCATGCAAATGCAGCATTTCGAGTACATGTATATGAGTTTCAAATGGGGACTGTCACAAAATTAGGTCAACATCAAACCCATGCATGGAGAGGAGTGATTAGTTTTGGTCACATACTTTCTAAATAAGGTATGTGAGTCGACTCAGTCAGGCTCTAATGGGTTCTTCCAATATGTCAATTGCAGAGAAATATGGTTTACAAGTGGCTTTAGTAAGGCTAAATTAAATAATACATTTGAGTAAGCTCACACTAACAAAAATCGTATGACAAGATAAAATAAATGCTTCTTGAAGTTCTTTGCAACTTTTCACACTTACAGAGATAAAACCTTTGGTTTGGTACGCACTCTGAAACAATTTGACATTATAGGAAGTCCTGATGTCATTTTTAAAATGCTGATGTCTTTGTTAATAATTAATTATCTTTACATAATTTAACAAAGTTCATTTATGGTTCATTTGAAAATGATTGTTATTGCACCACTGAAAGATCAAACATATATCTGTAATGCTGTAATTTATAACAACTGACTTTATAGCTTATTCATTTATAATAAGAAGTCTATTTTGTATTTTACACTGTTGTAACTTAAAATGTCATTGTTAGGATATTACAAAGGCATGTATATTGCATTATGATCACCTCATATTAAAATTTCTACCAACCACACACTCTGTTACCAGAGACATGACTACTACAGTATTTTTTTGGCTAAAGCTGATGGACTACTCTTAGTGTAAATGACTCAATGAGCTATAAAGCCTTGTCAAAACATATAAAATCCGATAAATGTCTAGTTAAAAAAATTGGACGAATGGAGATGAGTGACAAGCGAACAATCCTCTGACAACAGAACTCTAAATTAACTCTTGGTCGGAGGCAAATAGTCTATCCCATAGGAATTAGATTATCATTGCATGACTTACTTTTAGGACTGTCTGGGAGACCTCCCATCACCTCAAGCCTGGCAGACATCAAGCCAAGTCCCAGGTAACTATGGAGATAAAATATAACAACAAGATCTATATATTGTCATGGCAAATCAAAATTTTAATTATCTCTTAAAATATCACTACATATTGCTATTTGCCACTCACATTTTTGCCTATTGAGGCTTAATGTATCAAAATGAAAATGTTATCTCACAGAAATCGTTTTATTGATTCAATAAGAATCTTACCTATGTGTATACAAATTGTGTTTCTTTCCGAACACATTTACGCTGCCAAAGTAATCCTTCGGAGCTTTGTCTAGAGTACTCTGTAAAAATAAAACCATCAGTTTAATCACATATGTTAAATATTTAAGCATTTCATGCTAGATTATTTGTAAGGAATATAAATTATAGAACGCTTCAATAAAAACGATCACCTTATGCTCTAGAAATGAAGATTGTAATAGTGCCTGCTCAATAAAATTGATTGTAGTTTCTATAGGCACTTAAAGGGGTGTTCTATTTAAAGGATGTTCCATTTGACAGGTTTTACCTTTAAAGTTGAACACCTCTGTCCCAAGACCAACTGACTTAATGTTAAATAAACCTGTATAAGTGGAACACCTCTTGAGAAGAACACTTTTTTGAGTCCAATGATAAACTGACTTAATGTTAAATGAACCTGTATAAGTGGAACACCTCTCGAGTAGAACACTTTTTGAGTCCAATGATGAACTGACTTAATGTTAAATGAACCTCTATAAGTGGAACACTTCTCAATTGGAACAAGTTTTACAAAGTCTGCTGAGATGTATGAAATCCTTACCTGAGCTAGTGGAAGGAATGTGATTTGTGTGGAACCTCCTCCTAGGTCCATTACACCAACAGATTTACCTATGTCTGCCACCTTACCTATATAACAACAATAACAAATAGAAATATAATAAACATTTACTTCATAGATGCCGTGTTGTATCAAAATGTATGAGACATACATAATTCAGATAAATATAATTGTTTTAATTGTTCATGGATTTCAATGAAATTTTAAGGAATTATAGTTTTAACATATCTTAGAGTTTCGGTTTCAAGCAATTTGAAAGGTTGATTCTGTTATGTACTATTATTTAATCAAACAAGATCTTGATACAGTGTTTGTCAATTGCATTTCAGTCTTTAATACCAGAACAACGGCAACGCCAAAGCGTAGCGAATCCCATCGAACAGAAATGGCTGGCATTTTTACAAACGAAGCGCAAATATCATAAAACAACACACCAGAAAGGCCACCATTTTCAAGATGGTTGCTCACTAGCCAAGTTGTCATCAGAAGAAATAATATGCTTTTAAGTAGCCACCTCTAAAATTTTTGAAAAATCGCACACATGCTTGTAACATACATAAAAATGGTGGCCATTTTTCAAAATGGCCGACTACTCCCTAAAGTTTTATTAGACAATGTGCCATGCTTAAAGTATTCACATATCAATTATGAACAAAATCGCTCCACTACTTTTCCAGTTATAGTAAAATATGTTAAAATGGCAGCCATTTTTCAAAATTGTGTTCAAAATGGCCACCTTCTACCAAAAGTGTCATAGGACAGTGTGCCATGCTTATAGTATTCACATACCAAATATGAACAAAATCGCTCCACTACTTTTCAAGTTATAGTGAAATAAGTAAAAATGGCGGCCATTTTTCAAATTTTTTTTCAAAATGGCCGCCTTCTACCAAAAGTGTCATAGGACAGTGTGCCATGCTTATAGTATTCACATACCAAATATGAACAAAATCGCTCCACTACTTTTCGAGTTATAGTAAAATACGTTAAAATGGCGGCCATTTTTCAAAATGGCCGCCTTCTATCAAAAGTGTCTTGAGACAGTGTGCAATGCTTATAGTATCCACATACCAAATATGAACAAAATCGCTCCACTACTTTTTGAGTTACAGCAAAAATCGTAAAATGACGAGTAAAGGCCGCCATTTTTCAAGATGGCTGCCATGTGCTTCTTTAATATCTACATTTGTAGCATTATTAACGTCCTTTATAATTTTTTTACATTTAAAACATATTGCTATTACAGTTTTACATATTGCACCTAAATTACTGTAAAATCGTCACTAAAATGGCCGCCATTTTGAAATGAGCGGCCATTTTGAAAATTGGCTTTCGAGCAGAACTTCTAACCCCATAGGGTATATGTGTACAAAATATGAACAAAATCTGGCCAACCGTATTTGAGTTATTGCCCGGACGGACGGACGGACAGACGGACGGACGGACGGACGTACGTACAGACGTACGTACGTACGGACGGACGGACGGACGGAGGCGTTCCCTATATCCCTCCGAACTTCGTTCGATGGGATAATAAAAAATCATAGGCGTAGCACCTCCCTGCGATCGCACCTCCCCATAACCAATAAAAATTGAACCATTAGATAGAAGAAAATAGCTTTAAAATGCTTTTTATTCAAGGCTTCTTGCTCAATTTTGAAGGAAGTTGCATCAATTTTTGTAAAATACTGAAATATTCATTTTTTGGGGGGTTTCTTATGCCACAATTGCACCCCCGACTGAAAACCGACTGAAAGCAAGCTACGCCCCTGTACATTTACACATATTGAAAAGCTGGTCGAATATTCACCTAAGAGAAAGTTGACAGTGTACCAGCTAAAGATGCCCTCGTCATTCCCTCCCATTATAGCAGCGACATCTTCAACTAGTTGGAAAGGATAGCTGGCTAGAACATTACGAGTCTGAAACAAAAATTTGATGTAACAGAGATGTGAGTTAATTTCAATTCAATATTCATTTAATACTCATTTAATTGAAATATAAATTGGAAATTCTGAGCTTAGTGGGATGTACTGTCACAACATAAAAATCACATCGAATTTGAAAAACACAAAAATGGAGTATTTTTCAAAAATATTACACAGTTCTTATAACAACTTTTGAGAGACAGGGGGTAGTTTATAACTTACCTCTGCACACGTGGTATGGTATTTTAAGTTAAAACCCAACTTCATTTGATTCTGCACTAACTTATCCAAGTTGATTTTACATAATGCACAAAAGGAGTTTATTTCTTACAGGAACATAAAGCAGCTTGCCTAGATAGCAATAATAACTAGACTTGGGAAATTGAACGAAGTTCAATTTCAGACTCCAGATCTAGACTTTTTTAAGCCTAGTCATCTAAAATAAGCCGAGTCATCCAGAATAAGCTGAGTCATCTAGAATAAGATGGATGTATAAAATAAGAAGGTAGGATAGGATAGAATGGGAAGGAACGATAGGATAGAATAAGAAAGAAGGATAGGATAGAACAGAATAGGAAGAAAGGATATGATAGTAGAGGATAGGAAGGAAAGGATACGAAGGAAGGATAGATAGGAAGGATAGGATAGGATCAGATAGGAAGGATGGATGAATTTTTCAATATTTTCTTCTCTACTCTTGATTTTCTATCAGGATACCATCAGATCGATTTTCCGAAATATCAAAATGCCATCAGATCGATTTTCCGAAATATCAAAATGCCATAACTTCCGAACCGGAAGTCGGATCTAAATTTAATTCAAAGATTCGGATTCCTGACAAAATTCTACCCCTAATTCATAACTCATACGTTAAATTTGGCGAATTTTTATTTTGACCTACTTTTTGGACACGCCATAACTTCTGAACCGGAAGTCGGATCGAAATTTGGTTTGCAGATTCGGATTTCTGAGAAAATTTTATTTTTAATTCATATCTCAAACGTTAAATTTGGAGAAGTTTTTATTTTGACCTACTTTTCGGACACCATATCTCAAAAGTGGGTCAAAATACTTTCTGACGGCAAAAGGCTAACGCTATTAGCACACTCTTGGCTACATGTATACACATTTTCGAAGAATATAATTAAAGTGTAGTGTCAGAATCGCAAAAATAAGAAAAAACTTTGAATTTGACCTAGATTTTGACTTAGGCATTTTGGTATCCAAATTTTGAAGCTTTGTGGCTTTTGAGGTCCCCTTCTTTTAAAGGCTTTGATTATATGAAGCTGAACTCAGTCTATATTTCGTATTTTTCACTTCAAAAAAATCTTTTTTCCCATTGACTTAACATGGGCACCAAATTTAGCGATTTTTGAGCTTTCAAAACGCCATAACTTCCGAACCGGAAGTCTGATTCAAATTTGGTTTTCAAATTCGGAATCCTGAGGAAATTTCCTATAAGACTAATATCCTTGACATTTGATTTGGAGAACTTTTTTTTGGACCTCGTTTTCGGACACTGATATCTCGAAATCGGTTTGAGATATCAAAAAACTAAATCGACCCTAGCTTTCCTACTTTTTTATAAGGAACACAATGAAAAAAACCTGGATCAAAAATATTGAAGGACGACTGAGAAAATTGAAAAAAGTGACAAAGTACTGGATTTGACCTAGCTCTTGACCTTTGACCTAGATAAAAATTTGACCCAATTTCCCACCAACTAGATACTGAACCTAAATAAACTGTATTATGATCTTTACTGGATACCTTATAGTTATTGAAAAAACTCTTAAAGAAAAATAATAATAATAAGAAGAAGAAGAAGAAGAATACTGGCAAAAACAATAGACTCCAGATTGACATCTGGAGTCTAACAATTATGGGAGAATAGCCAGGCAAAAAGCAGGCCAGGCCTCCCAACAGATAAATATAAATATTCACAATACTTTTTTTTACTGAAACTTTGGAAATGATGTCTAATTTGCCTCCCACAGCAACATATGCCTATCTATTTTCAAACCCTGGCTTATAGCCCTAAAAATTCAAAAAATTCCACCTCTCGTAACAAGGAGTCTGCAGCTGTCCCAGGTAACAGTCTCAGGCCAGCAGTTGCCTTCAGGTCTAGGGGGGTAGTGGGCCACTTGTCTTTAGGGATCCACTTCTTGGCATTCTCTAGCATGGGAATAAAAGATTCAGCACCCTGTAGTTAAAAAATTCATATTTTTTTTATGATTGTGATTAATAATTATCAATGTACTGTAAAACCTGCGAACAGGGAATGCTCTTGGGACTGAAGGAAAGTTTCCTTGTTCAGAGGTTTTCCCTACAGAGAGGCCGCACTTTCAGCAAACTCAAACTTGCCGAATAAGCATATTTGTATATATATTGATTGCTTGTACAAATGCCGGCTCCATACTTGGTTACATTCTCCCCATGTTGATTTTAGCTGCTGCTAGCGTCTGATGGTGTCTAGTTGATGTAATTATTGATATGATGTGTAGAGATATATTGCTAAGAACTAAATTTCAAGTTTAATCAACCCCATTTTATATCATTGATAATGTAGAAGTTTGGATCAGTAAAAGATTTAAAGAGATTTGGCTCAACATGACCATGTTCTTATCTGTTATCTCCATAAAACAATTGCGTCAGTCCCTAGATTATCACTACTGATTTGATGCACTTAGGTTTTTGAAAGGAAGAATTAGTGTCATGATAATAAGTAACAAACAGATTATTATTAGTTTTAAAATAAATCGGGGTAATTAACAGTGGGTGGGATGCTACATCATGTAAACAATTGGCTCATCTTAATCTCAATCATATTAATCCAAGCTTTTTATATTTAGATATTGGCTTAAGACTTTCACACCTCTGAAAAATAATGGAATATACAGTGTCACCAATATTCCATATTCCTTGTTCACAGGTGAATTTTCATAATTTGCCCCAAAATAGTGTTCCTTGTTCCCTGTTCATAGGTTTTCCCTACAGAGAGGGTCTGTTAACATGTAAGTCAATGGAAAAATATTTGGTTCTTTTGAAAAGCATTCCTTGTTCATAGGTTTTCCCTACAGAGAGGTATTCCATCGGACAGGTTTTACTGTATATCAATGCATTTAATCAAATATACATGTAGTATTGTAGTACATATCCAATGGTCAAGAGTATTATATGAGAGGAATACAGAAAGTCTATTGGATAAAGAAGATATTGTAGGGGTTGCTGGTTGGGGCAAGACTGTGCTAAAAGACAAATGTGCGATTTCAGGGCTAATGGCTATTGGTAATCAGATATATTGAATTATGTATGTCATACAAAATACATGCTTTTGAATATTTTAAGCCCCGTTTACACTGACAGGCCTTTTTCATCAGACTTTTTGAGTCCTCTAGAGATATGTGAAGACCAAAAATGTCTTGCTCGATAACCCAATATGTCCTCCTGTGACCTTTTGGGTCAGATAGAATCCGACTTCGATGGAGTGGACATGTGACGTCATGCATGAAGGCCTTTGTTGACTGTTGTCATATAAGATCACATGATCAGATTTAACAAATAAGTCTGATGAAAACTGGCGAGAGAATAGAACTGCTCAATCCACAAAAAGACTGACGGTCCTTTCATCGTAGACTTCATCTGACTTCATGTACCCTTTGCATTTGTTCGACTTCACTTCTTAAAAGAGAGCTTCGTAGTTTAACTCTGCATGCAGGGTAGGCTTCATGGGACCAAAGAGAATATCATTGGATGTTAATAAAAGACCTGTCTATTGAAGTCAGATTTAAAAATCCTATCAATACAGGCAAAGAACTAATGGTCTTTTCTCCCATTGGAAATACACAGGGGACCAAAAAGACCAGTTGGTGTAAACGAGGCTTAACCCTTTTCAGCCCAGAGGGTAGTAATTATCACTACCCTTTGGGTAAAATATATTTCTTTATTGCAGACAAAAATCATTTTGCACCTCTATGAGAACACATCCTTAAGGGAACATTTGCAGTTTTGATATATTCAATAATAACAATTTAATATCAATAAACCCGTTTCAAATGCATGCCTGGTAATTTATACCCTTACACGAGGATATGATGATGTTAACTATCATATAAACAGAAGGAGTAAATACAGTTTAATAGGCAAAAACAAACATTATATGTGAAAATTAAATTATATTAAAAAAAAAATTTTGTTAAAAAAGCATCGTGGATAGATTTGTTTCAAATATGGTCAACTTCGGCATCCAAATGTATTTCAAAGGGTTGGAGTCAGCTGTTCCTCAAATTTTAAACTTGCATGCATTAAATCAATGTATCGGAATTTAATAGAGAATATAACACCATTGTAGTAAATAGGATGTTATAAATTAATTGATTTATTAAAATGTCAGCTGCATTGAAATCTTTGGTGTACATTTTAGCTGAACTAATCCAATGTATTTTGATTTATAAATCATAATTTAAAAACTATTTCTTTTACTTGTTGGACTATCATGATTAACCATGACATCTAATTCCTTCTCAGCCCTGAGATGTTTCAGGTGAAACAGAAAGATGTTATGCGTATCAGAATGTTGTTGGCCATTAAGTGTTGTACATGTACTTGTATAGAACTTAAATCTAAAATTAAAAGCTATATTTCTCAAAAAATGCCATAAAATAATGGTTTACTTAGCTATTGGAAAATTAATGTTTAATTATGTTTTAGTATCTTGTTGTCATAAAAATGATGGATATACAAGGGGTGATTCAAAAATTATGGAGATTTTTTTCTATTTTTAAGTGTACAAAAGGAATATTTTCAAAGTAAACCATGTAATGAGGAAATTAAACTGAAATTGAAATTAAAAATTAATGTAACAATACATTATTCCCAACAGAATGGCAAATACCGTGTAAAAAATCTTCTGTGCATTTATTTTATCAAAGAGAGGATTGGAGAAACATACAAGATGTTGCAGGACACCTGCACACGCCTATAACTAATTGAACATCTCTCGTAGATGTACAGATTAAGTTGATAGATTTATTTAAATGGAACTTATTTCCATAGAAATACCATTGTTACCTACATATGCAATTTTGCAAAAAAGCCCTAAGCCACAAAATGGTTCATACCTTTGTGGGCTCATGTGCATATGAAGACAGTCCAGGTTTCACCTGTTCAAACAGTTCATCCACCAGCTCAGGGGTACTGTCTGAAAAACATACACAATTTTTAATATGTATAGCCTAGACATCACGGGTAGTATCTAAAGCCCCGCTATGATTTAAAAATCGCGAGCAAGTTCCCGCTGAAATCGCGAGGAATAAAAAGAAGTCATGGGTTCTTTTTTGTGTTCTTGAATTGTATGATTTACAAAACGTTTTCTTTTAATTTTTCCCAATGATTACATGGTATTGAGACTAAAAAAGCAACTGCTGGAAAAATGTATCACGAGCGGTCGTTCTGTGGTTCGTTATTTATCAATTGAAGAGAGAAAGTATCTTTTTGAATCTTTATCTATATATTTCTATACGTTATTGGTGAAGAACGATGTTGTCCTGTGGTTGAAATAACGATAGTGATATGAAATAAAGATGTACCGAGTTTCACTTCCTAAAGCTTTACAGAACATTTTATATTTAAATTTGATCATATCCCTCAAGGCCCCGCTTCTAGCAGGAGCAATTAAGCAAAGATCCCGCTGAAATCAGGAGGAGGCCCCGCTGAAAACATGAGGAGGTCCCGCTGAAAACAGGAGCAAGTGTCTCTCAAAAATGGAGTGAATCTCGATTATACCCTGAAAATCTCCCACTTTCGTACCCACCTTGATCCACTATTGTACCCAGTTTGATGAATACATTATTTGTCAATACAATTCTCAATAACAGCAAACACAACTGTTTAATATAGTTCATATTATGATACATTGTTATGGAAAACTGCAGTATCATATTTCCATGCCATTTTACAGAATAAGAAAGATCATCTGAGAAATGTGATGAGTATTAGATCGGACGAAATGTTTTAACCTCATTTTCATAATTTGAAGTAATATAAGATATTCTGTATTCTCTGTATTGCAACTGTCCCCTCTGTTCCATCTTTGAGTACAAGCCGATATTCAGTAAGATACACGTATAAGCGTGCGTTTAGGTCAACCTAAAATGATTTAGTCAGAATAATGTTTATGAATATTATTCCTATATCAATCTCCTGTTGCTTACTTGCTTGCTCGCTTCCTCCCTTCCTTGCTTCTTCGCTTCCTTCCTTCCTTGCTTCCTGGCTTCCTTCCTCGCTTCCTCACATCCTTCCTTCCTCGCTTCCTTCCATCCTTGCTTCCTTCCTTCCTCGCTTCCTTCCTTCTTTGCTTCCTTGCTTCATCCCTTCCTTGATTCCTCACTTCATTCCTTCGCTTCCTCCCTTCCTTGCTTCCATCCTTCCTCACTTCCCTCCTTTATTTCTTGCTTCCTTCCTTGCTTCCCTCCTCGCTTCCTTCCTCGCTTCCTCCCTTCCTTGCTTCCTCGCATTCTTGCATCCTTCCTTCCTCGCTTCCTTCCTTCCATCCTTGCTTCCTTCCTTCGTTTCTTGCATCCTCCCTTCCTTGCTTCCTCACTTCCTTCCTTCTTTGCTTCCTTGCATCCTTCCTTCCTCGCTTCGTTCCTTCCTTGCTTCCTTCCTTCATTGCTTCCTCGCTTACTTCCTTCCTCGCATCCTTCCTTCCTTGCTTCCTCCTTTCCTTGCTTCCTCCCTTCCTTGCTTCTTTCCCTCCTTGCTTCCTCGCTTCCTTCCTTCCTTCCTTCCTTGCTTCCTCGCTTCTTTCCTTCCTCGCTTCCTTCCTTCCTTGCTTCTTTCCTTCCTCGCTTCCTACCTTCCTTTCTTCCTCGACTCTTCTTTTCTTGCTTCCTTCCTTCTTTGCTTCCTTCCTTCCTCGCATCTTTCCTTCCTCGCTTGCTTCCCACCTTGCTTCCTCGCTTCCTTCCTCCCTCGCTTCATTCCTTCCTTGCTTCCTCGCCTCTCTCTTTCATCACTTCCTTCCTTCCCTCCTTGCTTCATTCCTTCCTTCCTCGCCCCTTCTTTTCTTGCTTCCTTCCTTCCTTGCTTCCTCGCTTCCTCCCGTCCTCGCATCTTTCCTTCCCCGCTTCCTTCCTACCTTGCTTCCTCGCTTCCTTCCTTCCTCGCATCTTTCCTTCCATGCTTTTTTCCTTCCTCGCTCCCTTCTTTCCTCCTTTGTTTCCTCGCTTTCTTCATAAATTTCTTCCTCACTTCCTTTCCTCCTTCCTTCCTTGCTTCATTCCTTCCTTCCATGCTTCCTCGCTTGCTTTCTTCCTGGCTTCCTCGCTTCCTTCTTTCCTTCCTTCCTTCCTCCCTTCCTCACTTCCCTCCTTCATTCCTTGCTTCCTCCCTTCCTCACTTCCTTCTTTCCTCCTTCCTTGCTTCCTCGTTCCCTTCATTCTTTCCTCGCGTTGTTCTTTTGTCGCTTCATTCCTTCCTTACTTCCTTCCCTCCTTGCTTTCTCGCCTTCTTTCCTTACTTACTTCCTTCCTTGCTTTTTTCCTTCCTTCCTTTCTTGCGTCTTTGCTTGCTTCCTTCCTTCCTTGATTCATAGTTTCCTTCCTTCTTTGCTTCCTTGCTTCCTTTCTTCCTCGTTCCCTTCCTTGCTTCCTCAGTTCCTTCCTTCCTCGCATCGTTCCTTCCTTGTCCCCTCGCTTCCATCCTTTCTTTCTTCCTCAGTTCCTTCCTTCCTTGCTTCCTCACTTTCTTCCCTCCTCGCTTTCTCGTTTTCTTGCTTCCTTGCTTCCTTCCTTCCTTCTTTGCTTCCTTGCGTCCTTCCTTCCTCGGAATCTTTCCTTCCTCACTTCCTACCTTGCTTCCTCGCTTCCTTCTTTCCTCGTTTCCCTCTTTCCTTCCTTGCTTTTTTCCTTCCTCGCTCCCTTCTTTCCCCCTTCTTTGCTTCCTCGCTTCCTTCACAAATTTCTTCCTCACTTCCTTCCTTTCTTCCTTCCTTCCTTGCTTCATTGCTTCTTTCCTTCCCTCCTTCCTTCCTTGCTTACTTATATTACTCCCACCTTCACTTCTTCGATTTACTTCCTCCATCCCTTCTTTACTTGCTTGCTAACTCAATTACTTACTTCGTTGCTTGTTTACTTCCTCACATCCTTGCTTGCTTTCTTGATTATTTACATTCTTTCATATGGCAGTGGAAAGACAAATTTTGATGAAAACCTGCAAACGAACAAACGAACGAGGAAAGAACGCAAGGATTGACAGAAGAACAGCCGAAAAAACAATGAATGAACAAACGGACGGATAGGCGGCCAAAAGAACGCATGAAGGAAAGATAGAAGAAAACAATTTACAAAAGATCGAACCCACGCACGCAAGAACGTAGTTACAAACGAACGCACGAATGAACGCACGAACGAACGAACACACAAACGAACGCAAAAAGAACGAACAGACGAATGCACGCATGAATGGACGGTTGAACGAAAGCACGCACGGACGAACGGACGGCTAGACGGACGAACCCGCGAACGAAAGGGCAGTCAGACGAAAGCAAGCACAAACGGACGGTCAGACGAACGCATGCGCACACAAACGGACGGACAATCGCACGGATGCACGCACGAACGAACGAATGGACGGTCGGACGAACGCTGCCACGAACGCATGATTGGGCGATGCACGCACGAACAATCAATCTGTCGGATGAACGCACGCATGAACGAACGGACCGTCGGACGAACGCACGCTCGAACGAACGGTCGGTCGAATGCACGCACGAATGAACGGTCGGACAAAGAAACCAATGAAATATATTTGTCCTCAGAAGTATAATCCTTGGAATAGTTAATTATGTAGAATGTACATTTAACTCCGAAATGTACAAAGTCTATTTACATATAAAAATTTGATCATGCCGCTGATAGATGGATTAGACTGCCTGAAGTTGAAGAAGAAATATTTTTGATGTTGCCATAGAATGATATGTTATGTGATTGTCATTAATACGTTATTTGCACATTCGTGTACGTTCATATAAAGAAGTTCACTATATTCATGGAATAATGATGAAGCTTTCCTCGTGATCGAAGCGGGTAGTCGTGAAATTTGCTCGTGTTTTCAGCGGGGTCTCCTCATGTTTTCAGCGGGGCCTCCTCATTTTTTCAGCGGGGCCACTGGAACACCTTTAATGATGTATTTCGACCCCCATGGCAGGTGTCATTGTCCAGTAACTTATCAATACAGACCATCTTGATCCGATATTTATTAATGGAGTATGTAAATCGTATTTATTGCCTTTATTTTAACGATAAAGGTAATATATGAACAGTAAATTATGCAAACGTGCATGTTGACGCCCCTTTCCTTCATGCAAGTAAAAAATAATCATTTTTCATGTCATTTTTTGTCAAATATATCTGTTTTCAAAGTTTTGCTGGAGTATCAAAGAACGGTAATAAGTATTTTCATCCTTTTGGTTCATTTTCCAAAGTGATACAAATAAACAGGACTATGCTCGCGATTTCAGCGGGGACTTGCTCGCGATTTTTCAATCATAGCGGGGCTTTAGATATTACCCGTGGACATGTTGATTTGGATTTCTGACACTAAGCCATTGAATAAACACTAAACAGAACTTCATGTGTATTTGGTTCAAGGTATATAGGAGGGGGAGGTGTTGTTACAAATTACAATCATCGTGATTTAACATTTATTTGTAAAGACTTTCCAGTGAAAATAGATACTTGTAAGTAGATACCTGTGAGGTAACTATGGAAAAAACTAAATAGAATCTCATTAAAACATCCATAGACTTAGTTCTGGAAGCCTATGATAAAGTTAGCACTTACTTGCTGTTAACTTGACAAACTTATACACGTGTATCCTGGAACCAGTACTCCCAGCATCAAACATTATTCCATAGAACTGATCAGCTTTAGTCCGATTTCTCATGATCTTTACATTAATTGACTCTGATATTGAACTATCTACAAATTTCCTTGAATAATCAGTTGATAATTGAGTATTATCTAAACCTTGAAAGCCATATTGTTTTGATCTGTTATAGGATGCCATGCTATAGTAGCCAGTTACTATGACTACACATCCAACAGCGAGAACAACAGTTGCTAGGGCAACGTTCTGTTGACGAGCCATTTTTCGGTTATACATAAATAATACGGCTCCTATTGTGACTCCAACAGCACAGATTCCAGAGAAAAACAGCATATTTCTCATGTGTCCTTCATATATGTAACTCTATCATTTGTGTATTCCATATGTGTAAACCATATCTTCACCCTGAAAACAGATGAACAGAGTAAAACAAAGACTCAACTTGTATACATGTATGTGTATCTTTATAATAATGTTGAATAAACAAAGCACAGCCCCGGGAGCACAGCATATTGGCTTATTATTGTTTACAACCATTTAGTAATTTCACTACCCTGATGCAAACATATTCACTCTACTATACCTAGAAATGCATAAGATCCTCTGTTTGTCTAATTGTATTGTTTAGTATATTTTTGAAAGTACCCTATTAACATTTAACCATCATCCGATAAATAATTAATAAGGAACTGACACATAAAAACAAATAACATAATCATATAATAAGCCAAATGGGTTGCTCATGAACACTAAATGCAAGGTATAGTAGAGTGTAATTATCAAAACAAATTGAAACCATAAACATGTACATGTGCAGCATACTGTAACTGTGATTTAAATTGGCTCCTGTTAAACTTTCATGAGATGATTTACCAAAGTCTGGCCCCACTTCCCCCTCCCAGTCGTAGATTATGCAACAGACATTCTGTATTTCTCTTCTATAAGGCTATTAGAGATACAGCTATTGGGGGTCAGACAGTTAACCGAGAATGCAGAGCTCTGACCATCATTGGCCTGGTTCATATTTCACATTCTTATGATCATAGCAGAATTTATCAGGGATTCAAAAACCAAACCGTGTTGATCTGAAAATTTTGAAACTGCCTGACACCTAATAGCTATATCAAAAAATTATTTGCATTAAATAAATTCATGTACATATGTATATAACAAAAAAGTAAAGAGCAAGGTTTATGTTGCACCTGGGGTTGTAAGTGATATTCCCTCTTATTCCCTCTGATTGGATGTTTAAGACCAAAGCTAACTGAGGTAGCAACACACTGGTCAGTTCTGACGCACCACTCAAATTTAGAATTAATCTGATGCCACTTTTTAACTTCCGATTTTCTATTGGCGTACCAGATGGTTACAAGTATACGTCAAATACAACCAAACTTCAAAATTTACCCCCACAGACCCCTGAACGCTTGTTTTTTGCTTCGCTCAACTGGTATCACTGTTGGTAATATATTTATTTACATTAAGTTTTGAATTAGGGAGTGTTCTGTGCCTTGTACCAACTTTCAAAAAGACCGCGCCAACTTCTGGCCAATCACGAACGAAGAAAGTAGGTCAGGTAATTTAGCGACCTCTATGAAGTGGAACACGTTTATTGAGAGCTCTGCTGTATATTTTCGCAAAGTGATCGCTTTACAAAGATTTGTTTGGTAAGTAGAATACTTTATCACTACTCCTCCCCATTAATTCTTCCACCTGTAGGCTTAGCTGATGCTTTGGCATTTTTATAAGCCCCACCTAAACTATGAAATCAATTATCTTGATCAAATATGCTTACAAGTATTTTAGCATTGCCATAGGACCTTCTATAAAGACGGGTGCTACGCCCATGAGTGTGAATTTGACTGAGTTTCACAATGTAACCTAAGGTGGAGAAAATATCAAAAACTGGTAAGTATTTACTCCCGTCGAGAGCTACTTAGATTTTGAAAGTATAGCTCTCTATCGCTAGAATCAACAGCTTAAGAATCCTGACTTCAAAGAAAATTTCAGGGAATTCAGCTGACTCATGTTGCACATTATATACCTGAAAATGTATCCTACATCGCCATCTTTTATTCAGCTCAACTATAGAACGTCTCACTGCCCTATGTATCGATCAGGACTTCATTTTATTGGTCGTGTCAAAAGTTTTGGCCAGGTATATTCAATATGGCGGCTTGACGTTTCCCAACTTGCGCATGCGTCGATAGTATTTCTGTTTAACCGCCATATTGGAAATGGGTATCGAACAAAAAACGATTAGAACTCCTGATCGCCATAGAAGCACATCCGCGATCCTACATGCACGGGGAAAGTAGACACATATGAGCCCATATGTAGGCTACAGTTTGAGACAAACAGCAAGCCGCTGACTGGCGCTGATCAAATTTAGATGTCACAATTCTTCAGCTGGGAGATCCTCACGATGGAGAGCTATAATTTCAAAATCTAACATGGTAGCTCTCGACGTGAGTAAGTAAGTATCATTTCATTATTTTTCAACTTCCAAGTAGTTTATAAAATATTGATTTTGGTTCTAAAAATTTAATTATAAAAATGTACTTCCGGTTTGAAATAATGTAGTCTTTTTACATAGATATCACGTTTTTCTTTATAAAATTTTGACATTACTTACCTAATATCATTATAAATATAGAAAACTCTAAGGATTGGGAATTAGCAACTTAAATACTCTGCTAAATTACATTATATTCGGAGCTAGGTGCGACACATCACTTACTATGTACTTTTCCGCCTCCTTTGAAGAGCTCCAAAACAGGAAGATGGCGCATTGGTTTCACAGAAATCCTCTAAAAGCCACTGCTCCCGCTAGTTTTGACCTCAGATTAGTGGCTACTAACGCAGCGTCCCAGAAGATATGTAGGTTAGTGTAATTACACCATTTGGAACCGTGTGTTATTCGAAAGTATTGAAGGATAAGCATTATCATTTAGGCTAGTCTACCTACAAATTTTGTTATTTTTTTCATTTCTTCAAATGAAGACTTCATTCAATTGAATTTGAATTCAAATCATATTGACTGAGTTTGAAAATTCGTGTCAACTCTAGCTGATCATCTATGCTGTTGGCATTCTCGTAGAGGACTAGACTAGCAGAGACAGATGGAGGATGGAGAGTTCTGTGGATTTGATGTTGAATTATGACTCATTGTCTGATGATCACTATTAGTAACATGTAGCATCTCTTTCAGCGAAGCACGACAAGCTAGACAGAGGCTGCTTGAAGTGATATCTGACCCTAACAATGAAGTCGCTACCTTGGAGACTGCCGTCAACAACTACCTGGCCCTGCTTCATGGCTTCATGGTTTCACTTGACGATGACAAATCTGGCGACAGCAAGATGAGAATGATCTTCAAATTTAAATGGACTAACACATTATGTGGAAATATGCCCCAGTAAGATGAATATATGGCCAATGTCTGGCTCTATTATAATTGAATTTCTAATGGTAAAAATCTAGACATGATGACACAGTGATTTTGTGTTGTTATAGTCTTGTGTACCCCCACCCATTCTTTATGTGGGGAAGATTGTATGGGAGGGTAGGTGCAGAGTATTGGTAAAAGACTATGGTGTAGTTTCCTTTCGATAACGTAATGTTCAATAATAATTATGCCCTGCTTTTTTTAATGTACTGCATGGGCGTTCCCAGGGTACCATCCTTTTTGAATACATAGTACATGTATACCTATGTAATTTTGCACTTTTTAAATTGCAGGGAGCAGCAAGATACAGTGTTTGAGCTGATATGTATGGGGCTTAACATCGCCTTGTGGTACACCAAACATGCAGCTAAGATAGCAGGAAAAGAAGAGTAAGTCAGACATCTTGTTTCTTTTATTGTTTCAAATGCTCTTTTACTGTACATGTACATGTAAGTCTTCCTACTTGTAACATAGAGAATGTATCCAGAATGGGTTGAGGGAGAAGATCCAAAATTGGAAGTTGTGGACAGGAATATTGAAATCTACGATACTCATAAATTTTGAAGATGTTTAAAGGTGATATTCACTCTTAAAGGGTGACGCATATCGTTTAGCAAATCGAACGCTCGTTTCTGGTGTTGCTCACCGTTTAGTATAAAAGGCCCGATCCCGGAATAATACTCAAGGGTTCACAGGTTCGAGGTCGTTGTGTCAACACCTCTAACTGTTATATAGCATAAGTATATTATAGATCGTCACACATTTATAAAAGGGTGATTTTTATTTTGACAAATCAATTCCACATTTATGGGTGAAGTTTCAGGATCTTCTATTTGTGTACAATAAGGAAAAATTGGCATCTAAATTTCCCCATAACGTAATAGCACACAGCTTGGCATATGGAATATCCTACAAATGAAACAAAGCAAGACAAACCGGTTTCTAATACAAGGATTTATATTGGCTGTTGTACATGTATTCTTTGAACGCAATCACTCTTTGGATAGCGTTTTTAAAATCATTATAAACGGATTACTTTATCTCAAAGACAATTTCAATAAACTGGATTTTACAGAACTCCCCTTGTTTCTTAAAAATGGACTGATCCAGTTGATTCGCCTGGAGCCGCCATATTGTTTTTATACGGGATGCTAATCGGAACCCTTTAAATATGCATTAAAGATTTTTCCCTCAACAAAAACTCATTTCACTATAACTTCTCTTCTAGTACTTCCAATTTAAATATTGTGCAGGGTAGTAAAAAAAACGGAACCCCTTACGCTATTTTCCTCATATCTTTGACATTTTAGGATATAACTCCCTGATATTTTACACATTTGTACATCATTTAATTTCCTACCAGCCTCCTATATTTCATGACCATCAGACTATTACAGCACTTAAAACATGCTATCATGTTCATTATTGGGTTGTAAGCAACCCTGCACCTGTCATCAAAAATGTCCCTACCTGACTTCTACCTGTGGAGATATGGCAAAGATAGAATGTATGAGGTTGACCTCAGGACAATTGCAGACCTCAAAAGTGAGATCAAACGGTGTCATTCAGGCTAACCTGCTGAGGAGTGCATTCGGGTCATTGACAACTCTGCAGGTTTGCCTACAGCGCGATGATGGCCAAACCCGAAGCATGTTGTTCAAAGTGCTGTAACATTGTGACTATCAGTCTGACGATCATGAAATATGGTACGATAATAAGAAATTGAATGATGTACAAATGTTTCAAATACTTGGGAGTCATATCCTAAAATGACAAAGATATGAGGAAAATACAGGGTTTCCATTTTTGACCACCCTGTACATCTTCAACAAGGTAAGATTCAAAGTTTTGTGTTTCAAAACCTTTATGAAATACATGTAATATTGGTTGAAGATATGATGCTTTATTTGGTTCTTGTTTCAAGAAAAATTCAATTTCATTAGTCAGAAACAAGTCAAATTCTTTACTTCAGAGAATATTTTTAATTTATTGAGACTTTCGACTAATATCCCTTAGTCTTTTTCAAAATATAACAGCATGTATACATTTATGTGACCTCATAAACAGACAATAGAAAATTTAATTATGTAACAAATGACCTAGTAACCTAAAAAATAATAACAACAACAAAAAACATAGATACGAAAAAACGAATGACCTAATAATAACCTTAAGATAAATATACAGAGATAATGGGTATCAGTTGGACAATTTGTATCATAAAATATTGTAAATTAAGAATGGTATAGCAAAGTATGCAATAGTAATATTTGAGTTTAATTGTTACCATAACGATGATATATTTATCTTAAGGTTATTATTAGGTCATTCGTTTTTTCGTATCTATGTTTTTTGTTGTTGTTATTTTTTAGGTTACTAGGTCATTTGTTACATAATTAAATTTTCTATTGTCTGTTTATGACGTCACATAAATGTATACATGCTGTTATATTTTGAAAAAGACTAAGGGATATTAGTCGAAAGTCTCAATAAATTAAAAATATTCTCTGAAGTAAAGAATTTGACTTGTTTCTGATATATTAACCAGAGAGATGAACTTACATAGAACAATTTCATTAGTGTTTGAATTTTGAAATATCTGATTCAGTAGATTTGATAACTTTTTGTAAATGTTGAAGAAGTCATGTTGTCCAAATATATTTATGTTGTAAATATTTCTTTGTAGGCCAGCTATGGAAGAAGCAAAGGAAGTTCATAAATGTTTGCGTAAAGCTGCTGGCATCTTTCAGAACATTCAGGTGAGTAAACATCTGCTTTTTACACCATGAGTTAGTACATGTTACTATTATTAGATGGCAGCACTGTATAAATACAAAATGAAAGCTCTTGGCAATGGCACCAAGGATTTATTTAACTTAGTATGTATTCTGAATGAATGAAGCAATGGCTTATTATTGGTATCTCTGTTGGTTTAGAGAAAGATAACATGCTTCAAAACTTGTTAGTGTGGGAACCAGGTGGTGGGGACCGTTGATCTTGGCGTGATCTATGCCGTTATTCATCTGTAAAAATTACATATCCGATTCTGTGTTAGTCTACAGTACAGATTTATACCATTAAATCTGAATATTGATTGGTTTATCATTTACATTGTCAATCGGTGAAATCTAAGTGACTTAGTGGGGGAAGAAGTCCTACCCACAATACCATTCTGTCTAGACATTGCAGCGATACAGTGTATTCAACAATTTATAATATGATTTTAAAGATGGCAGAGCAGTCACATAGCGACAGATTTAATTTTGCTCTTCTTTTGCACTTTTCGGTTTATTATGTCACCACCAAAAGTGTTGACATATGTTTATCGTCTCCAACTTTTTGTGATGGTGGTTGGTGTTTGGTGTGTTTAGAGTTTGGCATCTGTAACAAATGTCAGGTGGTGACATTATGCATGTTAATGTTTTGTTTTCAAATAATCCTAGTTCCTTACATGTACTTTTAGAAATGTCAGAGGAATTCTTTTGGCTCTTAATATATCATGAAAGCAATTATTTTAAATGTTTGGCAGTGTTTTATGTTTCATGTTTTCTCTGTCTTCATCTCATTTTACTTTAAATGTAAATTTTCACTCAATTAGTCACATTTAAAAGTTCTTCATCAGTAAATAAACCAATAATTTAGGACTTTTCTCTCTCTGGCTAGGTTTAGCCTTCAGTGCAAATAATTAAGACCTCTGTCTCACTTTAGCCTTTAGTGTAATATTTTAAGTGCTTTATCGTTAATTATTCAGTATATCAGACTTTTTGTCTCATTTTATCCTTCGCGGAATTTTAAGCTCTAAAGTAATTGGTCAGCAGAATTTAAAGACATTTTTGCTCTTGTTTGGTTTATGATTCAATCTCAGTTTGTCACAGTACTACTGTAGCATTATCAGCATAGCCCTACATAAGTTGATCCAATAACCCAGATGCGAGTAGAAATAATCTTGATTTACGTCATTAAAAATTCAAAATTAAGTCAAAGTAATATCATATTTGAAATCTACATGTAAAATTACATCTAGTAATGTGGTTTTAAAAAGTGTTTATCAACTTTGAAAAATTAATTTTCTTTGAAAATGTGACTTCTAGCTCGGGGAGATTCTCCAATCTCCATAGACCCCATGCTATAAAATCACAAAAAATGAAATATCTTTTCTTTTAGTGGACAGATAATATTTTGCTTTACTGGACATATTTTCATTAGTATAAGTATCAGACACATAAGGGTTATATGAAAATTGAGCCACTTAAATTGATAATATTCAAGTTTAAGGGAACTTTCTTATATACCTGCCATGTTAATTGACCCGAATCAGCCACCTGGTGGTGAAACTGGTAACTACCTACTCGCATTTGGGTAATTAGTCTAAATAACAATATTTTCTGAGGAGAATCTTTAAAAGGTCACTGCAATTTAAGTTATGGGACACACCTGATCTTTTATCATTATAAGCTTTAGATAAACCCATTCACGCATTCCTGTTTCATTTATATTATACTTAGCTATAGATTATGTATAATTGTATGTCTTCCCAGGGTTGATATTGTTTAAGAAAGTTACATGTATATGGTAAGGATTGTTTTCGAAAGTTGTTACATTTAAATGGATATTGTTTTAGAAAGTTGTAATATGGGAGATGTTGTTTTAGAAAGCTGGTTTATGCATAATTGACTTATTTCAAAGATTGCATTTGGCTTCTGTTGAATGTTAAAAGCTAGTTAGTAGAAATAATTTGTTTTTCTATTTTTATTTTTCACCATAGGGAATAGCTAGCAACTGAGGATTGCACTTCGTTGTTCCATTCTATTCCATGTAAAAACCATTTTGACGAATACACTTTGCGAAATTTCATTTTTTTGTTTCAAAATTCTTTATATTCTTTTTTTATAAAATTTTCAATGGAGTATGACATTACACCAGAGAGCGATTATAAAATCATGTACATATAAGCATTGAAAACATGAAATTAAACTTAATCACTTTTAAATTTTACATGATTGATTAACTATTTATATAATTAATGATTAATGACCCATCATTAATTATTTTAGACAGTTGAGATTTGATTCTCAGACTTTTCTCATATATAAAACTGTTATTGATGTTTTTATAAATCTTATGACAAGCCAGCCTATGAGCCATGACATATTTGATTGTGATGAATATACTTTATTAAATTAATCCTAAGATATCAATATAAGAAATGTCATGTTGAAAATGATAATTTATGTTAATAGGCATTTATCAGATTTTATTAAACAAGAAGTCAAGAATCCCTATTTTTCTGTTTGAGAATATCATGATGTGACATCTTGTTTCTTCTCCAAGGTGCGAAAAAAGCACTGGTTTAGAGGTTCTGTATCCTGTTACTTTTGTGACACTTGTCACCTGGTAGAAGGCGCCCATTTTGAAAAATGGCCGTCATTTATATGTTTTTCACTATTTTGGCAAGTTTGAGGAAAAACAGTGCAGTATGAGACTCACAATCCTTGATTTTCAAACACCTGCAGTTTTTCATTGCAATCATGCAGTTTTCACCATTCTTAGCACTTTTTAAGTGATTTTGGCCATTTTTGGTCCAAAATTGTCATAAGTGAACCCCCCCTGGGCAAATCCTGGCTACGGGCCTGACCAGGTAGGTCTAAAATTCAAATTAATGGTTGTAGTTGGCATCGTGTGATAGTTCATCCTTGACTTGTATGCCTAAATCCTTATGATGCACCTTGTTCTTCTTAGTTAGAAAAACATGAAGATGTTAACGTAACCCCTAGAAATACATACTTTCTATGTGGGGTCCTTTTCTCTGACATAATCGCATAATTATTGTGCACATATTTAGCGCTAGATAAGAGATTCAAGTGTATACTCCCTTTAGAAATATCCTGGTCCTGGGTATGTGCTTTCTGTTTTTTGGGTTTACAGACCCCCGCCCTGACACTTACTCCCCAGGGGTCCCTGTGGCTTGTGACAATAAAATATTAATATCTGGTGTATCAAGAGTATGATTTCTTGTTTTCACATAGTGATAAAAATTCATGCAAAGAATATGTGATTGTTTGATTAAGTAGATTTAAATGTAACGTTGATGTATGCAGCTCAGAGATACTGAGATGTAGAAATGTTCACAGCACTTATAGTTTGCAGAACATGAATGTCTACATGAAAATTGGCATTTTAGATGCTCCTACCATCTATAAGCCACTTTTAGAACTACAGTTTACCAAATCAAGAAAATAAGCTATTATTGCTTTTATGATTAATAAGCCTATATTAATACAAGTATCACGATACAAAGATTAACCTTGATTTGTTTCTGGGCTTTTTTCCTATTTTTCTTTGGAAATCATTCCATATTTTAGCGTAACTATTTCTTCCTGAAAAGGCTTAAGCGAATTAAAAGCTCATGTGTGTTATTTGCGTCATCTCTATATAGTGAATAGTAATTTTGACATTAACCATCAGATAGTAGGATAATTGTCAGGTATCTGTCCCACTTGAACATATTGATCCAGTCAACTAGATTATAGCTTAGGTTATCAGTTATATTAGTGATGTATTTTTAGACATTTGCTTCAGAAGTGACGTTTGTAAGAGATGTTGACATTGACACATGAATACCATGGTAACCGGAAAACTCGACCCCTAAACAAGTCATCCTCTTGGCAACTCAATCCCTAGACATCAGGCTGACTTGTCCATAGAATGAGTTGTCCAGGACATGAATTGTTCAGGGGATGAGATGTTTAGGGGTTGACTTGTCTAGAGGATGAGTTGTCTAGGGATTGAGTTCTCAAGGGTACAGCAAGTTGAGATTTCAAAAAATGTCTGAGATTGTAACTTTATAAAGAGAAAAATCTGAATCAAAAATGTCATAAAGTTAAGAATTCCAAAAATCATTTGTAATGATGGATACAATTGACCTGTAACCATGGATATTATGGCGTAATACTATGAAAACACACTGTACTTAAAAATTCTTAACTTTATGAACATTTCTGTTAATGATAGTATGTAAGGAACAAATAATTGGTGAAATTAATTCAAATATATGTCACAACATTTATATTTATTCTATCATAAAATACATTTCTGAAACAGTATGCTACATTTCATTGAAAATAAATTGATATTATATCCACTGAGAGAGATTTTAGCTCACAGGATAAACCTTGTGTTTCTAGTCTCTCATGTCATTACCAAGGTTTTGAAGTTTTGAAAATCAAACTGGTAAGTTGTACAAGCCCGTTGCCATGCAGCTTTTTCCAGGGAGGGGGGGGGGGGGTCATTTTTCAAAAAATTCTTGGGGCCAAAATCACTTGAAAATTGCTCAGAATGGTGAAACACTGCATGATTTGAAAAAATATTTGGCTGGGTGGTAGGAGAGTTGCTTGCACCCCCTGACCCCCCCCCCTTCACTCCTGGATATGAGCTTATTGTTTATAAGTAAACTGATATGTACATTGTACAATAACATAAATAACACTAATGGGTAATAAGGCTCTTACCACATTTAATATTTACAATAATTATTGTACAATTCTCAGTGTAGCAGATAATTTTAGTATCCACTGCCCTTTTAATTTGTTCTTTGTATCTTCCCTAATTTTTTTCATTTTTATTTGATTACTATTTATTCATTTTAAGAAATATACAATTTACATTGAACAGTTAACACAGATTATGTACACTAGTCTTCCAAATAACAATTGGTTATTAAAAGAGTGTGATTTCTAAATACAATACTTATTTCTAAATA